TTGCAAACTATTTGATTGAAGCTGGCAAAAGACCAGCCAAAACAGTTTGAAATTTTTGAAGTTCTGTAATAATCCAGTTGATTACTATAAATCGACGAGTTTACGTTACTTCAACTATTCACTGCTGTATTCACGTAAAATAGACCATATCTTGCAGCGATCGACTCTGAAATAAACAATAGTTTAGTATGTGTTGTTTTTCCAGTACATATTGACTTGGATAGACGTCCTCAACTCGTTGGTGTCTGAAATTGATTGACACAACCTCATTCTTTACTATACTCGAGTCATTTATACTGGGTTAAAAATCGACAATAGAGTAGTGTAGTGTAGCTCCAATCTGCGCGCCGTTTGTTGAATGGTTGGTAAACCATATCTGATCAAATAGTTGTTTTGTGGAATGGAATATTGTTTGGAATAATATGCGTGTTTTGGAATGTTGCATGTCATTGTTTAAAAAGTCTTGACAACTTGATCAGTTTTTAAACACACCGACCATCATAGGATACACAACCAAACTATAGTTTTAAACTAGTGTGTTACACCCTGCATTTTTGAGTTTATGGAATCATACATTGTGCGATCATCAGATTCATACATTGCAATCCAAACATTTGTTTGGATAGTGTCGACAAAATTCTGAACATATTCATTGTTGCCAATCTGTCCGACTCAAGAGTTGGTTTTTGTCGTAATATTATCATCAAGATCATTGACATTGTTGACTGATATTTGCGTTTGAAACGTCTCGTCATTCAAGTGTTGATGACCACAGGGTTGTTAAACCATCAATCAATCATTTGATGACAATCTATTATAGAAGATAGATATTCATACGTAAAAGGACATATCTGGATGATGAACCAGCATAAACTGTTTGTGAACAATGATTTCAAGAATACAATCTTGTTCAGTAAATTGGCAATAATTCAACATGAGACTGTTTATTATGCATTTTAGCCTATTTGATGCTCCCTTATGTGGATACAGCATATCACCAAGTCGTTAAAGCTATATGCTTACAAAACGACCGTTGTTAAGGGACAGCCGCTAAGCATGAATGATTTATGCATCTATCTATTATGGCACAAGCCAGCGTAGCACTATAGAAACAGTATCAAGCGTTTGTGACATGGTGCTAGAATAGGGAGGACCAATTAAAAGGATTGCTGAAAATAGTCTGGATGAAAAGGATGGATAAGCTGAAGGGCGACTAAAGGTATTGAAAATACATATTTTGAACAATAATCTTTCATCAACTTAATACCAGCTGCATCGATTGCGAGTTATACAAACTGACTGATCATACCTCGCATTCCATAATTCCTCAAATGATTGTTTTTTTGGTAGCAGTTTTAGCTGCTGCATCTTGCATCAATGCTCAGATTCCTACAGAACAACCTGCTTTTGTTGAACATGCTTGGTCCAAGTATAGACCCATCAACCTTTATCGCGATGCTGGATTGTTTACCTTTTTCCCATATACTCTTGAGCAGCGAAATGTTCTAGTGTCAAATGCCGAAAATGTATTCAAGGCAAGTTGTCATTCCATCACAATCTGATACCATAACCAACACAATATATTGCAGCATATTATTAACTGACCAACACATTACAATCGAATTCCAATGATTCAACATGTCCAGGCATGGGTCAATTTTGAATCAAAAATGGAATATCATGGTCAAGAGGCAAATCCGTATCCTGCTCTTGAGCATATCCGAAACAATATCGAAACCCTTACTGATAAACAGCTCCAGCTTGGGTTACTGGATGCATTCACTCGAACTCGCGATGCACATACTTTCATGACGTTAGCTGGTCCGTATAGTTGCTTTTATGTTACCACAGGAATCTTTTTTCAATTTATTGATGGTCCAGGAGATATGATCCAAGACCCAACAATCGTCGTCAGTAAACCCGTCAATCGTGAAATATTTGACCTACTACGTAATACTGCTTATAGTCGAATTAGAGTTGGAGATCAACTTGTCAGTATTAACGGCCTCACTTTTTACCAGTGGAAAAACAAACATCGAAATGTCATTGGTGGGTCTACCGAGTCTCATAGTCAGCGTCTAGCATTAAAATATTTGACCTTCAGATATGGATCTTATACCCCACTTCCTAGTGAAGACTCTATCAAGCTTAAACTCAAATCTCGTAACGGTATCATATACGAAGTTGATGCACTACACATGTCTAAGCATCGATATAGCTGCTGGGAATACTCCAGTAAACTTTACAAACATTTGACAGGCGTGAATCTTGATATACATTTAGAAAATACAGTTGCTGTAAAATCCAATAGTCATGCCTTGTCAACTACAACAGTCGATGATCGTACCACAAGTTCCCAATCTACCAAGTCATTGGTCACTCCTCGCCATATTCGAAAGCGGGATCAAATCAGTCAATATCAAGACACAGGACGATTGTCAAAACGTGATTTACGGATTTCATTTTATCAAACGAGTATACTCGGACTATCTTGGACAATTTGGAGACCCAACGATCAAAACATGGGAATAATCAGACTGGCATCGTTCAGCTGCACGTCCCGCACAACAAACATGCAAAATACTCTTGAAGCCATTCTTGAAGTGACAAGACTATTGAAGACAGTGCTCAAAAACACCAATTCTATTTTGATCGATGTTCGTGAAGGTGGTGGTGGATGTCCAATTTTTGCAAATGCCATTCCACAGCTATTCAAGAGCAAGCTTGAACCATTTCAAGTGAAATATCTCATAAACAAGGTCACATCCAATATGTTTGCAAATTCACCCGAGGAATTGAAATCATCTCGTAATGCTTGGTCCAAAACACCAGCTGGAAGCAAGTATTCAGTATTGCATTATATTATGGATCCAAAGGAATTAGGAACTTACAATCCGATTTATGATAAACCAATGGGTGTATTTACCAGTGGTAATTGCGTTTCTGCATGTGAAGTCATGACAGAATCCGTGCAGTCATTTGGAATCGGAACAGTGTTTGGTGAAGATGTCACAACGGCAGGTGCTGGTGCAAATGGTTGGGATCTAGATCCAGAACTTATCTTTTATGATCCGACAGACTTTAAACCAATGCCATTCAAAAAAGAGTTGACATCTGATACCAAGGAAACATTTTACAACGGAATGGCTGTAGGTCATCGGGCATTTGTCCGTAATGTCAATCATAAAGAACATCCGATTGAAGATATTGGCATCGTATCTGACGTTGTAATCCGACCACGGTTGGAAGATATTCTTTCTGGCGGAACGATTAATTCGCAGTACAATTATATTGCAAACTATTTGATTGAAGCTGGCAAAAGACCAGCCAAAACAGTTTGAAATCCTTGGAATTCTGTAATAATCCAGTTTATTACTATAAATCGACGAGTTTACGTTACTTCAACTATTCACTGCTGTATTCACGTAAAATAGACCATATCTTGCAGCGATCGACTCTGAAATAAACAATAGTTTAGTATGTGTTGTTTTTCCAGTACATATTGACTTGGATAGACGTCCTCAACTCGTTGGTGTCTGAAATTGATTGACACAATCTCATTCCTTACTATACTCGAGTCATTTATGCTGGGTTAAAAATCGACAATATAGAGTAGTGTAATGTAGCTCCAATCTGCGCGCCGTTTGTTGAATGGTTGGTAAACCATATCTGATCAAATAGTTGTTTTGTGGAATGGAATACTGTCTAGAATAATATGCGTGTTTTGGAATGTTGCATGTCATTGTTTAGAAAGTCTTGACAACTTGATCAGTTTTTAAACACACCGACCATTATAGGATACACAACCAAACTATAGTTTTAAACTGGTGTGTTACACCTTGCATTTTTGAGTTTATGGATTCATACATTGTGCGATCATCAGATTCATACATTGTAATCCAAACATTGAATTTGTTTGGATAGTGTCAATAAAATTCTGAACATATTCATTGTTGCCAATCTGTCCGACTCAAGAGTTGGTTTTTGTCGTAATATTATCATCAAGATCATTGACATTGTTGACTGATATTTGCGTTTGAAACGTCTCGTCATTCAAGTGTTGATGACCACAGGGTTGTTAAACCATCAATCAATCATTTGATGACAATCTATTATAGAAGATAGATATTCATACGTAAAAGGACATATTTGGATGATGAACCAGCATAAACTGTTTGTGAACAATGATTTCAAGAATACAATCTTGTTCAGTAAATTGGCAATAATTCAACATGAGACTGTTTATTATGCATTTTAGCCTATTTGATGCTCCCTTCATGTGGATACAGCATATCACCAAGTCGTTAAAGCTATATGCTTACAAAACGACCGTTGTTAAGGGACAGCCGCTAAGCATGAATGATTTATGCATCTATCTATTATGGCACAAGCCAGCGTAGCACTATAGAAACAGTATCAAGCGTTTGTGACATGGTGCTAGAATAGGGAGGACCAATTAAAAGGATTGCTGAAAATAGTCTGGATGAAAAGGATGGATAAGCTGAAGGGCGACTAAAGGTATTGAAAATACATATTTTGAACAATAATCTTTCATCAACTTAATACCAGCTGCATCGATTGCGAGTTATACAAACTGACTGATCATACCTCGCATTCCATAATTCCTCAAATGATTGTTTTTTTGGTAGCAGTTTTAGCTGCTGCATCTTGCATCAATGCTCAGATTCCTACAGAACAACCTGCTTTTGTTGAACATGCTTGGTCCAAGTATAGACCCATCAACCTTTATCGCGATGCTGGATTGTTTACCTTTTTCCCATATACTCTTGAGCAGCGAAATGTTCTAGTGTCAAATGCCGAAAATGTATTCAAGGCAAGTTGTCATTCCATCACAATCTGATACCATAACCAACACAATATATTGCAGCATATTATTAACTGACCAACACATTACAATCGAATTCCAATGATTCAACATGTCCAGGCATGGGTCAATTTTGAATCAAAAATGGAATATCATGGTCAAGAGGCAAATCCATATCCTGCTCTCGAGCATATCCGAAACAATATCGAAACCCTTACTGATGAACAGATCCAGCTTGGGTTACTGGATGCATTCACTCGAACTCGCGATGCACATACTTTCATGACGTTAGCTGGTCCGTATAGTTGCTTTTATGTTACCACAGGAATCTTTTTTCAATTTATTGATGGTCCAGGAGATATGATCCAAGACCCAACAATCGTCGTCAGTAAACCCGTCAATCGTGAAATATTTGACCTACTACGTAATACTGCTTATAGTCGAATTAGAGTTGGAGATCAACTTGTCAGCATTAACGGCCTCACTTTTTACCAGTGGAAAAACAAACATCGAAATGTCATTGGTGGGTCTACCGAGTCTCATAGTCAGCGTTTAGCATTAAAATATTTGACCTTCAGATATGGATCTTATACCCCACTTCCTAGTGAAGACTCTATCAAGCTTAAACTCAAATCTCGTAACGGTATCATATACGAAGTTGATGCACTACACATGTCTAAGCATCGATATAGCTGCTGGGAATACTCCAGTAAACTTTACACACAGCTGACAGGCGTGAATCTTGATATACATTTAGAAAATACAGTTGCTGTGAGAGCCAATAGTCATGCCTTGTCAACTACAACAGTCGATGATCATACCACAAGTTCCCAATCTACCATGTCATTGGTCACTCCTCGCCATATTCGAAAACGGGATCAAAACAGTCAAGATCAAGACACAGGACGATTGTCAAAACGTGGTTTACGGATTTCATTTTATCAAACAGATATACTCGAACTATCTTGGACAATTTGGAAACCTGACAGCCAAAACATGGGAATAATCGAATTGACATCGTTCGGGTGCACGTCTCGTAAAACAAACACGCAAAAGATTCCTGAAGGAATTCTTGAAGTGGAAAGACTATTGAAGACAGTGCTCAAAAACACCAATTCTATTTTGATCGATGTTCGTGAAGGTGGTGGTGGAAGTATGGATTTTGCAAATGGCATTCTACAGCTATTCAAGAGTGATATTGAGCCATTTAAAGTGAAATGTCTCATAAACGAAGTCACATTCAATATGTTTGTAGAATCACCCATAGATTTGAAATCGTCTCGTAATGCTTGGCTCAAAACACCAGCTGGAAGCAAGTACTCACTATTCCATGATTTTACGGATCCAAAGGAATTCAACACTTACGATCCGGTTTATGATAAACCAATGGGTGTATTTACCAGTGGTAATTGCGCTTCTGCGTGCGAAATTATGGCAGGAACTGTGCAGTCGTATAACATTGGAACAGTGTTTGGTGAGGATGCCACAACAGCAGGTTCCGGTGCAGTCGTTTGGAGTTTAGATCCAGAACTTATCTTTTATGATTCGACAGACTTTAAACCAATGCCATTCAAAAAAGAGTTGACATCTCATACCAATGAGGAATTTTACAACAAAATGGAGGTAGGTCATCGAGCATTCATCCGTAATGGCAATCGTAAAGGACGGCCGGTTGAAGATATTGGCATCGTATCTAATGTTGTAATCCGACCACAACTGGAAGATATTATTTTTGACACAACAGATAGTCCACAGTACAATTTTATTGCAAACTATTTGATTGAAGCTGGCAAAAGACCAGCCAAAACAGTTTGAAATTTTTGAAGTTCTGTAATAATCCAGTTGATTACTATAAATCGACGAGTTTACGTCACTTCAACTATTCACTGCTGTATTCACGTAAAATGGAGTTTGCATTTATCTTGCAGCAATCGACTTGTTGGAATAAACAATGTTTGAATACTTGTCGTTTTCGTACATAAATCGACAATAGAGTAGTGTAGTGTAGCTCCAATCTGCGCGCCGTTTGTTGAATGGTTGGTAAACCATATCTGATCAAATAGTTGTTTTGTGGAATGGAATATTGTTTGGAATAACATGCGTGTTTTGGAATGTTGCATGTCATTGTTTAAAAAGTCTTGACAACTTGATCAGTTTTTAAACACACCGACCATCATAGGATACACAACCAAACTATAGTTTTAAACTAGTGTGTTACACCCTGCATTTTTGAGTTTGTGGAATCATACATTGTGCGATCATCAGATTCATACATTGCAATCCAACATTTGTTTGGAAACTCTTTTCTGTTGTATCCTGATATTAGATACGCTTTAGTTCAAGAAACCCAAGATTCCAACTTGATACAATCACCAAAAGATTAACAGAATTCAATATTGACCAATCACTTTATGAGATTGCGTATTTGACTCTTATTTAGTGTTCTATTTTACGTGAATACGGCAGGATAAAGCCATTGTATTGATAACAGTCGAAACTCGATACCAAGAGCAATGGATTCTTCGTATAACGACCCATCAGATCTATCTATTCAGAGCCATTCTGACACTGCTCACACTTCTTTATCCACCTCATCTGATATCTTTACTCCCGAAATTCCCAGCACTTGGAATACTCGAAACCAAGCTCAGTCTGACCAGCCATTCAGTCCAACTAACACAACTGACTGCAGTAGTGTGTCCATTGGTCGCTCGGTCAGAAACAGTGCTGATGGTGACTCTCTTTCAGCTCCCCATTTGGTATATTGTTTTGTCTTGCCCGAATCATTGCTACGATCCATTTATCCTAAATCATGCTGGGCTATTGGCTTTTTGCATTGGTGTTCAACTGGATCTAGAGTTGGGTCAATGTAATGATCAATCTTATTGGAGTTTAATAGGATTATATAGGCTCGCCATTGTACTGTCCTAATTACAAAACATCCATCATGAGTAGTATCAGGACATCTGCAAGAGGTAATCTTGTACTCATTCAACTTTATTCAATTCAGTGTCGAGTCTAATCTTTGTTTTACAAATCAAGTACTTGGATTGATAGAAGAGCTTGCCCAAGAACAGTATTCACAACAGCATAGTCTACCAAAACGTAAACCACATAGCAAGTATTCTTTTAGCACCATTTCTCAGCATAAACTAGATCCGTTGCAGGACTTGGTCTCCATTGATTCCATCAAAAAGCGATTAATGGCTCAAACCGAGACTATTATGGAGGGCATGGTAGCAGATATGACGTCGACTCGTGTTGTTCGGTGAGGTTTACTGAATAGATGTGTTTTAATTTCTGACCATCCAAGTTGAATGATCGTTTACTTATGCTATTGTCAACAATGTCAGATTTTTTGGGTTTGTTGTACAAAACATTCTGGCTAGAATGTATCATCGTGGTGTACACATTAACGAGGCAGAGATTGCAAGGGTAGTACACGTAGCTCAATCGAAATGAGACCTATTAGTATCGTGATATTTACCTACCCTGCCTTTAAAATACTTGATAGTTAAAACTGGTTGCTCAGGATGCACAAAACAGAGGACTATCGTTAGTATTTCTTCCATGTCACAAAAGTCACATTGATTATTTAGTTGTCAGGTGAGGTTTTATTCATGCTGTTGTCCATCGAAACCACTCAATCTTGGATCCGTCAAATAAAATCTAATATGGCTTAATGGAAATACATAGCTATATTCTGTACCGTCTTGGGTTTGCGTTGCCGCATATTGCTGCAGGAGATAATCTCAATATGCCGTTTGTGGGATGGCTACTTCGTCACAATGGAGCTTTTTTTATTCGTCGCCAGTGGGGAGACGATCGACTTTACAACGGAATCATGAAAGAATACATTGAAGTAAGTCTTGATATGTATGTCATCTCAACTATTAGAAATAATTGACATTTTTTTCAAACCACACTCATGCTAGATTCTTCTTGAACGCGGTTACAATATTGAAGCGTTTGTTGAGGGTACACGCAGTCGTACTGGTAAACCTCTCCAGCCTAAATTTGGAGTTCTTAAAATCATTTTAGATGCAGTGTGGAATCAACGTGTGAGCGACTTGATTATTGTACCTGTAAGTATTGGCTACGACAAGGTGATTGAAACGCCATCTTATGCAGATGAGCTTCTCGGTACACCTAAACAGAAAGAATCACTTGTACAGTTATTGAATAATGTGAATATTCTCCAGGTAATGTTGCATTTTTAACACAGGATGTTTCGTTTTTAGAAAACAGATTGAGCTTGACTTTTATACTTTACTATAACACCATGTAGCTCAAGTGGGGCCGTATTGATGTGCGGTTTGGTGAGCCATTTTCTCTCAAGGAATACATGCATCGTGAGGGACTACGTCGTGGGTAAGTTCATTAATTGGTTGTATTTGAATTTCATAAAACAACTCACTTGCTATTGTACTATTTTATAAATATGTGGTTTTGTGACGGTAGATTTGAGGTTGGCAAGTTTGGCAACGTATACGATAAGGCGATTGTGTTGCAGTCACTTGGGTATAAAGTCCTTGGTGACGTGAATAGAATTAGTGTTGTTATGCCTACTGCACTGGTTGGTACGACTCTTTTGACGCTCCGTGGTCGTGGTGTAGGTCGTAACGAGGTAATCAAATCAGGCTGTTTGTTTTTACTACCAAAACTAGTTTATTTTAATCAGCTCTATTTTGGAAATCCCATATATAAATGTTCTAGCTGATTCGTAAAGTCAACTGGCTAAAAAAAGAAATCGTTGCCAAAGGTGGACAAGTGGCCGAGTTTGGCACCACACCATTGAGTGTTATTGTTGATCGGTAAGTATAGCCACTATTCTCTGCACTGGAAGTGTATTAAACAAGTTTGCTTGCGTATTGAATCATGCAACTTAGTGCTCTCCACGTTCTTGGCGATCTTACGGGAAGGCGGAGCGAATTGCTCGAGCCAGTGTACTACCCTGCCAAGCGATTTGAACTAAGTTTTTATCGCAATCAAGTCATTCATTTGTTTGTTTCCGAATGTAAGACATACCATTATGATAAAAATTGGCTTTGGCCAAGAGTTTAGTTTATTGTTTTGCAGTTTATAATATGCTTGTTGATAAAACTGTAAATTATTTTTATAGGTATTGTTTTGGTTTCCATGTATGCAACCATTAAGGCAGGCGGACCCGTCAAAGCACAACGAATACCTATTGTACCTCATTTAACCGACGACGTATCTTTTCTCTCTCAGCTTCTCAAAAACGAATTTGTGTATGGCGAAGGTGGAATGGGCAAAAATCTTCCACTAACAATCACGAATCTGCATGCGGCAAACGTTTTGGAGGTTGGTAAATTTGAAATTAGTGAAAATGCATCAGCAAGCTCGCAAGAATGGGTAACTCTTTCTACGGAAGAACGCCGGATTGGGAGAGAAACGTTTGATTTTTATTGCTTTCTCATGTGGCCTTTTGTTGAAACGTACTGGCTGGCTTGTGTTTCGTTGTATACGATTGTACCTAGTGCAAAGGTCGTTGGTGCAGGACAATTGCAACTTCATTGGGTTGATGAACGTGTGTTTTTAAAACGATGCCAGCACTTTGGAAGGACATTGTATAGCGAGGGTGATTTATCCTACTTTGAAGCAGTGAATAAGGAAACGTTACAAAATGCTATTCGGAGACTGATGGAAATGGGTGTTGTGGTGATTCGAAAAGGGGCACATCCAGATACAGGTTCTGCGGTATTGCAAAAGGAGGCAAAGGATGATGGTATAAAGGAGAAGGGGGTTAAAGAAGGCGGTGGATCGTGGATTGCGCTGTCGTTAACCTGGATGCCTACCAACTCTTTTCCTGAGCCCGAGCTAATTGTGGAGCCAGAGGTACTACACGTTGAAGAAGTTTGCCGCGTATCTGCCAATGACAATGCCCCAAGTAATGTTTCCGAGTATGCCAAGCCTTTGCGTAGACGGAAATGGGGAGGACATATGGAAGGGTTTCAAGTTTTTTCATCGACTCAACAGCCATCCAATGATGCGAATTCTGGTATGTTTAGGATTTGGTAAATGTGCCGAGTATACATTGTAGTGTGATTTAACAGTTTTGGATACTTTTAGAGTCAGATTTGAACACATTGTCACAAGGGACTAGTGAGCTAACTGACAAGATTTTGCCAGATCTCGATACCACGCCTATATCTACACATCATCTAAAGCCTCAAGCCCAATCGCAGCAACATCGCTCTTTTTACAAGCCCAAAGCATCACCACCAGTTGAGTCGGAATCATACAATGCACTGTTGGATTCATGGTACCAACTCAAACCAACGGGAAAACTGTGGGATTTGTGTGAGCAAATTGGACGATACAGACGGGAGGGTAAAAACCGACGGGACACAAATGCAGTTGCAGTGAGAGTGCTACGGCTTGCAAGGATTGCATCCCAATGGACTGATGGGAGTGGATCTAGTGGGCCAAACGATCGTAATTCCAAGCAAAGAGCCAAAATCTAACCAATGGATAATGAGTGGGAAATATAATTTCATTTGAACACTGCTGGTATTAGTACAGCACTATAATTGTATCCATTGATCAGACAATTCAGATTTGTTGTATTAAACTACTTGAGCAACAGATGATTTCAGCCAAGCGATTACATCTAGACCAAGACCGTCCTTGACTTGGTCATGATAACAATATAAAAGCAATATGAATTTATTTAAAGCTTCTTGGAAAACCACTCAGGATATTGCTTGAGCTGAGATGCGGCAGAGTCAATCACCCAGTCACCATAGCGTAGATATGAAGTCAAGATCATTCTAGCAGTGTCATTTTCAATCTTTTTCTGGTCGAGTTCTAATCAATGCATGTCAGAGTTAGCAGTGGCTTTAGTCCAAAGCGAAATGAGGCGATACAATGACTTGTAAAGTGGGAGTAGTTTGTTAGTGAATGATAGTTACCTATTCCAGCAGCACGCTGAGAACCGGCAGCAACAGCAGCGACTAGCGTGACATCAACACCGACTTGGAGTAGTCTTCCTAACATGACAGAATACGATGGATAGTTGGTCTAGATGGGCAACATTTTGCTGCTCTGCAATAGAATCGAGTCACGTGGAATGAGGTTGTTTAAATTGCATCGATTCCAACCTGCAATTTGAAGCGATTGGAAGTAAGCACGATGGATCAGAGTGTCAGAGGATCTGCTACTACTGAGCAAGGCTCGTCTCATACAGTATCTAGTTCCCCTTCATTCACTACTGATTCCTTCATCTTTATTTCTCCAACTGGTTCTCCCATCTTTATTTCTCCAACTGCTTCTTCAGCTTCGGTTGCAATTTCGCCAACGGTAAGTTTATTTGCCATCATGAATCATTCGAATTTACACTTGTTTATCTCTGTTTTAATATATATATAATCTTGTTTAGTCTATAGTCAGCCATCCTAATACAACCCAGGCCAAAAATTCTAGTCCAGTTCTGTTTATAGGTATTGGCCTGGCCTCCCTAATTGCACTAGGAATGGTTGCTCTTTTGCTGTATTACATTTTAAAACATCGATCTCTTGCCAAGAAGCACGAAAAAACCCAAAATACCAGCCCTATTTCAAAGGAATCTTATGATGGCGGTGAATTTTGTATTTCGAATCAACACCATAGTCGTCAACTTCATAAGCAACAAAAATCACCACAACCACTGTCATTGGATCCATCATTATTTCAAATTCAATCTCGACAATTAAAAATGAGTACTCTACCTAGACTTGAACTGCCAGAGTCATCGTATAGTCCCCTGTCAGTTACATTTATCAACGGCTTAGCCTCTCCTTTTGCTCTGTCGCTTAGAGACGACACATCAACTTGCAATGCACTCAAACTGCGCGACTCAATGTATGCACCGCCACATGTAATATCTGCCTATCCACATACTCCAACCAACTGCCTCGGTGTTAATCTTGACCAACCCTCAGTTTCACTAATTACTCCCCCGGACTCGTCCAAACTCCAACAGGCTACTCCCGATCTTTATTGGGAGCGTGCATACTATTTTGATGAAGATCCAAACTTTGATGGGTACAATGGTGTTCTTGTGCCTGGTCATACTGGGATTCGTCATTCACAGATTTCATTACAAGATTCATCCAACCTGGATATGGCTGTACTTTCTAGCATGGTCACAGTCAATGTCCCTATCAATGATTCATTTGCAAATCTCAGTCCCAGACTTGGCTCAATCATGGCTTCACCAAGTAAACCATACCTTGCTTTTCCCCTTGCTGAAAGCTTAGAAACTGCGCTACATTGCTCCACACAAATATCATCTTCAGAGCGCAGCACAAATCAGACCCCTCATGACTCAAATCCAGATGCGGCCTACAATCCAAAAAATGTACCCAGCCAACCATCTCCATTGTATACACCTTCGGTGCATCAAATAGAATTGAACCCCAACAATTATGACATGGATCGATCTGCTGAAAGTATAAATTCTGACTCTAGCTCTACTGCAATGCCATTTACCTCGACTGAGTGGGCTGCATCTCTTTCTCGAATGGCTTTCTCGCATCAATATATTTCGACTATGCAAACCACCAAAAATAGCGCTACATCTATGCCTTTTCAACATCAGAATATGCAGCTGAATTTTGCAAGTAATGATACTGATATGAACGACTCGTACACGAATATAGAACATGCAATCTTTACTCGTCCTGTCTCATTTTCCAGCAAATCTTTTGCATCAAGTGCATCTGCTACCTCGAATAACATATGGTTCGATACTGATTCAAAGACAGACTCTTTACATGATTCCACTGCCGTATTCACGTAAAATGGATCACTAGATATGCCAAGATACATAGTAAACGGTCAGTTTCATGTTTGATTGGTGCCAAATTTACTGGGAAACAACGTGCTCTCTGGACCTCCTAATAAGGTTCATTGATCTTTATGCCCATTTTTGTACAAAAACAGCAAATGTTCAATACAGTGTTTGTATCTGTTCCAATAAACTCCATATCCTTGACATTTTTAACCTCCAACTTCCCTTTGTCCATACCAAACATTGAGTGATTGAAATGAAAACAATTGTCACTCCTGATTTACAATCATTGTTTTGTTGGACTAGAACGCGAACGTATCTGATTCCAGAATACAAGAGCGTGTACAGAGTTGTATTGACAACATCAACAGTCCAATTCAATATGTGCAGTCTAGTGTACAAGTATGGTTTAAATTTGGCGATTGTACAATGTATGACTACCAAAAAGAAAAAAAGGACAACTATAGTCTGATTGTGCCTCATATAATGAACGTGTTTGAAGAATTGAGAATGTCTATTAAGAAGCAGTCAACTCCCAATAGAAAAACGCAACGAGTGTCCAGCCATTGTGTATTACCAAGAAAATACAAGTGTTGTATTCTACGTGAATACGGCTGTAAAAAGGACGCGGCAGATTGAAAACATTTCGATCCTGACCAGTTTCACTTTCACGTAAAAACTCTTTTATCAGTACAGCATATTACCTTTGCCAAATAGATATCCATATTGAAACTAACAATATATTTAAGACGGCTTCGATTTTTCAACACCCTATATCAGTGGCAGACAAAAAGGCAGAGCTTTGTTGCTGTTGTTTTGTTTGAAAACGCAAGATATTTACCACGTCATATTACAGATAGGACCAAACCAATTTCGAATCCAAACAAGGGTTGGCGCACTGGCTTACTTGCATTATATATTTTAAAAAGTTGCAAGTGTGCAGCCATTAGCTTGGCTGATACTAAACCCACTTTTAGCACTCCAGTTAAAGCAAACCTCACTGTAGGAGAAAAGCAATGTCAATCTTTTTCAATACAGCATCATCAAAACTTATTCAACCCATCATCACATTTCAAGACATTGCTGAGACACCATATTTTATCATTGGTCTGATTCTCATCGTGCTATCTTTAACGACAACGCTCACACTATCGGTGCGATATCTAACGCGTGCATTTATAGCCCAAAGAAGATCTGCATTGGGATGGTCATTGCTTATCGTCAACGTGACGTCATTTGTTTCCACATTTGCCGAGACTCTTAATACCTATGTGACCAACTCTGTCGCCATGACAACTATTCGAATTTGGTGCTGGCTGATCACAGCTATGCAACTTAATTTGTTGAGTATCGATATTATGCAAGTGTATAGTTTAGTTTTAGGATTGGAACCATTGTATGCTCGAATTGGTATAGTCAAAATTGCTGCCTTTGGCATACACATTGCTATTAATGCGCTGTTGTACTCATCAAGTCTATTTGATTTTAATCCGGATTTAAACAAGGTACGTTTGAAGTATCATGTGTGCGGTATTAAATCTTGAAATGCATTTACAGCCGTATTCACGTAGAATACAACACTTGTATTTTCTTGGTAATACACAATGGCTGGACACTCGTTGCGTTTTTCTATTGGGAGTTGACTGCTTCTTAATAGACATTCTCAATTCTTCAAACACGTTCATTATATGAGGCACAATCAGACTATAGTTGTCCTTTTTTTCTTTTTTGGTAGTCATACATTGTACAATCGCCAAATTTAAACCATACTTGTACACTAGACTGCACATATTGAATTGGACTGTTGATGTTGTCAATACAACTCTGTACACGCTCTTGTATTCTGGAATCAGATACGTTCGCGTTCTAGTCCAACAAAACAATGATTGTAAATCAGGAGTGACAATTGTTTTCATTTCAATCACTCAATGTTTGGTATGGACAAAGGGAAGTTGGAGGTTAAAAATGTACGATTTACTGGAACTGTGATGTGACTGTTGCTTTAAACATTTGTTCAGTTTTACACAAAAATAAGCAAAGAGCATAATGTTTCCCAGTAAATTTGGCACCAATCAAACATGAGACTAGCTATTTACTATATATTCCAACTCCACTAGCTAATGCTTTACTTTACATAAATTGTAATGTACACTTTATGTAAAACTAACCAAGTACACAAAACCCAGTATTTAATCGTTGCCTTTAGTTGATGATTAAAACTTGGCTAATAGGATTAAATTTGTTTTAAATGCCATCAAACTGCAAAATAAATCAACGCCATGCCACGTATAATCCAGATCGCATTAACCATGTCAGGAGTATATACCATTTTTGTATCGCTTTTCAGCACAATCATGAATATTGTTATCGTAACAACATTTCAAAAACGATTCCGTCATGCAATACAAACACCTCCAGCAACTAAACCCAAACTTGTTCAAAACTGGCTGACACGATTATTCAAGGCAGATCCTCAAATCAACGTTAAAAGCCGTAAGGCTATTTCATTAGTGACCAAACCGTACAAAATACACACTCATCAAACTCTTGTCACTCTGGCAGCATCATCCATTATTCTTTCTATTGGAAGCCTGGCTGGATTGATTGTGATGCAATATAGTCTTTCGACTACAGGCGATAGAAAGTCGATGCTGATGATTGTGCATATGCACCAGGTTAGTTTGGGGCTATTCTGTTTGTATACAGCGGGTCAGACATACTTGTTTGAGATGATCAAGCATACACACGAAAGTATAGCACTGGGAACAGGAATGAATCATGGGCTAGCTAATATCTCTGGAAGCTCTGGAATGGAGTCTGCTGTTGGCTCATATACATCTGGCGGGCTACATCGAGGCGTAGTTAATTCAACCACGGGGATATCTATTGCAGGTATTTTACTTCGTCCATCAGAATCGCATCCTATTCATTCCAGCAAACGCCGAGCACCCATTGACGAGTTTCTACGTGACACGCGCAGCATCAGCACTGAAGCGTCCTTATCAAGCAGTATTAACAAGCCTCAAGCCATTACAACTAATACATCGTCCAAAAGTAGCTCATCTGAAGTAGTAATGGGCAGTTTGAGATCTAATGGAGCCATACCAACAAATGGATTGATTGGCATACCTTTCAGTGCAAGTCGAACACGAATCGTATCAAGTGATTATGTCGAAAATCATATTTTGCCATCTGGAGGTGAACAGCCAACTTTGATATCAAAAACACTGGCATGTAGCCATTCAATTGGTCAAGCAGAGTTATCGACTTCTTCAGTCTTTGTCTCACTTAATGCTAAGCTACCATCACTTGAATTCAAGAATATAGTGGAACTTCCAGGTACAAGTCTAGGTAATCTTGAGCCGCCTGATACAATACTTGCGCAAAGAAGTAGACCTAGATCGTCTTCTTGCGGATCAAAACCGCACTCGAAAACTAGCATAGATTTCAACTCTAATGGGAAAATATTTCATGACCTAAACAATACTTTAGACGATGGTCATTTGAAAGCACTACCAAAATAATCCTGACAGTCTTTATAGTGCCAAATGTATTATTTTAATCGAGTTAGTATATGTAGTCGTGTCATCTTTAAATAATATATGCATATGTTGTTTCGTTTATACTATACATGTTGCTGTTGTAACTGGCCAAAGTGGGTGTTGAGCGTTTGAATAATCAAAACAGTCTCGAGTTTGCTTCAATAATGTATAGTTTGATACCTTGGGTTTAATAGTAATCCACAAAGATGCAATCGATCAAATACTTGACTATTTTTAGTTTAGTCGTCAAGGTAGGTGATAGAATACGTAAAACTCTTGGCTAATACCAGTCTAGATTGCTTTAAACAACATGTCATGGTTTGATGTAATCATGAAACAACATACTCGAGATAAACGGTCATTCATTGAGCCGTATACAATGCTTACAGCTGAAGACGCACTTTTGAAAGATCTGGTTGAATCATATAGCATAGCGTTATTTGCATCCATCTTGCTTTTGAGTATGCGCGTTCAAAAGTCCATCTACTACATTTGTATCAATCAAGTGGCCAACTATCAAAACGCTTTATCCAACAGACCATAATATGGTGTTCTCATGTAGTCTAATGTTTACAGCCAACACAAGAATACTCAAGCAGCATATTTTATTGTTATACCCTCCACCAGTACAAATTGCCCATGTTCTGAATACAGTTGTATTGATGTAAAATAAAACAAAGTGCCAAGATACATAGTAAACGGCCAGTTTCATGGAGTGATGATTCTCACCAAATTTACTGGACAATGGTGTCTTCTGAGCCCCCTTTAAAGTTTACTGATCTTTCTCATGATGGTCAGCATGGAAACAGCGGCTGTATCTTGGATTGTACAATACTTGTTCTCGAGATAAAACACACAAGAGGTTCGAGCTTGACAATCGGCCGAATCAGACATGTGAATTGCGATAGATGGGGTTTGCTTGTAAACTTGTCGATCGTTCAATATATGGCTGTGTCAAAAAACGAGAAAGGTTTGAAAAAGATCATTTCAGTTTAAAATTACTGCTTGTGCCATCTCGATGGTTGTCGTCTAAAACTTGATCAAGGGAGCTGTAAATGCTTTGAATTTCAGGGGTTTTGAAAACGGCATTGGAGCATTTCCCAATCTCGTTTGACTCTAGACAGCATCTTATTTGACAAAGCTACACATGCACTGATTAAACATGGTTTGCCAACCGTTTAAATAGTGTCGCAAGATATAGAATCTCATTACACTGCTCCGTATTGACCATTCTCGACCCAGCTGACAATAAAAATGAGTTTATACGACGTGCAATTGCAGAAACTGAAAAAGAATTGTGTGTTTATTGAGAGTACAGTCCATTTCTGGTAGAAAAACACCAAGCATTTAATCATTGTTTATTTCGGAGCAAAATAGAGACCCCGATTGCAAGATCAATGCAAGTGTTTCATTTTACGTGAATACAGCTTTAATTCGTTTTGTAGCTTAAATCATCCAAGCTACTTTTGTGTTGGAGTATATGCTTTACTAATGTGGATGTTTGGATTGAATCCTGCTTATAGCTGAGGTAGAAATCACCATCGCAAATTCAAAACATTGCCACAAGTCGCTTATTCTAGAAAGATTAAATCTAGATATTAACAAGGTAGAATTCAAGTGAAATGCATAATCAACCGATTTGAGATGATTTTGAGCGAGTTTTAAATCGAATGATATTTACTCCTTGGTTGCTGAAATGGTCTGATATGTTGGTCCATTCTGTCAATATACAATATTCAGTCAAACTCGAGACGATGGCATGATTAATTTTTACATGCAAAAAGTTGTTAAACCACGTACCACTATGGCCTTGCCAAGTTGCTGATGTGTGACTAGTAAATGCGTCTGATATTGTAGTTGCAATGATACATCCCTCAGAGCCCATTTCAGTATCAGTAGCACTATGGTGGGATTTGTTTATAGATTTTGCGATTAGATTTCCTCTCAATTTATAAATAAAACCCCAAATACAATCTACCGGTAATACTTACAGGATGGGTAGTTTGGATATAGCTATGCGAAGTTTGAATACACCATTTATGCGAATAGACAGGTCAGGAAAGCAAAAGAATACACCATTGCACCCTAGCAAGTCATGACAAAGATAGGATGCAGATACAAGCGTGCCACAAAGCGAGTTTTCAACATTTCCTACAGGTCCATCAAGCAAAGTCAAGCCTGTATTAGTTGGTTTGTCTTGGCCTTGTGGTGGATTCAGTAACTGCTTGGCTAAGGCGGTATGCTGTGGCGTAGGTGCAGATAACTGGGCTATTGAATGCTGCATAGAAGGGGTTGAGGCGGGTGATTCAACCTTTGCACCGGTTTTGCTTTTTGACCTCCCGCGAGCTGCACCCATAAAATCAATTTTTCATGTGGTTAGACGTATTGTCAAAATGTCGTAAAAATGAACTTTTGCGGATAAATCAAACAGAAGATTGGTAAATTCCAGAAACTTGGATCTAAAGCATAGGGCTAGTGGTGGAAAGTGCATTAACATTGATCAGGTTTGTTTACAAAACAGAGGGCATGTGGATGAAATACAAGTGGATGGACTATAAGCAGATGAGTTTACTTTTAGATGAGTGACCAGGACCATCAAGACTAGACGCAGACTGGCCAACTGAAGACGATTCAGTTTTGTGCTGTATACGTGAGCTTTTTCTGTCCGTTTCTTGTTCAGGCTTTGATAACGGTGAAGTTGCTGGCTCACTTTTGTGCTGCAAAAGTGCTGTTTGTATAAAGTTACTTTGGTCTTCTTTTCCGTTTACAGACGATAAAAATGCATGAGCAATATAGTGCTGCCAGTCGGGCATTGAGTCAATACTATCAGATAAGGGGTGATGAGTTTACAATGCAAGGATAAATCCAGTTGATAGTGATGGAGATTAGTATATGGTAGAACGACGGTGTCGACGGGACAATGATAGCGGTAACAGAAGCATGCATCTGTGACTTTAGAGTTCACATAGCACTCGAATGCTTTTACTGTGTTATCCTTTCCCATCGTGACGGTCGAATGCACCAGTTGATTGGTCGTGAAGATTCAGTAGGATTACATTCACTTTTGTTGAACTGATGCATGCCATACATGGCCATTAGCAATCAACGATTATTTACATAGTATGCTATTCCGCTTACCTGTCGTCCAGAATATTATCTGGGGTAACTTTAAAAAGTTGCACGATGACGCATGGCTCAATCGGATGAGCGGATAGTGGGTTGTTGTATATACCAACTGCAAGTGCCTGGCTAGGTTGCTGAATGATACGGGCAAAGTATGAAGTGGTCGGCCGATTGAAAAGTGGGCTACCTTTGTCATGGGCGATGCTAGGGAAATGCCTGTTGGTTGCCATGAATTCGGCGTGATGATTTTTAGAATGAAGAAAAAGTAATACTGCTACAAAACCTTGAAGCTGCTTTACTAGCTAGCCAAGTAGAAAACAAGAATATTATAATCGGATATGGTAGATTCACTATTATAAAAATAAACCAAGATTTGCATGCATCACCAGGTGGATAAACCAACAAAGCAATTAATTTTGAATAAATCAGTAATTGTGTGGAGGCAATGGTAGTGGTGGGAAATTGGAAATAAATAATCCCGATTATCGAGTTCAAACCTGTTTGGATCTTGTATTATTTTTCAATACTGATTGTGTATTTGCAACTAGAGACAAAGGACGAGGACGGAAGGAAATATTTGTTTATATTTCAATCACCCATCTTCATTGTTTTTGAAAAACATTGATGACATAAACAGGCTGCTGTTGCAGCCTTTCAAAAACGAGTTTTCTGTTTGTAAAATTCCACGATTGTTTCAGATTAGTGTATAGGCTCTATAGGCAAGACACCAAAGTTCTCTTGCCAAAACAAGACCAGTATCAAGCTCAGCAAGCGACTGTCACTAGACCAAATGGGTGCTGATGTCCTATATTTAATCAAAGGAGCAGCAGGACGTCCAAACACAAGTCGGATTGTCGCCGCGGTACATGAAATACGAGCAATAGACGCTCCTACCATTCAAATTAGCAGACGGAATCTACCAATATTTTCAAAAAAGCAACACCAAGAAAACACACTTTCAGACTAAATCTGATCCCAGTAAGCTGGCAGTATTTTGGCAACAGATGCGATTGATAGATGTAGAGCAACATGTAAAACCCACTTTACTTGATGGACCATCATTTAGCATATTTATGGATCGAGCTGGAAGGGCACGAAATGCATTTTTTGTTAAAGTTGAGAACACAATGTTGAAGCTTACACAATGATGCTGCCTCATTTATCATAAGAGATACTGCAGGGTTTTGTAGGACAGCGCTAGTAACTATAAAGGATCAAGACCTGACACCATTAATAAGTATGGTGACACAATTATTGGAGCAAACAGCCTATTAAATGGATCAAGATATGGACAATCTCAAAAAGCCATTCATTTTCCAACTTACCCAAAAGATTGTGCTCCAGTAAATGTAGCACAAATCATAGGTATCCAGATGTTGATGAGTGCCGTATACGCCTAACTGCGACGTTCTATTATGGACGAGTCTGGGTTGCATGTGAAGCTTTGTATCTCTCATTTTTCAGACGAGCAATTGAAGATTAACTGGCATACATTTATGATCCATAGGCTTGGTAAAAAGCGTGACTGTAAAGCATCATCTGCTCCCGAGTCAATCTGTATTGTTTTTGATGGCGAGATGAACTTGCAATCGTTAATGTAAACCTGCCTCTTTCTCAAGCTTCAAAAGAGCATATGTGGATGTGGTGGTAGTTGCAAAGATAACAGCAACCCTGATCATGCACGAAAGTGTGGTTGGATGGATTTTGTGGGTACTTCAAAAGCATGATACACACTGACGGTGGTAGCTATTAACAGTTTTTCATTTATCTTTCGATTGTCGCTAGCTGTAAAAGATCTTGACAAGATAGTGCTGATCAAACAGTGATGTTTTAAAAGTTATTTGCCATGATTGTTTTGTTATCAAAAGTCCGAGTTGTTATAGTCGAGGTAAATTCTTGTAGAAGATCATATTTGAATTACAAGAGTGGTTTAAAATATTCCAACAATCATATCACTACTGACAATCTATAAATTGATCATCCTTACAAAAACCTCAATCTAACAAAGTAACATTAACTAATCTAAAACAGTATTGGCTCAATGTCAGGAGACCAATTCGCCATCATACGGCAATGTAAATTGTATATTTGTGATTTTTAATATTAGAATGATGACTCGACCAATTTTTTCAAGCATGCTAATGATGCTTCAGCAATCTCAGCAGATCAGTCATTTTACAACACTCATAACTTGGGCTGAGATTGCATGGTTCCAAATCTACAGCTCGGACACGAATTATCCCAAGTTTATGATTCACTCTGCCATAAATGCACTCAACTAGAGTCAATGACCCGGATCACTTGCGTTTGATAATAGGCCAATAGACCGTGACTGCTCAATGTGATCCGCCACGATGTCAAACTCGTTTACAACCCTTGCTCATTCACGTTCTATTATCATTTAATTAGGGGTATTTTTTGTCAGCAGTAAAATAATATAGTATTCACATGAACAAGACGCAAGTTGTTTAAAATATTTTTTATGCACTGTATCGGTTTCGCAAACACTTGGTAAACTGCTAAATGGTAATTATGTTGGAATTTTTGGTCTACCATATCTAATTTTTAAATTTGAAAGCTTATTCAATACAATACCAATTACAATCTGCTCAATAGCAAGCTGCATTGCATATGGCTGTAATGTACCAAATCCATATACCCTTTCTCTTGCTCACCAACCCACCCGTAACTAGCAGCTATACAGCTGAGTTTGCTTTAGGTCATAATAGCACAGCCCAAAACTGTATGTGCAAATTAGTGTCGAGACCGCAAATAATACTCATCACGAGGAATTTGCTCAATTTGGCCAGTTTTCCTCATTGAGCAGAATATCCAGACTTGATATTTCTTTACAAATCGAGTTACCCACAGATCGATTGAAAACTACTCGAGATCCTTGCTTACCAGCCATTTTTAATTCATAGTTAATTTTGTTTATTCCTGTCAAATGGACTATATCAAAAACCACTTTAAAGCGGTTCGTTATGAACGGTCTCCTGCCTTACTCAAAGCCGAAGAGTACTTGTTTCTGGTCCCTCCTATCAAGTTCAACCGCTACTTTCTTTTCCCCGCTGCTCTTTTGATTCAGGTACGACTGATTTTGCATTTTCAGCGCTTGGTCTTACTTGATCTCCTATATATGCTATATTTTTCAGTAGCCCTTGTATTGAGTTGGGTTTATGGCGATGTCAAATACGCTTTCGATTTTGACTTTCCTATTGCCCTTGTTTCTTTGATGCTTCGAGATGTAGTTGTATGATCAGAGATGATCCTACTTCAGAATGAGCATGCATCAGCTACTAGTTTCCCTTAAACCAACATTCGGTCCGTTATTACAGCTGATGGCGGACTCTAAAATATTTATTTAGCCACAATATCATATTTAAGGGTGTTTGTGGGGTTTCTTCCCGTAGTGATCACTTGTTGATGATGTAAATATCTGCACATACGGGTTTTTACTGATTGGACACCATCCAACTATTAACATGCAATATGATGCCATAACTAAATGGGACTTTGCTGTCTTGCATGAGCATTAGACACTTTCAACTGTCATCCTACAGAGCATGTCTTGATGCATGTCATCTGATCAATAATTCGTTTTCTGCTGTGATTTGTTGATGTAAAATCAAGCTTTTCGTCACGCGGAGTTTATTTGGTGGCGATTATTCAACTTGCCTTTTGTTTCTAATGGCGGAGTCTGACTTTGAATTTACATGCCCTTGGTTGTGCGGTATTCCATGCATCATTGTAGTTGTTTTGATTAATGGTCTAAGCCCTTTTTTTTGAATTAGCTTTCCATTGGCTCTCTGTATGCTTGGTCTGGCTATAATTTGCCCATGGAAGCTTACATTTATGGCTTGAATGGAGCTATCGATCGTAATATTGCCTCCAACGTTTTTTACGTCGCTGTTGGTAAGCTTTTGGTTGGATATCTCGGTTTACCACTTGCTATACTTATTCAGCCAACGTATTTATATATGAATACTTGATGTTTTCAACAGGTGTTTTTGGCATCACGGCTGCTCTTCTCGGTCCATGGCTTGAACGTCGCGGTCCTATGATTGGCTGCCTTTTTGGTGCTGTCATGTTTTACATTGGCAATCTGCTTGCTGGTCTGGGTGTTTACACCAAGCACATTGAGCTGGTTTTTGTCGGATACGGTATAATTGGTGGAATAGGTCTTGGCATCGCATATATTGCTCCAGTTTCTCCACTACAGAAATGGTTTCCTGAAGCTCGTGGTATTGCTGCTGGTGTTGCCGTCTGCGGTTTTGGTGGTGGTTCCATCATTGCACCTTATGCGCAAAAGTTTTTGATTGGAGTCAACTATCAAAAAACCTATCAAGTTGGCATTGTTGGTATCCCCTTGACTTTTGTCCTTCTCGGATCCATCTACTTTGTTCTTATGGTTGTCTCTGCAGTTGTTCTTCGTATGCCTCCTCCAGGCTACTCTGTCAAGGGCATCACGATTGATACCATCAAAGGCGCAGAAGAATTTGAACGCAAACCCATGGTCATTCAGATCAACCCTCATTCTGAGCTTGCCAACAAGAATGCTCTTGAGCAAACCACCATGATCAACGCCGATCAGCAGGATGCTATTACTGTCGAGAAAACTTCGGGCTCCTTGACCAACAATATCTTTTCGCTTTCTCTCTCTGAATCTCTTGGATCTTCCGAGTACTGGTTGACTTGGTTCATGTTTTTGGGTGCCCAAATTACCGGTCTTCTTGTGATTTCCAAAATTCAGTCCATCTGTCAAAACCAGTTTAAGCGTAGTGCCGATGTAGCTATCTTGATCAACTCCCTTCTTGGTGGTTGCAACTTGCTTGGCCGTCTTCTTCTCCCACTTTTCTCGGATCTTCTCCCCCACATCACTGGTGGTGTTGCTGGTCGCAAAAGCATCTTTTTAGTTTCTCTCATTGTCCAGGCTGTCTGTCTTGGATTCCTTCCCACCGTAATCACTGCTCATGACTTTAACGGCTTTATGGTTTGTGCATTTGTGATTACCTTTTTTTATGGCGGCGGTTTTGGAATTATTCCTGCCTTCCTTGCTGATCAGTTTGGCGCAAAGAATGTTGGTGCTACACATGGTATCATTCTCCTTGCCTGGTCGACTGGATCTGTTGTCGGTGGTCTTATCTTTACTGCCGTTCTTAAGCAAGAAACTGCTTTGTTTTTCCCTGATATTGTCTCCATTTATACACTCAACTTCCGCTGGATTCTTGGTGTTGTATTGGTTGGACTGGTTTTGTGCTTCTTTATCCATACCAATCTTAAGGATCGTCGTCTTCCCAAAGTTGCTGGCGAGTTCACTCGTATGCGTTTTGTCAATGGTCGCATGGTTCGCGTTTACAAAAATGGTTCCATCAAGATGATTAGCAAGGAGCAGGAGCAGGAAGAATGGGCTGGCTACCTTCACACTATTGGACACTAAACCCGCGTAGTTGTAATATCAAGTGTGTTGATTGAACAGAGGATCGACAATGTCGTATTCTCTGTGGCATCCTGACTTTTATTCATTTTATCTGCACGTTATCATTGATCTGGGTATATTGGATTGATATACTTGTCGACTTTATTTTTCAAATAAACTCCAGAATTCAAAAAACTAGAGTTTGGTGGGTGAGCGAGTTTGTGCATGCAGACTAATATAGATTCCCAACTGGGTTGACAAGTTTTTCAAGTTTAAAATAACATGCCAAAACACTTTTAGTTGTATTCAGTAAAATGTAACTTGTATTTATCTTGCAATTATCCCTCAGGAATAAATAATGGTTGGATATTCGTTGTTTCCATACTTGGAAATTGATTGTTTTTTATAAAAGCTCTGGCTTATCCCAATCTCATACGTTTACGCTCTTCAAAAAAACAAAGATGACAATCTCAAGGATCTGAAATGCATTGGAACAGGAATACGAACATTTGTTCAATACCAATCCAACATGACGTTATTTATCATGTGTTTTTAGTATTTCATTTTACATGAACACGATTTAAAACAATTCATTCTTATTCTAAATCATCAACAGACTGAATTGCAAAACTATTTTTGCTATATTTGAACCATGTCTGCGAGTCTGACAAAATGGCTACGTATAAGCCTAGTATCTCTTCCAGCTTTATATACGATTTACACTGTTATCCGATGGCGTCTGTTGGCTGCCAAACAACGCAGAATATTCGAACGTCTTTGTCCAACCCTTCCTGTCATAACAATCAACTTTACTCGTACTGTGTTTGGTGTCATTGACGTTACAAATTTTTCTATTATTCCTACTTGGTGGATGCCAAAGCTATTGCCTAAGGGCTGGCAGTGGACGACTGGACATGATGTGTATCAGCAGCTGTAAGACCATTATACCTCTACTTGAATTATGCAATATCAAATGCAATCAATACTAATGCTTTGTTTTCATTGTTTATTCAATAAGCGGAGGCGATGCAATTGCTATTGTATCCCCCGGCGACCGGCAGTTATGGGTAGCGGATGCCGATCTTGTCAAGGACATTGTTTCACGGAAATCCGATTTTGTCAAGCCCGTTCACATCTACACTATTTTAAACATATTTGGTAGTAACGTGGTTACAACCGAGCATGCTGAATGGCGTCGTCACCGCAGGATTGTTTCGCCTCAGTTTTCTGAGCGTATCAACCTTTCTGTGCTGCAGTATGCAGCCGAGACCGTTAGAGATATGCTCAAATGCTGGCAGAGTACAGAGCATACTGCACATGGCGAGGTTCGAGTCAATGTTTCAAACGATATGATGAAGTTGGCTTTACATGTTATTAGCGGTGCTGGGTTTGGAATGCGACTTGATTGGGTAACTTCTGAATCTGATCAAACTCTTGATCACGGACACACCATGTCGTACAAAACCGCAGTTCATAGTATGATGGCTGGTTTGCCGTTAAAAATTATTTTGCCCAAGTTTGCTTATTTGCTGCCCATTGAAAGAGTGCAGAATGTAAAACGATCATTTGACGAGTTTGGACTGTACTTGAGCGAAGTAATTCGTGGAGCTGATAAACAGGACGAATCGAATTTGCTTGTAAGTTTAGCCAAGGCAGCCAGGGCTGAGGATGGTGGTCTCACTGAGCAAGAGCTCGTTGGAAATGTTTTTGTTTTTCTATTTGCCGGTGGGTTGATTGTGACTGATGTGCTGATCTGCAAAACGACTTTATTAACGGTTAAATTTATTTAGGACACGAAACAACTGCCAGTACATTTATGTTTGCACTTGCTATGCTTGCGTCTCATCAAGACGTGCAGCAACGACTCTACGAAGAGATTCAACTGATTCTCGATGGTAACGATCCACAATTAAAAGACATTCAAAATCTTGGCTACACACTAGCAGTCATGAATGAGACACTGCGCATGTTTCCTCCAGTTGTTGCGATTCCAAAACATACTACCAGTCAACAAACACTCGGTAAGTATATTATTCCTGAAGATACACGTGTAACTCTTCATACTGTTGGTATCCACTACAATCCAAAGTACTGGGGTCCAGATCCCAGTGTCTTTCGTCCAGCAAGATGGTTTACGCTCCCCGAGTGTGCCAGCAGTGCAGTCAAAACGCGCGATTTTATCAGATCTACCACACAACTCAAATCCCAAACCTCACCATCTGAACCTGAACATGACAAAACACGCTCGGATGTTCCAGATACTGCATCCGACAAACCCCACCAAAGTCTGTTTTCGTACAACCGGTATGCATTTTTGCCCTACTCTGAAGGAATGCGATCGTGTTTGGGTAAGCGATTTGCACAGGTCGAGTTTATTACTGGATTGGCAATGATGATGCAAAAATATTCCGTGCACTTGCCTGACGGTGCGCAGATTGAGGAGGTGATTGAAAGTCAGAATCGAGTCACTTTGCAGCCAAAACGGGACATGTATTTGGTGTTTAAGCCCAGAACGTCGACCTGATTTATTCCGATTTTACAATCATACCACGTAAAATAGAGCACTTGCATTGATCTCGTCTCTTTTTGGAATAAACAATGGTTGAACTATTTAGTGTTTTGCTATGAAGATTGAGTTGGTGTCGCTTGTTTTCACGAGTATGGCTTAACCATCAATCACCATATCATGCATACTGTATAGATGAATACTATAACGACTCACCAAGTCAACACCACAGTAGTTGTAAGGGATTGGATTGAGTTTCAAAAACAAGAGCAAATTCATTTAAAGCTGGCCAGATTTGGCAACAACAATCTTCTTGGAAGTCTTTCCAGACTGGGAACCAAGCTTTTCAATGGACTCGACGACGGACATGCCTTCGGTGATGCAGCCAAACACAACGTGCTTGCCATCAAGCCATGAAGTCTGAGCAGTGCAGATGAAGAACTGGGAGCCGTTGGTGTTGGGACCAGCATTGGCCATGGAGAGAATGCCTGGACCAGTGTGCTTGATCTTGAAGTTTTCATCCTCGAACTTGTTGCCGTAGATAGACTTTCCACCCGTGCCGTTGTGGTTGGTGAAATCACCACCTTGACACATGAATTGGGGAATCACACGATGGAAGCAAGAACCCTCATAACCAAAGCCCTTTTCACCAGTGCAAAGAGCACGGAAGTTTTCAGCTGTACATAAGCAGGTGTATCAAGTCAGCAAGAAAAAAGGCAGACAAACAAGATCAACAAACGTAGCTTACCAGTCTTTGGGACAACATCAGCACGGAGCTGTTGGTTAGTGATTACAGACCAGAATTTGTTGTGCGCAGCAAGTGAAAAATAAAAACCACAGGGATCAGGATCAGCACATAAATCACAGATCAACAAGTTAGCAAGAGTCAATGGCTGAGAAAAGCACAAGACTGTCCCACTGATCTGCACAAAAGACAGGGCAGATAGAGAGCAGTAGTTGAGATGGAAGAAACCAAACAGTAAGGGGATTTACCTCCATGACAATGCGACCAAGAGGAGCACCGTCAGCAGTCATATCGAAGAAAACCTTTGGATTAGCGCCAGACATGTTCTTGAAACCAGCGGCAGCATTACGAAGCAAAGGAGTGTATCGAAAGGCACACATAAGTGGATAATCAATCAAAGGAGTGAGAAATGAAACTAATGGAAATGGGAAGAGTGACAGAATGTCAGAAGAGATGGCAGATCAACAAGGGTTAAACCATAAGAATACATCTGGTGGTGAGTAGAAAGGATAAACAAGAGTCTAGCCAGTTGGCATTGACAGCAGAAGATTTGTGGCAGAACAGCACACCAAGAGCAATGTATTTCAAGCCAAATCGACAATCCATCAAAACACTTACAATTGATTGATGGCAGGAATAGCAAGGCGGATTGAGGCAAACTTGACACTCCAGCCACGTGAGGTTACGTCGCGCTTACCACTGCATCTGCAATCCATCGATAATGACTGCTGCTGGCGAGGTTGCACATCAGCATCTGAGTGCTTCTCCTATAATAGAAACCATCTCGTCAAACTTTAGAGCAGACCTTGATAGACGCAACACGGATGCTCTTTTGGAACTCAACTTGCAGATTGACCAGCTTGCTTCTGCTCCGTTGCGTTCTGCTTTGCCTCCATACGATGACCAACTGAATCTATCACCTCTTACTTCAACCGTTGCCATTCCAATGACTATGGAACAGACGGTGCTTACTCAGTCTAATTTCAACGATAATGCTACGCCATTCGCTGCCATTCGCACTGGTGAGGATTGCGCCGATTATTCTCTGAATTATCGCATGTTGGATGCCATGGCTTCCGGACAAAATACTACTACTGGTCTTCTACCACCAGTTCATACTCTTCCAACCGAGTCTACCATTCTTGCCATGAACCACAATTTGGCTGATATCAGTATGCAGCTTAATATGGATTTAGCAGATTTCAAGCGTCTTGCAGATATGGACACTCATGCTGCTACTCCTTCGTTTATGCATGCTACAGATATGTCATCCATGCATATGAATTCTCAGGCTGATTCAAAACCTTTGAACAGTTTGAAACAAAAAGTGTTACAGTGGCCTGATTCGCAAGTGTCTGGTAATCCATTTATTACTGATTCTTTAATTTCAGATATTCCTGGCAATATGATGGATGGTGTTAGCATGGATAGAGATCCTCACGGTGACTTTACGCTGTCATTTACTGCTCCTCATTATTCTTCGATTTTTCCAACTACCACTTCTATTAGTGCTGCCAAGCCTGCAGCTTCATCACCTACAACTCCTGTGCCAACTCAAAAACTATTTGTGCGCGACATGGATGTTTCTCATGTAGCTGATGCAAGTGCTGATTTTGACTACAACACATCCCACATACTTACTCAGCCGTTGCAGATGACACAAGATACAGATGCTCTGTTTGCTCGTGTTGATAGATCCATCGACGACGAATCCTTTGCATATGCTGATTACGATACTCACACTGGAAATGCCATATATTCATCCCATACTCCCTATGGACCATCTACCACTACTTCTCGCATTCACTCATTGCATGTCAGTCCAGACAGAGGATACCGTCGCTCTGCTCAAGAAATCAGTCAAGCTTGGATGTCCGTATCGCGCCAACCCAATCTATCCGACTTACAGACTTCCACTTTGGCCAAAGTGGAAGAGCTTACTTCACCACCTGATGCAAATGCTTGTTCTTCAAATTTAAATGTTGAAAACAATGAATTGCAGAGCTTATCTGATCGTTTGGAATCCATTCGGTTGGGAACCAACCATTCTGCTTATAATGGTGCTGCCATCACAGTAGCCGATACTGCTTTGAATAATTTGACTGCACATTCAGAAACAGGTCAACACTCTTCAAATGATATGGCTAAGATAGATAATGACAGTCATAATCAAAGCAATGCACATACACAGGTTCCATGGGCTTCGGCATCTATTCAACAGATTCATCAACGTATCTTGCACGGATATAACTTGACGTCTCAAAGCCAGCAACATGATCAAGGGTTGGCAACCAGTGAAAATCCTAGAAAATCAGTTATTTCTGGACAAGTAAGCCGCGATGGCTCAAACAATGGAATAGACAATCTACACTTTCGTCGACCGTTACCCACTACACTAATGGATGTAGATCATAACAAAACATTGTATAGTATTCCTGCCGATGAAAATTCTCGAGCTGTAGTCAATGCACTGCGGACTCTTCAGGAACGAGTGGGAAAACTTGAAGGAGAAAAAATGGCTGCCAAGGATAAAATATCAGATTTGGAACTCGAGCTATCGACAACGAGGAAACTATTGTATCATCAGCAACAGAGTGGGTTTACAGCTGATTCTTTTGCTAATTCTGTAGTCAATGGATCTACTCAACAGCCTGCTGGAAATCATGCTGGATTGACAGTTTCTGATGCTAATCCCACCTCTGTTCACAACTCCACTGCTGAGCCACATTTTTCCATCTCCGAACCACAACTATTACATCAACAACATACCACACTTCAATCTAATGTTGATCAAGTATCTGCTCACACTCCTTTAATATCGGTACAATCTCAATCACAACCAGTATCATCAACCACCACTGAGCCAACTTCGCCCAATCTTAAACTGATATCCAATGTTCCGCCCCTTCCTGCTACAAAGACTTCCACGCTTAATGACATTGCAGAGGCAAGACAAATGGTGAGTGATCTCAAAGCACGCGTGGAGCGAGTGCGAGATCTTGATCGTGACGTACAAGGTTTAGATACTCCTCAACCAAAATACTCCACTAACCATTTAGCACAATCAGCACCTTTCCAGAACCAGGATTTCCCTGTCAAACTTGAATCACACTTTGAGTCTAAAAATATGCCCGATAGAGAGAATGTCTCTCACCCACTGCCGTTCAATACTCATTTATATCCCGTTGAAAAAACTGAACCACTATCTATGAATCCAGCCGCTTCAAAAAACTCGTATGATACATTTATTGACTCGCATAGACAGACACCTTCCATGCATGTACAAGACAATGTGCCAGTTAAACCTGCTTTTGAAAATGCACCTGATCGCACATACTATCAACGCAATCGTGTGTTATACTCTTCTCTACCGCAAGAAATTGTGCATAATCCCAATGAGTTGTCTAGTTCAAAGCATATGACTCCTCCCTCCTTTTCTGATTCTTATCATGATTCGACACGTAAATACGAATCAACTACTGCGCCAGTTTTACATTCATTTAGCACTTCTATCCCAACAAGCATGCCTACTTTTACGACATTTAAATCTACAGCTCCAATGACTGAAGAACATCGACCTACAAAAGAGCGGGACAATGCACTGCAAAACAGATATGATGCATACCAGCCTACTCAAACTCATCGTTTTGATTTACCTTTTAAAGTCTCGGCAACAGGTGATGCGGATTGTAGTTTTTTGAGCGAGGCAGAGATCAACCGATTGCAACAGGACATTCAATCTGAGCGTTTAGCACATGAGGCTTATCAACGTCAACCCAGTCAAGCTTTTTTAAAACAGCAACTATTAGATCAGTCAAAATCTATACCTATCATGGCATCGACAGCAGGAGCTGGGTCGAAAAAAAAGCAAAGAAAACATAATAAAGTGCCTACATATACGCCAGATAATGTACCCAGTACTAATTCTACTGGTTCCGAGCTAGCTCCACAATGGAGGAAAATAGAACAACGTGGCCGATCATCTCTACGCGGAGTAGTAAACCCATCCACCACTTTGACAACGCATATCCGCAGACGACCACCAATTGATATGCCATCTGTGGTTCAACAGCCAATGAATACCGATCCACATGGACGAGAGATGCCATTTACAGTTGGACAATGTACAGGAAAATCGTTTTCAGTTACTGCAAATCTGCAGCGGGTATTTTCACTTCTCAAAGCACATAATCCTGGCTTGTGTTCGGTTTGTTCTCGAAGGCGAGGTGCAGTGTGCCAGCCTAGCCATTTTGAACACAATAAAGGTGGAGAGCGAAGACGAACTATGCATGTTGTTGATGGCGGAGGAGAAAGAGGGCGAAGACGATCAGCTACTGGTCCGTCTGCAAAAGATACAAGAATGGGTATGAATATTGCAACTCGTACCTTTAATCATGCTGCTCCAGTTAGACAATCCAATTCTACTCGCTCATCAACACGAGTAGCAAGCAATGCGGATGACATGCACATCAGTACAGATCTAGATGCGGACGTGTCGGCTGGAATTGCCAGCGCAGGAACAGAGAATCTTCATCACGTACTTGGCATTCTAGAAGAAGAATTCCGTACGCTCAAGGGAGAATACAATCATCTTGTTTCCGAGTACGAAAAGGCTGTTGACTCTACTAGCCGAATTGGAGATATTGTCCGTGATCATGACATGTCTATATCAAACATGAATGGTGATCAAAACAGCAAGAAGAATTTAAAGGCGATTGGAGATGAGTTAAGGTTGGTCATACAAAATATGGAAACCAAGGGCGATCAGGTTTCGATTTTGCGTGAAATTATGCAGAGTACATTAAAACACAACCAGTCCAAGTCAGAGTATGCAGCCGAGAGGAAAGGTGTGATTACTTCACACTCTGGCGGTAATTCTAGCAATAACGTGTCACATAGGGCTGCAAAGGAGAAACGATACTTGCTTTCAACCGTGACTTCGCGGTCCAAGTCGCGCGAGTCTATTTTCAGAAATGGCAACCCTGCTCATGGCGTTGGGAGCGATGGAGATGGTGTCTATAGCTCCAAATCAGTGCCAATGCATGGAGGAAAGCCCATATACAATCGTAGAAATGATGCTGTTGATGGTCAGAAAGCCAACATTCCACGGTGGAGTACTCATCGCTCTGCTAGCCATTCACCTGGTCGACTAGTAGCTAGTCTCAGTCTTTTGAAAAGTAGTCAAAAAGTACAAGATGCACTCGTCGATTCTGTATCCAACATTTAACCGACTGAGCTGTTGAATATAGTGACTTGGTAAAACAGCAGTGTGATATTTTTGATATTTGAAATAAAACCCAGTTTAGTTTTGATGGTCAGCAGCAGTTTATTTATCGACTTTGAGCGTATAGTTTTAAACTTTTATATCCATATTCTTGGTGAATAGTTCATATTACTGGACAAAAATTATTCATCCGAGCCATCTATCACCATCAAGTGTGATTGACGACGACTACGTGGAAGCATTGAAAGCCCTCTTGCACTAGGACTAGTGGTGACTACCTCACTACCAATAGGTGACGCACTCTCACCTAACGATCTATATTCCGAAGCACGTCGTGCAGCATTCAAACTTGGTGTCGAAGGTGATCTAACCAATTGAGTTTTTCGTAAAGGTGTAGTCGAACCAGATCGATGACGCATGGTGGTATATACAGTATTTGAATTGGCGCATTGACCATGAGTAGAGTGTGGTGTTGGTGTCATTGATTGAGAATGATCAAGCTTGTTTGATTTCAATGTTGTTTGGATAGCGCCTGATCGTGCCAAAGTTGCTGGATAGTGATGATATGTAGCCTGATCTTGTCGTAAAAGTGACGATGCAGATGGTGTTTTTCTGTGACCAAGTCTATCCAGAACAAAGATATTTTCGTTGACAAATCGATCTGCAATCTCAGCCTCCTGAATAAATTCCAAAAAACATCAAATTATAAGCAATGACAAAATTATGTAGATGAAAATAATTGGTAACAGAGTGTTGTACCTACCAAAACATTTAAATATCGCGAATTGTCGAGTATAAAAGGCTCTCCATGATCTAAATTGACAAAAATGTGATTAGATTATTGTTAATTTTGTTTCAGCATTAACAACATCAATGCATTCACTATTTACCGTGTTCAGCTGAAACAATAGAGGCTCTAAGCTTTGACTCAATTCGTAGCAAAGTGGGATAGCATGTTTTTCTAAATCGTTCTTCCTCGACAAGTTGAAAGGACGGTCTAAACAACCTTCGAGGATCAGATGCTGATGTTTCAAATTCTTTCATTTTCTGAAAACTCCAAAGTTAAACTATGCTAATGAAAAATGCTTAACCAACACTAAAAAATACAAAATCAATCCAGTTACTCACATTGATGAGCGCATTGCGATCATTGATTTTTTCATATATCTCTTGATACACTGCGTAGCGTTGGTTTAGCATAGCAATCTCTGCTCTAAGGATCTCGATGGTGCTTGGTGAGTATAAATCTACCCAAAAAACAATGTTAAAACACCAAGAATTTCCAACATGAGCAAAACTGTCAGTGTTGAATACCTTGATTGATATTATTTAAAAATGTTGTACAATGTTGTTCAGAAACAAAGCATTTCAGCCACAAATCTTTGATAATAACCAGTAACTAATAACAATATATTCGAATGATGGTCAGTCATTGCATAAATTATTTACACGAATTAAATAGATACCTCGTCAACATGCTTTTCCATTTTTTGTTTCCACAGTTTTCGTAACGATTCGCATAAATCTTCATACTATCCAGCAAAGTATAGATTAATACCTGTGCCATAATCAAGCATTTCGATGAAAATTGAAATGATTTAAATAGCTTACTTTGTCTATTTTGTGTAAATCGTTTTCAAGAGAGATTCTTTGATCGTCACTAGTTTCCAAATCTTTCCATAGTGTTTCAATCTCAGTTATCAAAATGGATAGTTTTGTATCAAGCATACACTTTAGATCAAGTAGCTCATGTAAAGCGTTTTCAAGATTTTTTTCCAGTTCTGGAAATAGTATGGGTAGATTGGGTTCGTTTTCAAGCGCGCTAGATGTCTGAATACAAGATAGTTCGTCTAGTTGGTGCTGAATATGGATGGGTATATGCAACACGGGTATTTTAGTAGCAATTGGAGTGATGGTGTGGAGAATGTTATGAATAGCAGTCAAGCGCATTTCCTATTTATAAAACAGATCAGCAATGCTAATTAGCATGAGCATGCTATCTAATAAAATAATTCGACTCGACTAAACGTTGGCAAAGCTTACCGCCTTGTTCACAATCAATGAGAGTGCTTCTGCACAGATATTCAAATCCGAGTTACGCAACATTTCAATTTCCTAACATATCATCACATATTGGAATAGTTTTTGAATTGTTAGTAAAATTCTTTGAACACGACATGCATTTTTCTACATGGATATATGATGGACATACAGGAAATGCGCATGTCCAGTCCGGTAGTTTACTGCAAATCTGGAAATACCGAGTTTTCATCACCTGAACTTTACTCTGTCGCTCGCTACAAATCTGTAGGTTAAAAATAGCAACAGTCAGTTACAAACAAGAGTATATCGATTAGTTTAGATCGTGCATCAATCATGACATGCCTGCTTGTATTCATCAACCCATTTTGATACAACAGCGATTTGATCTAGTGGTGATAAACTCTTATCCAGACACTCAAAAGGAGATTCTTGACCAAGCAAACCACACAAGGCATCAAGCTTTGCCTTTATTTGTTCAAGGACAGTCCAATTGTTAGTAAGATGAACATGACACTTGAAATGATAGGATGATCGCAAGTTGCTTTACTTGAAGTTCGGACAGTTGCTTTAAAATGAGCTGTCGTTGTTGATACGGTTCTTCGTAGAGTTGCTGCACCAAAGGCTCTAGAGACTACACATCATTTGTAATCAACATATATGATTGAGCCCAAGTAATTGCAAGTGAATGCATTCATACAAGCCGCATCGATTATCTCGACATATAACAAACCTCCAATGCAATTGACCATGCTGGATCTAATGCATATCCTGACATGGAAGAATCCTGCTCAATATATAAAATACATTTTTGCAAGCGGTCTGCAATAGTATGGACTCTAGATAGCTGGAATTGAGCATCTACATGCAGTTTAGGTTTGCCAGTGGATTTGACGGGGACTGTCGAGTCTAACAGGTCAGATTGGAATGGAATCAGAATGGTGTCTGCACTTTCTGAGCTGAGAAGAGAAGGCTCACAATCACATAGATCCGTAGTGATGGCCATCTTTTTTAAAGAATCTGTAGATTCATCTTTCAACATGGTGCAGTTATCAGATAATCAAGTTTGAATTCAACGCGATTTTATGGATTCTCAAACAGTGTTCAACTGTCGAGTTGTAACCATTGCTAGATATAAATGAGTGGATTAATTTATTCAGTCATCATGTCTGTCTCGGTAGGCACAATGAGCTTGATAGCCTCTGGCTTATCATTATTAGTTTCAATCGTCTTGATTGAATTCACCACTCGCACTGTCTTGATACTGGACATGGCGTTGTAATCTCCTTCCCAATTCTTGAGCATCTCCACATTCTTGGTATCGGTCAATGATGGTATTTCAATTCCTGCATTGTACTCTGCAAGGTCTTTTTCGCGCAGTGATTCAAGAATGCCCAGTCTACCTGGCTTGGGTCGGTTCTTTCGCAACTGGCTCATGATTTGAGAAATCTCATCCTCATTGCGATTAATGTACATGTCGATAATAGAGTGCACATCAGCCTCGGTGATTTCAGCTGGTGGATCGGGTGCGGCAAACTTGAACCACAACAATCTCTCAACTAATTATATATTAAATGTTGGTGTTTGTAGATGCAGCAGAGTTGGTTTAAAAGAAATTACACTTTTGTAAAAATGCTCTCGATACATTATTGATTAGGTAAAAAGCAGTAACATACCTGCAAGACGCTTATGATTGTCTCTATCCGCCTTTTTTTTTGTTAGTTCAGTGTCCCTGTGCAATGCTCGTTGAACTTGGAGTGCCTTGCGAGAATATGGATGTGCCTTGTCCAATCCTTTGATACTGGACACACTTTTCTTTTTGTTGTTTGGCATTTTAATAATAAAAAGTATCGATCAAAAAGACGGCTGCTCTTCTTACAATCGAGCTTTAGAATGGATTGCAGTGAATGATGGCTATATCAAAACCGTATTTGAAATCGTGAAGAAAACTTTTGCTAATCTGAATTCAATCTTTTTGCACTTGAACTTTATTCAAAACTAGACAAAATCTGGCTACTGGAATCAACCGACAAACTAATCCGACAGTTTCTCTTGACAGAATATCCTGAATAACTTTTGTCTGGATCTTGGAAATCACGAGACTCATACTTTTATCAGTAAACCAGCCGATTTGTAGTGTAATCTTCAATCATTGATGCCTGCCAACGATAGCACCATGTCAGATTCTATTATTTCACATTCGACTAAAAATCAGGATATACAGGATTATGGTCTGAAAATGCGACGCAGTCTGCGTAGTGCTGTTGTTCAATGTACTGAACGTGGACTGGTCATGTCTGCTCGATGGTATGCAGATTCATGACTTGGATTCTATCAGATTCGATTGCCATGCATACTTTTATACAACTAGAATAACCCATTTCCTCACTTTGAATTTAAATATAAAAGGGCTGCTGAGCAACTTCTTGGATTTGACAGATCAGCACTCCATTCACAACTACACACCACAGAACCATCCTCAGATAATCCAGCCTTTAGTGATATCCAACCCAATCCATTCACAGTTCAAACACAACAATCCATTCCAGAAAATCAACAATCTGTCACTTATCTTGCAGATCCAGTCACAAGTTTGGATGAGCCTGGCGTTGAGGATGATATTTATTTGTACGCAAAATCATGTTTCGATGCAAGAGAATATCCGCACGCTGCCGAGATCTTGAAAGACTGCACAGGACGACGATCCATATTCCTACATCTGTATGCGAAATTAATGGTAAAACATGCTTGATTCAAAAGATGCATTGGTAGCGTATTAACAACAATGCCTTTAAATATATAGGCTGCTGAAAGTACCCAGCCCATTGAAACATATCAATCTCCAAAAGGTAGTCTACAAATAGATTTGGATTTCTGCAATTATGTTTACCTTGTTTTCCATATTGTCATTATGGATAGATACACCAAGCCAGGCTACCCGACGGATTCTTATTTCAATTGAACACGAGCTCACTGCTAAGCTCAGCAAAGATGAATCAGATGGATTTTTGTGGTATTTGTAAGACATTGTTAAATTCGATTGGAGCAATGTAGTTTATACTCGCTATGGCTTGCATTCACACATGTATAGATTAGGAGTCGTTACTAAAAAACTCGGAAAGCGTGAACAAAGTATTCGATTTCTCACAAAGGCAGTCCAGAAGTACCCGTACAACTGGTCAGCATGGATTGAGCTTGCATCTCAAGTGCACGTACAAGAAGATGTGAGTTTTTTATTAATCATCTGGCATGATCTATTTTGTCAAAACAACTCGATGACCAAGTCACTTGGTATACGATTTGAGTATTTATAAATAGATAAATGATGCTTAATAGTTGAGAGGTATTGACTACTGTATCTTGATTTCAAATTTGGACAATTTGTGTGCAGCTGGATTTGGTTTTGCAACAGCTTCCAAACGATTTTATGACAGGCTGTTTTCAAGTTTACGTAGAAAATATTATGGAATATCAGGTGGAGACCAATCCAGATGAAATTGATCGATTATTGAATCTATGTCCGCGAAGCCGGTTTTTGAAGCTTCAACGAGCTATTTTATTTTATAATGCCCGAGGTGAGTTGTGTAATGTGTTTATTAAACTATTGCTACGTTGACGGTATTTTAGACTTTATTCCATCCACTGTGATGTATTGATTCCAGATTCAAGCTAATGACTTATACTTGCCAAACTAGATGCTGAAACAGCAGAGTCCATTTTTGATGAGTTGCTGGACAGGAATCCGTACATGATTGATGGTATACAAATTCTTTCCAATGTCCTGTTTCTCAGAAATAAGGCGGGTGCATTGATGAACCTTGCTCATCGCTTGAGTTCAATGTACAAATATCGAGCAGAAAGTGCTGTTGTACTGGGTGCGTAAATATTCTTGTCTATATATTAGACACTAGCTTTCACAACTCAAATGCAATATGAAAACTAATTACGATGCGTTGGCATGTTTTTAGGCAATTACTACTCTCTCATACAAGAGTCTTCGAACGCAGTCAAATCATTTGATCGAGCATTGAAACTTGATCGAAATAATAGTGATGCATGGACGCTGCTTGCCCATGAATACGTCGAGCAGAAAGATGCTCCACCAGCCATCCAGATATACCGGCGAGCTGTTGGTGAGTGCTCTAGTTTAGTTTTAAACCATAACTAACGAGACTGATCACTGACTGGGCGTATTGATGGCTAGATTTAAACTGTCGCAACTACCGTGCCTGGTTTGGCCTTGGACAGGCATACGATCTTCTTAATCTTCCCATGTTTTCACTCAATTACTATCAGCGTGCCTTGGCTATTCGACCAAAAGACAGTCGTATGTGGAATGCACTTGCTATGACTTATGAATCACTCAACAAAATACCCGAGGCAATTAAATGTGGATTACACATGCTGATTAGTCCTGAGCACAATACATCAACTACATTGCAAACAATATCTAATTGGTACTCAAAACTGTATATTCAAACTGGAAATACGCAGTATCAGAGTAAATCTGCTTTATATGAATTACGAGCAATGCGTGCTCGGGAGGCTGATGATCAGGTATGCTGTAGTTGTTGATTGTTTTTGAATAATCGATACAATATATTGTAACTTGCGGTTTGTTTTGAATATTCTAGGATATGGACTGAGTAGCGTAAACGGCCATGACATGTTACAGCTGTATTCACGTAAAATGGAACGCTTTTCTGTATTTATCATGCAGTGATTGTCTTGGAATAAACAATAGTTGAACATTCGTTGTTGGAAATTCATTAGTTTTTCTAATTAAAACCTCGATAATTACAAAGCAACCTCGTTGATCATGATGCTCAAATTTGGCTTGCAGGTTTATTTTCCGCCACCACCTTTTGTTCGAGTTACCCATCTCAATTATCTTGACTGTTTAGTAAATTGGTAACCGTTGAACAGCACTTTAGAGTCTAGACAAGCATGACTGTACTGAGTCAAAATGAATTGTGTCGCCAGTTGTGAAACCGTGATGCTTTTATGGCAGTGACTGTAACTGGTGCTTACTTGCGTTTATCTTGATAAAATTACTAAACATGGTTGAACTGCTAGCGATCTATACCCTGACATTGATAATCTATTCTGACTTGAACTGAGCCCCACTTAAACGTTTCTATGAAACTTGTAGTGTAATTTTAAAAACTAGATTTCTCGTGGCTATTTGTTTTATTTTCCACTGGCCATGCAGTAGTATTTGAAGTAAACAGTCATTTATTTCATTGAAAACGATAAATGTTGCTCAACGCGAAACTTTACTGCAGGCTGACCAACTTTTAACCTCTAGCTCTAAACCTTGCAGCTACTCAAGGCCTGTATCTAAAACTCATCTGCCATTAAATAAAAGACTAAATATGCTTGCACTTGCAAAACAGTTTCAAGATGCAATGAGTCATCACAGTTCTACTCATAGCCCATCCAAAGTAGCATTTCAAACTAAAACCACATCCTCTTCAAAACGTATCATTAAACAAGGTTGGATCCTTAAAAAGTCTGGCTCTAGTCTTTTTGCAAAATGGCGTCAAAAATATCTTGTCTTGTCGCTAGATACGTCTCGCACAGATGTAAAGAATCAAGATGCACGGTACGTTCTGCATCTGTATGATGACCGAGATATATCGAAATTGCCCAAACACGAAATTGAGGTTGCAGACTTGCGTATTGATCCTACTGGTAATGGATCTGGGGTTGGATCGTCTACATCGTCAAGGTTGAAACGATATACAGCGCCGTTTGTTTTATACTCTAATAAGCGCAAGGTAAGATAATATTGCTCTTGTCGCGGACATGTTCATCCAGTCTTGTTGTTTCAGTCCTGTCTACCTTCAAACTGAAACTGCACTGCAGTGCATGCATCTACCCTGAAATATGCATGATTTTCTCAGACACAGTTTATAATGAGAACACTGGCGAAACTGTTGCCCCAAACCATTTCCCACTGCCTTCAAAAGCATCTTGATGTTTAATTCACTTGCCTGTCGCGTTCGTCACTTGTATGAGGGGGTTGTGCTTGTTTAGCAAAAGTACACACTAATACAAAGCATACACACCTTCTTCATGTCTCAATCCCCTTGTATACAATATTTCCATCTTGCCTTTTATGCGCTATAACATTGGTTTTCTAACATTGACACCATTCAACTCTGGTGGTATTTTTGTATGCGCCATATCAGTTTTATCTTGCTGCTCAGATCCAAACAGATCGCGACGAGTGGCTTGATCTTCTTCAGCAACAAAGCAATAAAAACAATGGCGGCAAACTATTGCACAGAAATAGTGAGAGTCATAATCGTGAGCCAACCTATGGTATCTCACGCTCAGGAACTGTTCAGAGTATGCGTACTCCACGTGCTCGTGCCGCCACATTGAGTCGATATGTCACTCAAAACAATACAGCTGGACCAGCTTCTATTTCACGATCAAACTCTCGATATAGTTATTCTGGTAGCTTATATAGAGATGAAAGCGACGCTCGGTCTGTCTATTCCAACACAGAGTCAGAGTATTTTGACGATGATGCTGTATCGGTTGTATCGGGAGTATCCGGCGTCACTCGAACCACCATCACTCCTAGTCAACGTAATAGTCCGGATGAAGACGACTGCAGTTATACTTCCTCCAGAGTTGAGACTCTTTCATTCAATTCAGAACCTGTGTTGACTCCATACGAGCTGACGGTTATGGGAGATCCACTGACTGCTAAAAATAAAATAAACTCTGCTCACCCCATGCCTGTTCACAACAAGGACACGCTTCGAAAACGCCGTGCACCCATGCAACTCATGTCGTCCACAATGGCGTATTCTCAAAAATCGTGGAATGAAAAGTATCAAGCACTTTTATCCATGCGGGCCATTACGCCCGAGGCCTTGCTCAGTCGCGATGTACAAATCATGGATCTCATTGGCAATTTCCGTGAAATTTCTGGAGACTATGCACAAAAAATTATTGACGGGCTGCATCTCCAAAACGGATTGTCCAATCTTACCAATACCCCAATGGAACATGGTGGTATTATCTTTCAGTTTGCATGCAACTATGATACATCCAACCCAGATGAAGTGCATATTGCATTGAGTCGCAGTTCAAGAGAGCTAAAGGGTATCGATGCCGCGCTTCAGGCTTCGTGTCGAGCAGGAGATGGCAACATTCCTGTTTTGCGAACAATTCTCATGGCATTGATTGATTACAAGGGATTTCGAATTATTGCGCATGCAGATATTGGCGGACTAAACCAGGTACAGGTGGTACATGACTTGCATCCTGAGCATCCTATTTTAGACGATACTGCCACAAACTGTATGGCTCTTATTGGTCGCGAACTCAATCTTAAGCAGCATGCTGTACAAGTGAATGTTGATCGCCGTGTTCAAGTTCCACTGTCTGCAACTTCAGAAGTGCATATGGATAGCAAATCCAAAGTGATGTATCTTACAAGTCTTCATGAAATATTTCCTATTGATCATTATGTTGAAGATGGGCAGTCAAGAGCTGCTGAATTGTCACAGGGCGTCAAAACTATGTCGCTATGCCACAAAGATTTACTTGAAAATGGTGATTCAAACATGTCCATCAATCTTAACCACCGGCTTAGGCCCGAGTTCCTTACCGTGTATCAAACCAACCTATGTGCAGATGGACTCACTCCAACATCTGGCTCAAGTCGTCGTGAAATGGAGGATAATGATGCACAAGTGAGTCGTGCTAGTCGATTTCTTCGTGAAACCTGGATTCCTGGATTTGTTCGCACACTAGATAGTCTGGATGCAAGACCATTTGACTCTGCTTCAATGACAGGTGAAATGCATCGAAATGGTGTTAATATGCGATACCTTGGTATGGTGTGTTCATTGTCTACCATTCCGTTTATTCGCAACTTGGCATTGATTGAAATGGTGGCACGAATTGTAAAGTCTATTTTACGCGATCGTATTCGTAGCGCAATCCTTCATTTTAAAACTGTCGGTGCAACACAAATTGATGAACAGATGAGATCCTATGTTACAAGCATGTTTAGTTCAGTTTTAGGCAACAGCGAGAAATCCCAACGATACTTTGAAGATAAGATTTGCAGTGCTTTGAAATCCAAGTTTAGCTACCAAATCGGATATCGACAGTTTAATAACCTGCATCGCCCAGCATTGTTTTTTGCAATGCAATACCACTGTGGCGTTCAGTTTTCAGACTCTATGGATTACAATTTTGAATGCAGTACGCCTATATTACCTAGTAACTTTAAATCGTTTACCGTGAGCGTCAAGACATTATCTGGGCTAGCTCAAATTCAATCTGTACCAAACTCTCGCTCGGCTACTACAACACAAATAATGACAGGAATGCAGGGAAATAGTAGTGTTAGCTCTGTATCATCTACTGGGTATGACTATAACGGTGGTGAACATTCAGGTTCAAACGGCAATTCAGGAAACCCAAAAGAAGAAGAAAGGCTAGCGTACTTGCTGGCGCGTCATTTTAAAAGTGTCGGTCCCAAAGCCAAACTGAGCCCATGCAATGCATCTGCAACTGCACTTTCTCAAATTGCGTCATACTACAATTCCATTGGACGCTTTGAAGAGGCAAGAATGTATGCTCAGGCAGCAGTGTCGTCTTCACTTGCAAATCATATAATATATGCACTTGCATCGGCTCAGCTATTATTTGCCTTGGCTGGACTGCAAACCAATGCAATGGAAGCTCCCGATACAACTATTTTGGCTACATATCGCAATGCTCTCAACGTAGCTGAATGGCATTGGGGAAGCGAATCCCCACTGGTTCTATGCCTTCATGATCACATGTCGGCCATTTATCAACGATCGCAAAATCCACAAAAAGCGTTGGAATACATTCGTCAAAGTCTAGACATTTCCAAAAAATCATTGGGCAAAAACCACGTTTACACGGCTGCATACTTGACCAAAACAGCCTGTTTTCTAAAACTCCAATCACAGATTGACGAGGCAATTGATCGACTTACGCAAGCAATACATATTTATCAGAGTTTGAGAAGCGATCCTGCCAAGATTGCCGAGGTTCATTTTTATATGGCCGAGTGTTTAGCTGATCGAGGTGATATTGACGGAGCAATTCAACATGCACAGACATGCAGAAGGTTACGAGAACGAATGTTTGGATTTTCAGATATCCGAGTGATTGAGTCGTGCCAGCAGGTTGCGACAATGGTTTTAGCTCCATACGTTGATTATAAAGGGGTTTTGACACCCCAAATTCGGCAAGCTTATCGTGATGCCATTGGGTGTCATGAAAAAGTATTCCGGTATCTCAAAACAGTATCACAAAAGCAACCAATTCCAGGTCATTTTTATGGCGGAAGGTACTCATCCAGTGTATCCAACCATGGTGATTCTAGTGGATTGAGCATGATAGCCACGATTCCCATAAGTAAAGGCACCATTAAACGCAATCAAGTATTTAATCGACAGCAGATGGTTTCTGGCGCAATGATGCATACTGGTGGGGCGGTCGATGGTCGCATGATGGCATCAGAAGGCAGTAATGGATATGCCACATCAATAGCGTCTAATGGAAACTCCAACTCTTTATTATCACAAGGCTCTAGTGCACAGCTGAAAAACGTGTATCCTGCTGCATCAAAAATGGTTTCAAGAGCATGTAATCTGCTGGGTACCAGTGGATCGTCTTATCCGATTTCCGGCCCACTCATTACGTCTCCGTATGGATGGACGTCTCCACTAAGCCGATCGCTTATGCACAAGCTTACCAAAGATATTGTGAAATTGAAGCTAGCATTACTTGAATCACCTCGACACCGTGAATGTGTTCGTATGCTTCGTGCACAACGTCTTGCAGCAAGTTCTGGCACATCCAACGTTGCCAACAACTACAGCAACCAGAGCTATCTGAACCAGGAAGGGACAGAGTCGCTCAATAGTGGAATAGATCCAGAAGAAGCACGTGGTGTGATTCTTCGTCTTGCAGCAGTGAGTCCAAGTGTTTACCTTGATGGAATCTTGCAGCGAATTGATGATGGGGATCATAGCGCTGTGGAAGAACTTCGTGTTGTTCTCATGTTAACTGAAAGCGAAACCGTTGGACTGGTCGCATGATAGGTTGGCAATTTAGCTCCAACTTTTTTGAAATGTATTGAATTTTGCCACTGCTTTCCTGCTGCTTATCCCATCAGACTACTTTTTAATCCCATGGCTTAATTTTATCTGAATCTAAATCTCTGCAACAGCAGTAATATTGCTTTGAAATCTCAAAGTACATTGTCATGCTTGTTAACCTGATAAATCTTTTTTTCTCAGAAACTATTAGCCAGTACCATCTTTTTAAAAACACCAAAATAAAAACGTATCAAAACTACTACTGCACAAATGCACGTATAATTCACTATTGGGAAAGAGCAAACAATACGAAAAACGTAACCAGATATTATTATTTTAAGTGCACAAAGGTAATGTATCCTAAATTCCCTTGATAATCACATTCGCCCCCTGCATGGTCTGAATAATTCTCGGATATCCGCAGAACCGATCATGTATGGCTGTAACTCTAAACACTCCTTCCTGGCTTGTGCTTAGCCGCCAATGATGATCAGCTATATTGGACACGGAATTCGTTACCAAGTCAATCTGGTGTGCTCCACGCTGGGCAGCCGATCCAATGACATGAGTATAGGTGAAACTAAATGGTGGCTCTCCAACAAACTCCACATGCACTTCTGAAGCATCGCCTTCGCGGATATCATCTATCATGTCATGTCCACCATCTACAATGGCTTTGGGCAATCCTTTGACAGTTGTATGCATGGTCGGATCAGTGCTAACATCGTTGTCACAGCATGCCATGCCGTTACACACCTTGGTGATAACAATATCACCGGGTGAGCCTGCCCATAAAGTCATCATTGGATCGGCTATAACTACATCAGGCTGCAACACACCGTTGAATGTGTACCCCACAGTGAAGGGTGGAGAGCCTTGAAAGTTGTAAGAAAGAATGTCGCCAACGCATATGATGGATGGATTGTTTGCTGAAGTGATTTTCGCCTGGTCGGCCAGATGGATAGATGTGGTGGTTAAATCTATGCCATTTTCATTGGCGTGAGTAGGTTGTTTTAAACCGCTTTTAAGCAGCGGTGTAGCGGCAGTAGAGTCACGGTCACTTCCCGGTACATTTGCAGCGCATCCAGTTCCATCAATAACCGACACCAGTCTAAATGTGTATCTTCCGGGTAAATCTACGGCACCAGCATTTACATTTGACATCCAAGCAGTGCCATCTGCATTTGCAGTCAAGACGCTTTTATCCAAAGTGATGTTTTTAAACTGTTTAGGTAAACTATCATGCGTACAATCCATACCAACTTGAAATGGTGGTGCACCTGAAAGCTTTATACCCAGTCGGATAGCATCGCGATGCTTCTGCGTTGTACATTGGTATACATGTTCTCCTGGATCTTGAAATTGAATAGTAGGCGGAAGGTTTACTTTGAGACTGATTTCTTTTACGCCAACAGATATTTTGGAACGGTAGTGGCTGTCAGAAATCGAGATGATGCGGTAAACATGACGTCCTGCTTTGGCTGTATCAAAAATAAAAGGATAGGTATCGGCAGACGTATTAATCTTGTTGGTAATGGTAACAGGCTTTGCCTTGCGATCGGCAACATAGGTGTGCTCGTACTCTACACTAAAAGGAGGTGTGCCAGAAAGATTGAGCTGGACACCACTGTGTGAGTGTTGACAAACTGCTCGTTCAAGACCAATTTCAGATAGAATAGACAAGGATGGTTTTGGAATCTGAATGACCTCTAGTAAGCGTGGCTCGACAGCATAACCCTGGCAAACCGAGTCGCGAATGCTTAAAAGTTCAAAAGTGCCTGTGCCAAAAATCTCGAGGTCACGTCCGTTGCGAGTAGTTTGAATTGACGAGTCGGCTCCGCGATAGGTAATTTCATACGGTCCTTTTCCAGATACAGAGATTGGCAATGAGGCGCGACCATCCTCGACAATATATACTGGTTTTGTAGTTTGAAAATTCACAGTGGGTCTTTGTGCAAGGACTTCGATGGTTATTCCAGATAGTCCAACATTTTCTTTGCACCCATTCACATCTGTGATTTCTGCAATGTCTACCAAATAAAGTCCTGCAGAGTGAAGAGAATCCACCGTAAAATGAGTGCTGGCATCTTCCAAAGGAACCTGAAGTGAGTATTCTGTGCGTTGATTATTATGCACAACAAAGTAAATGACGGTCCACGGACCAGATCCTTGAACGTTGATGGAAAGATCGACGGTGTCGTTAATGCAACGCACATACTTTGACTGTTTTCCTGAAAACGATGCAGAGGAGTGCGGATGGATGATTTGAGTAACACTCAGATTATCGAGCGAAATACCTTCTGGGTAGTTGGCATCACCCATACGAGTAAACAGGTAGCGATATTTTCCAGTTTCTTTGGGTGATAGAACGAGAGCATGGCGAGGCTTGAGAATATTGGAGATGGGAACATCTCGGCGCTCTACAAATCGAGAGGAATCATCACGATATTTGGGATGATCAATCATGGAGCGCTCTTCAATATAATCAACCCAAAAAGGTGGCTCGCCAGTAAATGTCAGGTTGATATTGGCTCCAACTGCCCCTAAGCACTTTTCTTTAATTGGTTCTGAAGACAGAGTCATGGACGGAGGAAGAATCTGTTGTGCGAGGCAAAGTGAGGGCAGTTGAATAGCACCAGTGCAATAACGATCGCTCACACTCACAAGTGAATAAGAGCCAGGATGACTGATTAGCAAATCTGCGCGACCTTGCTCGGCAACAGTAAACGAGTCAGGAATAATGGTGCCGTCTTCAGTCACTCGATCCATACCAACAGTAAAGGGGCCAGATCCAAATAGTATAACGCCAAGTGATGATTGACCACCAGCACGAATCTTGACACTATCTCCTGCAACAAACCGTGCCTGTGGATGTGCATGACCATTTACAACAAAAAAATCGCCAACCGTGTCAAGAGAAACATCAGTACTCTGCTGAAAAGGATCAGGTAAGCGTAGGGATGATTGTGTCTGGTAATTAACAGAGTTGTTGAGACCGTCAATCACTCGACCAATGCGTAATATATGAGGAGCATCACGATCAATCTTAATAGTCAACGAAACAGTGGTTGTGATCTGTCTTGCACTTTTAACAAGTGCTAAAATATCAGCATCAATTTCATCTGATGCAGAAATAGTTTCAGATGACGAATCGTCAGATTCTACAGCCTCGACAGTCACGACACTTTCTGCATCTCCAGCCTGTTTAATGAGCATGACTGTCAAGGGAGCAACACCAGTCAGCTGTACGGATGCTGTAAATTCCTCATCCATGCACCTGTCAAATGTTTTTGTATCATCTAAGCCAGCTTGAGACTTGTAAGTAGAAGGCCAACTCCACGAAGCAGATGGACACTGCACAATCTGAGCATGTTTACTAGCAACAATTTTCCCAGGTTCGCCATTGCCTTCACGTACGGACAAAAGACGATATATTCCTACTGATGATCCAGGAAGAGAATAAAGACCAACACGACGACTAGAGAGTTTACTAGCAATTGGATCGGGTACAAGTTCTTTCAGACTTCCATCGGATCTGAGAATAGCAGTGACCGAGTCTTTAGCGGTGATATCAATTCCTTTAAATTTCTTTACAGTTTTCGAGTTTCCCAGTAAAATCTCGTAGTCAATCTTAAATGGCGGAGTTCCTTTAATCAGCAAAGGGATTTGAATGGAAGGTCCAGTAAATCCTTGCAAAGCACAGAACACGGTGTTATTTGGATTGAGTTTAGCGATAATGGGAGGACGCACATTGACAGTATGAGAACCAATGATGTACGAAGAGTTGAGAATGGCATCTAAGATTCAATAGATTTATACAGGTCAGAGCAACGAAGCCAAAAATCGAGATCCAACAACAATTTTTTAAAATCAAGAATAATACTCACCAACATTCAATCTAGGACGATCCAATACATGGGCAGATGAGCGACCTTGATGGGATCCAGACGCAGCATTTCCATTGTGAGAAGCCATGTTTGATGCAGCAGAGCCAGCAAGAATAGAGCCGCCACTAGCCATAGCAGCAGCATATACATCCCAGGCATTTTGAGAATAAGTAGATGCAATGATGGCAATGATGCCAGTATTGATACCCCACAGAGCAAGCAGGACAGTAAGCGAACCACACATTGATAGTGTAAGCCAAGGAATGCGAGCCCAACGAAGGAGTAGCAAATAAACAAGATCCAGACAGCACCATAGAATCAGATGCGAAGCATCCAAGTCCAAAACAGTGGTTTTCAATAGTAAAACCAATGGATGCATCCAGAGCCAAATGGGATCCATCCAAGTGTCCGAATGCAACCATTCCTGATAAAGAGTTGGATCTACAGCATGTGAACTGTGTAAAACATTGGCCAGTTTAATGGTCTGACAGAGTATGAATGCATACAGAGCAAGTCTTCTCTGAGCAACTGGATCCATTCCACTATGCAACAATCGTTAAATCCGGCGGATTGTCTGCAAGGTTACAACTATCGATAAAAGTGATGAAAATATTTATTTAAACCAATTTCATATTTTGATGACATTCAACAGACTGCAGCCTTTCAACCGTGAATTCTTGAAACTCACGATTGGTTTGTAAACTGGAACCAGTTGTAACAACAAACTCGAACGAGTGTTTTGTTGAATCGGAAATCTGTCGAGACTTGCAAAGAACATCATCAAAGATGATGAAATTGTCCGTTGTAAAAGATTCATTTTTATTCGAATTCAATCAACTTTTGTTGAATAAAGACGTCTGGGCAGAATTCTGCATTCCAGGTTTATCCATATCATTTCAAAAGAACAGTTGTGGCTGTTGGGATGGTTTGGCTTGCATCGCTCCATTGACTGGACTGGGTATCATAGGATTACCATATCGCATTGATGTTGTAGGCTCGCCATTGTTTCCTAACGCATTCAGACTGGGCATCGCAGGCTCTTTTTTCTTGGATCCTGGTGTCAATGCATTTACATCCAGCGATACCAACTTGGAAAATGTGTCAGTCGTATTGGGCTTGGTTGGTGTTGTCATGGGCTGCATCGTTGAAAATTGTGTAAACCCATTTGTTGGAGATACAAGAGATTGAGCTGGATAGATTGTTTGTTGCGGTTGAGTATTTGCATAAGTTGTTGGAGCAGATACAAAAGATGTAAAATCACCAAAGTCACTGGCACTCGGGTGTTGTTGAGTCAAAGGTGGTGGTTGCTGTGGATTGGAAAATGATGCGAATCCACCATTAGAAGATGCTCCGATGGATGGTTGCTGTGGATTGGGAAATGATGCGAATCCACCATTGGAAGATGCTCCGATGGATGGTTGCTGTGGATTGGGAAACGACGCAAAACTGCCAAACCCTGTGCCATTGTTGGTCGCAGAGTTTGATGTCGGTTGAACTGCTGCGCCAGAAAGGTTAGACCAGTCATCACCACTATCCAGATCTAGTAGATTCACAGTTGGTTGCACCGCGCTCTGAATATGCGGTGCTGTTACAGCCGGTTTTTGCTCAGCAGGACGATCGAAAGGTTGCTGGTCTTGTCGCTGTTGAGAAACAGGAAGCGGTAGATCTGCTGCACGACCAGATGCTGAATCTCTAAACGAATCACTAAAGGATCCGCTACTGATACCATTTCTTGGCATAGATCCAGATCCAGATCCAAACCCACCGTATTTGGTGCCAGATCCACCACCAGCACTACCTCTATCAAAGGATGATATACTGGAACTGTCCACACCAACGTATTTAGAACGATTCTCTATACTCGACACATGCCAGTGTTTTGTTATAAAGAAATACTACGACTCGAGTCCATACACCACATCAACTTACCTTTAGCTTTAATGCGCTCAGTCCGTAGTTTTTCGTCATTCTCCAAAAGCTCGATAATCTCCTTTGCTCGATTCTTGACTAAATGAACAGTAAAACACACGAATGGTGATTAAAACAGCTGGTGGCATGCATGACAGATAAAAAACAACATGTTACCATTCATTCCTTGATCTTTTTTCTTGTCATCTACATAGGTATAGCTTAACAGCGCACGTAAATCATATACGTGGCCACGTGCAGAGTCGATGACTTTTTCAGAGCCATTCTTGATGAGGTATTCAAGTAGCTGTAAAGACTAGATACCCATGCATGTCAGGATATATGGCATTTAACATGGCAGCATGGAAACTCGTTTACCTTGTATGTCTGACGCCAAGTAGGGCCAGCAGGCTCTTGAAACCGTTTGTAGATGGTATTCATAATATCATTAAAGTGTCCACTAAGAGTCTGTCAGTATCTTAATAAGAGTGAGGTATTCTAGCGCTACATGCGCAGCGAGTCGAGGGATTCGTAAAATCCAATCGCGAACTACATGAAACCACACGAGTCATTGCAATATCAAAGATCCATCGACAAAAGACTTACTAGTGGCTTGTAGCTATTGTCGGTAAATAAACGTCACACGTTAGTGTTTGTTGAATATCAAATCAGTTTAAACCAACTCACCATTGGCGATATCCATCATCAAAGTAGACGAAGTTCCCCCTAAAAATACAAGTCAATCATCAGACGGTAGTTTGCCCACAACCAATGCAATAATAGCCATCAGTAGTTTATATTATTCACTAGACAACGTACAAGGGTCATTGTTGGTAGCATCACGAACTTTGGCCTCGTACTCGGTGTAGTTCATAACGGCGTTTTTGACCTTTTTGACCATGGTGGTGGCCTGCTCCAGGTAATCCTGCAGATTCATGATGATGGTTAGAGTTGGACGCAGTCAGCCCGACAAACTTGTTGGCTTGATGAGCGTCTCCGATCATTGAATGCTTGACTGACAAGCTCGTCAATGTTCGAGGATTAAACTGCAAGATGGAAGGTCGAGACTTTCTGGCCATGGCAACGGCCCCTGTGGTCGCTGTTATTACCGACACTGCACGGATAGTTCCGTCTATGCTCATGTCAAAGAACAACATTCCTGACTTGGTTCATTATCTACGACCTTTTGGACTAGCACGTCACTCTCATGGTAACACTATCGTTGTCATGGAATTCACTGCTGCATCTACACTCATTGCTAATCTGATTCTATCTTTTAGTTTCCATTCCGGACATGCATGGAAATACTATTCAACTTGATCCTGGCCATATTCGATTCGTGGATTTGTGTTCATTGGATACGCCTACTGTTGCTCGGTCTGGAACGGTCGATGCTGCTGTCATGGCTTCAGTCTTGACTGCTACCATGGGCTCATCTGCTTCACCTTCCAATAATACTGCGTCATCTACTGCCGGATCTCCCCTTTCCCATCCCACCAAACTCCCCTGTTTGCGCAGTATTGACGAAGTGCATCGATACCGTGAATCGGGTAACTTTATTCCATCAACAGTATTGTGATTGTCGCTCCATATTAGTCTTGTTATTTATACTGTTATTTTTATTGAAACATCCGGATCCAATGTGTGCGTGCATTCTGCCAGTTCAACTTGAATCTATCACGCCATGGTTTCAGCATTATCTTCGTTTGATCTCCTTGTATATGGGTATCTCGGAGCATGAAACATTCAATCATCCTGTCGCATGTACGTAGTCTACTACTTTGCTATTCTCTCATGTCAACCATCTGCTTTTAGGGTTGTAGCTCAATACAAATTCTTTGAATATCTAGGTTTGGTCGTCGTGTCCACTAGCGATCCAGATCCTGTGGCTACTGCAAGAGATTTACTTACCGAATCAAATATTCCACATGCCTTGAGAAAACCTTATATGGATCCATATATTCAGCGACTGTATTTGCTGATACACGATCCTGAGGAAGCTCCTAATGTAGAGTAAGCATTTTTTATTGAATATGCTGTACACTAATTTATGAGCATATCATTGACTAGACGATACGTATTTAAAGCCCTCAACTAATGCATGTTATACAATCACAGTCCTGATGCAATTTTGGCCAATATGAAACGATCATTTCCAACTTACATGCTGACGATCAATACTCGTCCAGCTAATTCAGATCAAGCTCAAAGTGTTCCCGATATTTGGTCAGCTTCCATTTCAGAAACTGCAGAGCTGACTCAACGTCTATCTAGCACTTCCCCTATACCACCAAATCTGTCCACATCACCCAAAACAACAGCTACTCCGCAAACAGAGTCTCTAAATTTAGTCAATGCTAGTGATGCAAAATCACCACTTTTGACTATAACGACTACTACCGTTTGTGGGCAGCGAATATCCGTTTCAGATTATTCAAACGTCAACACTTTTATAGAAGAATTTCTGCTGGATCACATTATTAGTCGTATGGTGGGTCAGATGAAAGAATGGGAGCAAGACGTTGCTAGTGTACGACGTGGCATTTCTGGCAGACTGTTTAAAGTCGGTCTTAAATATTTTAGTGGATCGAAATCAGCTGCATCCCACCCTGTACCCTTTACAGATCCCATAACAGGACAAACCATGTTTCCATTTCTTTCTCCAGAACTCATCATGCGACGACTGGGCGACTATGCATTCATGCTTCGAGATTACAGATATGCTCTATCTATCTATGAATCAGTAAAAAAAGATTTTACTTCCAATGAGCGCTATGCAAAGTACTATGCTGGAATTCAAGAAATGATGGCAGTGACATCTCTTATGATTACCGATTCTCCGAAAAGTAGTATTGACGCAATGGCCGAAAACGCAGTCCTAAAATACATTGACGCCAAATGCTCTCTCTATGCGAGTCGAGCAACCATGTGGATTGTTGAGATGACCAAAGAGCATAATCTGTTCAGAGATGCTGCTGCACTACTCATTCGCATGGCTGGTGAAGAGTCTGATCTCAAGGGTGCTTTGTTTCTTGAACAGGCCGCCATCTGCTTCCTCCGAACCACTCCGCCTTTACCAAGAAAATACACTTTTCATTTAATTTTAGCTGGAAATCGGTTTTCCAAGTGTGGTTTGCGCAATCATGCTCAACGAAATTATTCAACAGCTTTGGAAGCTTACGGCGGACTAAATTGGACTTTGATTGACGACCATATCCACTTTGCGCTGGGGAAACAGTTGTTCCATATGGGAAAGGTTGATGTAGCCATACAATATTTTATCAAATTGCTGAGGAAAAGTCGGCAGTCTGCTGCTGGACAGCGAGCATATCTGTCCGAGTTTTTGTATATTTATCAACAGCTTGTTTCTACAAGGAATGTTGAGAATGGAAGCTCGGGTAAACTCGAAGATATACAAGACAATCTACCCACTGTTCCGCTTCCTGTTATTTTAGATGCTGGAGTAAAGCTTGCTCTACAGAGAAATGAGATCTATAAAGGTGGTACTGCTGATACACGCAGTAATACTGGTCCTGGGGTTTCTAGTGGTGCTATAGGTGGATCGAATACCCAAGATGGTCACGATACTTTCAAGGATGATGGATTGATTTGGACGTCGCTTGAGGAAAAGCTTGTCGAATTTGTTACAGAAGGTACTCCTAGCTCATCTGCTACTTTCCGTCGTCGGCCACCCTTGGGACAGCCTGTAACGGTTCTTCCTGCAAATTCAGATCAAGCACAAACTATTACAGCTGTAGATGAACCCGTCACTGTTTCTTTTCAATGGGTCAATCCACTTCAAGTTCCCATTCCTGTTAATAATATCTATTTGGAGTGTGTGTTTTCGGGCTGTTCTGAAACTAAAACCGAGTTGGTAATTCCATCAACTGGCGACGTGCCTAGTCGCATTGAGCTACCTCAATATGATATTCAGGTATTGCACGATGTTTCTCTTGATGCAGGCGAAAAACGCAAAATTCACCTCAAGATATATCCAAAAATGGAAGGTGAAATCACTGTATTGGGTGTACGATATCTACTATGTGGTATAATTCCTACTTATAGGAGATTTCAAAAGCGTCGACAAAAGTTGAGTGAGCCTCAAGTGCAACAGGCAGATCAAGATGACCAAGATACCAAAGATATATTGCTCAAGATTCTAGTGACGCCTCCAATGCCTGTGCTAGATGTAGTGTTTCATTCGTTCCCAGAAACAATGCTGTTGGGACAAGTATCGCAAGTAGCGCTAGAGTTAAATAATCGTGGAACAAGAGGGCTTAAAAATTTAGTTGTGATTACAAGCCATCCTACTGCATTTTGTTTTGGGGATGGAACGTCGTTGGAGCAACCTTCATATGCTCCCAAGGCTCCAACAAGCGAATCTAATTATGAAGAAAAAATATCTGTTTCTAATACGCTTGTAGATGGGTCTGCGTGCGCACTTCAACTCCCATTGTCTGATGATACCGCATCAACCTCCATGTCACCCAATACAAAGGATGCGCTCATGTCAGGCGGGATCCTTTCTGCATCGCTTATTACTCTTATCCCAGTATGGGTCAGAGCCGATAAGGCTGGTAAGCAAGTGTATAGGATATTATTTATGTATCAATCGGAGAGCCAAGGTAGCTACCGAATACTTCGCTGTGTACTTACTACCGAGGTAATTCCCTCGCTTCGAGTCAATATTTTTACGCGAACCAGCATCAATTGTCTCGATGAGTTTATTCTTGGTGTAGAAATGGAAAACTTGCATCCAAACCTTCCACTTACATTCCGGCAAATCACATCCATCAGTCCATCGTGGCAGATTGAACCTTTAATTGATTGTGAGCAATTTACCGAGAGTATCATGAAGCCAAGCCAAACGCAGTATCAGTACTTTCGTATCAAACGGTGGATGGGTCGTGCGCCATTGATAATGAGCCAAACACCAGAACTCATGACCACGTCTGCCATACAGAGACTTATTTTGCAAGAAGATGCAAAACCTTTTACTCCGCCAGATATTACCATGTGGATTAAAAGTTTAGGTGCACAAAACCAACTTACTACTACCAGTGAGCTTCCATTGGAATCCTTTCTTCATTCACAGCGGTATCAGACACGTATAGCGCACTTGCTTACGCAGTATCCGAGTTTGACACTGGCACAGGTTAAGCAGCTGTTTACACAAATATGGATGGATGATTTAGATTTATGTTTCTTTTGGGATTCAACCGCGACTGGACAGCGAGGACATTTGGCACTCACAGGACTTAATCTTTGTCTATATTCTCCACTTCCCCTTGCAGCTTGGTTTGGGCATATGGATGCAAAGGCTTTTATTGGAAGAGCACTGTTTAGTGCTACGGTAAGAGAACGCAAACTTCTTGTGGCAAGTTTGCTGAAATCTCGAGCCAAAGATGCATGTCCTGTTCGGGTTGTTGTCGAATGTGTACCAGAGGTGGTAATGAATGCCGATGGAAAATGTTTTGTAGAAGTGGACATTATTCTTGGAAATAGCTCCTGGATGCATGTAGCCGAGTATCAGTTTGAAGCCATTTCATCTTTTAGTAGCAGTGTAGAAGATGCGCCTGTCAAGGGATCAAGTAAGAATGTAGGTGATAGGCCATCGACTGTGGGACCTACTGCTCTTTCAAAACGACTTAGCGTGGCTGCAGCTTCCGGCGGGGAGTCGTCCACTACCAACTCGACAGCAACCAAGGGACCATCTGGAAACACGTTCGCATGGGTTGGACAAACACATTTTAGCGGTAAACTTGAACCTGAATCTCAAACTCGATTTAAACTTCATGCCTGGTTTTCACATCTCGGTATGCATGATGTGAACCGATGGAAGCTGAATGTTCTCTTGATGTTTTCAGACGAAGCCAACGCGGTTGGAGATGTACCTGCCGCAACTAGCAAAATTGGAAACAATGAAGTAAGCTCGCCACTCATAAAGTCTGTAAAGAAACCTGGACTAGTATTTGTGCAGATGCCGACTATGGCCCAGCAAGTTTACGTTTGTGGGAAGAACTAGACATCCAAGTTAAACTGCTGTATTCGTTACCGGTTCGAATCCAAACTGACGGTTGGAGATGATGGCTGGAGCCATGAATGAATCTACTTTTATTAAATATCAAATCCAATTCCACTCGATTTGGTTGTGCAATGAAAAACAACATTCTAATCAAGCGACCGATTAAAAGCCAATTCATGAATAACAAAATGTCCAATCTCATCACACGATAGATTATTTGGTATTTAAATTTAAGCAGCAGATAATATATTTAAACGGCATTCACATCAATATTCCCTTGGGAATCAAACTGAGCAGTGGGGATTGGAACAGCCAAGTTCTTTTTCTCTCCAAGCTCATGCATCAAGATACGCACACGCTTTTGCTTTGCCTCGATTTGATCCAACTGAGATTCTGTACATGTCTTTGCCTCGGAAAGTTTTACCATGAGACGATCTCGCTCTAGTTTCTTGATGTTGTATCTGTATGATGCAGCTACCTGGTCTGGACAAGGCCGTCTAGTATAAATGAATGAAATAATTTAGATGGAAGCTAATTTAAATGCGTGTATAGTTGGGGTTGGTTTAAACCCATTGTAATGAGTGTACCAAATCCGGAGATAAAGGTATACTTGAACATGCACATACTTTTTTGATACTGGGGCTGATTGCTGAGAGTGTGTGGATGTCTGGAGTTTCTCCAAAAGGGCATCCAACGCATTCAATTTAGATACGATATCTCGTTGCTGAGCTAATTCCTTGAACGACTCCTAAATACCCATTCAATATCTAAATACGCAAGGTTTGGTAACTATCCAAGTGGATTCAAGTGCAGCGTATTACCATTGTAGACGATTCAAAGAATTGCATGGTGAGTTGGTGTGCATCAGATAAAGCTTTAGAATTGTCCCGAGCAAGTTGAGGGAAGCTGTTTGCAAATCGTTCTAAACTTTAGCAGTGTTAGTAGCTCAAGTGTTAGTATTCACAAGGCAATATAGGACAGTTGGCGAGTAGTGGATATAAATAGATGATAATCGGACAAAACTAGGGTTTCAACAGTCAAGGTCATACTTGCAGTCCTTGCGTACACCATGGATTGCAAGCTCCATGGCTTTTGTCAATCGTTGCATACGAGGACCGTGAACTAGATTGGATCCCTCCTGATGCCGCAGTTGTTCAGTCATCAATAGCCGTCCCAATGATTGAGTTGAAATGCTCGCTCGCAGCAAAAATCCTTTTGAATTTTTGTCCAAATCGACATCTTTATTCCATATTATATTGCTTATTTTTTATCAGACTGGATTACTCTGGCTTGAATATGTGGGATAAAGCAGCAGTACGCTACAGATTGCATGTCTAGTGCAGTGTTCTGATATTTATCAATCGTGTTTACCAAGTCGTTTTAACCAGATATCAATTCAAGACAATACATCAGGATCAAGTGTATAATCAGAGTTATCAAAAGGATTGCTATTTATACACAAAAGGGATTGTTACCAGAGCCATCTCAGATGCAAACGAGGCAAAATGGATGGTTTCCAGTACTGAATAACAACTGCCATAGCAACAACCAAGATGCTTGCAACAGTCATGCCAATTGGATATCGCCTTCTCATGACCCATCTTCGCGTTGCATTCCATTGCTTTTTCCGACGAGCCATGACTGCCAAACGTTTACATCTAGCCTTGAATTCTTCTATGGCACATACATCACAAAAGATAGCTTGCAAATGAAGATCGCTGTGCTGCTTGTCCGTCAGATACATCTGCATGTGTTGATCAAACCGAAATCCACATGCGTCATGAAGATGCGTGAGTGTTTCAATAGACGAGGACTGTTTGTGTTGGTGAATGAGATCAGCTATAGGCGTGGCTTTTAGCATTTTTCCTGCATCGACCAATACATGATCAACCATTTCCGAGTTAACGACGCCAGATGTAAGATAAGTGTGGAGTCGAGGCATCACCTCATCATCATCTGCTTGGTGCATGTCGTAATGGTGATGGTTAGAACCAAACTTTCCAATAATGTCATTCCTGCCAAAATGTAAAAATGCAGCAGCAATGTAGACTAAAAAGCACGTTCCATATGCTACAAGTCCGTCCATGACACGCAATGCAGCATCTACTCTATCCAGATCGTGAGTGAATGCAGTAATAATCCAACTCAACGCATACATTCCCACAATATGCGAACTACTATTTGATCTCTGTCTGGTAGTGCCAACATCCCCACATGGCTTGAGAGCAATATAGAGGTCATGATCAACTTTTTTGAGAAGAAGATGAATGAGAAACGTGTAGGTTGTAGAAGTAGTCATTGTGGGTTCCATAAAATCTAGCAAATGCAGAATAGTCATTCTGGAGAGAACTTTGGAAGATTGAGGACGAGATTTATAAAGCATGTGAATGACAGATGCAATATCATGATACCCTTGATAATAGTTTAAGCTAGAATGCATGGAACATCAAGCATATGTAAATGCGATTGTTAAAACATAGGTGACATTTACCAATATATAAATGTCAGTTGTTTACCATGGATATTCTTGCAACACCCGCAGTATTACATCTTTGATGGCAGCACGATTGCGATCGACTGTTGCCTGACTCCAATAAGAAATTGATTTAGTTTGTGTTGGTGCGATAACCTGGCCATCATTGGCCGAATCTAAACTGGAACGAGGAATAGATTCATCAAGTGGTTGCTGTTTTATAGGTTTAGTGGTAGTGGTAAACTGCACAAACGAGCGAGCAGTATCTAAAGCGACCTGACGCTGGGTATCCAAACTGACAGCATTAACCAGATCTGTTTTAGTATCAGTATAGGACGGGTGAACATGTGGCAATATTTTCTTGTTGCAGGTTTTTGCAGGACTGCCATCCACACTGTCATTTGCAGCAAGAGAAGAATCTGGACGGTCTAGTCCCAACAGAACATGCCAAGATTGAATCCTGGCTTTACGAGAGCGAAACCCGCCAGGCGAGACTGCAATCTTACGAAGAGCAGCCAAATCTCTTGTGACAATAGCAGTGGAAATGGCACAGTTTTGGCTAGAATTCTTGTGGGCAGTGGAGTGGGTCATGACAGTTGGTTCGACTGGTGGATAGCAGATACTCTGAGCCAGAATGGATTGCTACTCACGTGTAAATGCTCCAACTCGAACCATGTTGATGTCTGGCCAGTCTTGTAAGTCGAACTGTTTCTTTAGTTTGTTGCATTCGCTCCTTGTTCATCTGTCGTATTGATCATAATCAGAAAACTATTCAATCCTTTTAAAGTAAAACACTTGAAATGGTTTTTGTCTGCTAATCCGATCATCAAAATCTGCTTAAACATGAATGGTCTTTCTGCCACATGTGGAGTTTATTGCTTTTGAACCATTCATTGGTATCAATGCATGAGTAGAATTTGACCAACAATTGGAATGAACATATGAGATTGTCAGTAATCATCATGTTTTTAAATCAATCTGACAATATCTGACTGCAACATTCCTGACTGTGAATTATTTAAAACTGCACAATGAGTTTAGGCTGTAAACTCTTGTAAATGCAACATCAAAACTCTCGTCAGAACATGACTAAATGGGTGACGTTTTAATTGAATCAACTGGAGCAACAGATCGTTTGACAGACTGGTTGTACCAACAACTCGGGTTGTCGTCATGGTACAAGAATCACGATTGATGTATGATTCTGTCATTCAAATCAGCAATCTATTGATTGTGAGGACGCCATTAAAGCAATCAAACTCATCACTTTTGTGTAATTGAACGGAATTTATGCAAGTACCGCCTCATACATGATACACTGATGGCAATGGTTGTTGACAATTCTTTATTTATTGTCATCATACCCTTTGTCGCTAGCTGTAAACAGCTTGGATTAAAAATTCATTAGTTCTGATTGTAGTTTCAAAAGTTCGAGTCATAATGCGCTGCCTTACAACAATCAAGCACTGCAGTGTTTTTCAGTCCTAATTAGGAGCGTGGCTGAGCCAAGGAGGCAATTCTGATAGGAGTGTTTATTTTATATTCGTATTCATGTAGAATAAAACCCTATTATATTCATCTTGCATCGACTGTCTCTTGTTTTGGAATAGACAGTGGATAATACTTGTTACGCATTTTTAATAGAAACTGACTTACTTCAATAAACACTCTCAATTCTTCAATAAACACAATATTAAGCTATAGCTTTAAACTGAGATTCTCTTTTGAACCTGCCTTGTTTGATTGGCATAACCATGCATGGTACGATCGCCAGATTTATTCATTGCAATCGAGACACTGAGTTCAACTGCTTCAATGTTTTCAATACAATTCATATTTGTTGTATTTTAAAATCTTGTATGTTCGCGCTCTGACTCGAGAGAACAACGATCCATGTCTTGGCACTGCAACAGATATTTCATGTCAATCACTCAATGCCATAATGCTTGATTTGTAGAAAGGGGAATTGGAGATTGAACAAGTGCCGAAAATGCAGTGTAAACATTCGTTCAGCTATACAAAAATGAGCCGAGGCAGTGAACTAGAATTTAGAGGACACTGTTGTCTAGTCAATGTGGTAGAAATCATGTCATGAGACTGACTGCTTATCATGTACTTTGATACCCTTGTTTAGTTCCATTTTAGATGAATACGGCCGTAATTGCATGACCCACGTGCGAGACAAGTATGCCATTCAGTTGCTGCTGAAGCAGGCTTTACTCCTTGGTCAACTAAACATATTTTGACCCTTCAAATTAGCTGAAAATATGAAAATACATTAATACCCGTTTTTAGCAAGCGATTAAGAGCGGGTTGCTAATTAGATATAAACACCAAACTCGAACAATCATTTTCCGATCCATTTTGATTCTGATATGCTGTTTTCCGTCATTGTGTTTTTGGTTCAACTTTACACTTTTGTGTATGGTGCAACAAATGCTACCGATTCTTGCACCAATAGTCTTACCCGACTAGAATGGCGCGAGCTTTCCACAGATCACCAACAACAGTACATCAAGGCTGTCCTCTGCTTGATGAAAAAACCAAGTTTAATCCCAAAACGACCTGCTATATCTAGATATGCCGAGTTTGGTGAGTTGCATTCAAGAGTCGCATCTACGTTTCACCAATCTGCCTTGTTTCTTCCATGGCATCGATCCTTTTTGAACGCGTTCGAGAGTGCTCTCAAAACTGAATGCAATTATCCTGGCTCTCTTCCGTAAGTTGGCTATACTGTTAATCTGGTATAGTTGCGGTTGACAAGTGTCTGAATCTTGCAACTTGTTTCATACTTGGTAAAAACCAGATACTGGGATTGGACTATTGATTCTCAAGCACCTGAATCGTCGGTGATATGGGATGCAACTGCATTTGGTGGTAACGGAAATCCCAATACTCCTCAGCACTGTCTTGTCGATGGTCCATTCAAAAACTACCGAATCATTATTCCTCAAAAATTATGTCTGTCTCGAAACTATAGCAAAAACTTTACTTCTAGAGCATCCTCTTATTCTCCAGAAAACATTCAGCGCATTATTGCCTCGCAAAAGAATTATGCAGACTTTAGATTTACTCTCGAGGGTGGACCCCACGCTATTGTTCATAGCAGTATTGGTGGCTGCATGAGCTTAATTCCTCTAAGTGCTCAAGGTAATATAGCTTGACATTGAGTGTGTATGCGACGGAATATATATAAACGATGCATATTCGATATTGATTCATTTTGTAGATCCAATCTTTTATCTGCACCACGCCAACGTGGATCGTATTTGGTATCTTTGGCAAAAAAGGCATGGTAATGCATACGGTGGATTGCGCAGTAACAATTCTCCCTCTAAAACAACCGATATACTGAGCATGTTTAAAGTGACTAACCAGCCCGATCTAAGCGTATCCCAAGTGCTCAACACCACTTCTAGTGCGTATATTTGCTACACCTACTCCAACTCGGTTCGTCCAGTGCCAGCATCAGCCAGTCTTCGCAAAAGTGTTTCGGAATCTGTCCGTAATACCTCTGCCCACATATCCAAACTACCTTCTATGCCAATCCTTACGCCAGCTATAATCAGTGCTGTAAAAAAGATTGCTGCTGCCAATGACTCGTTTAGTTATGGTACAGAGCACAAAATCACCCCAAAAGCTAATGATCGAATCGACAAAAAAAAGCTTCGCTGTCCACCTAGAGTACCCATGTCCATGATCACTCAGATGAGACTGAATAGTACAGAGCTAAAGCTTATTCGACAAAAGGAAAATGAGAATTGCGCTTTTGTGAATTTCTTGAACTTGGAAGATGTCGGGTATCAATCTCGTGCATCTTTGAGAAGCATAGAAGGTGCGGTATCATATAGATCCGTGACGCAAGAGGAGTATGATGCTACCGAAAATATGTTTGATCAACTCTACAATAGCTACCAAGCTGCCATTCGTGCTTGATTGATCTAACCTAGAGGTATAACTGCAACTTTTTTAAAAACAAACTGCTGTTGCCGTTTAGTCAGAGTCCATCAGCCTGTTTACAGCTAGCGACAAAGGGTATGATGACAATAAATAAAGAATTGTCAACAACCATTGCCATCAGTGTATCATGTATGAGGCGGTACTTGCATAAATTCCGTTCAATTACACAAAAGTGATGAGTTTGATTGCTTTAATGGCGTCCTCACAATCAATAGATTGCTGATTTGAATGACAGAATCATACATTAATCGTGATTCTTGTACCATGACGACAACCCGAGTTGTTGGTACAACCAGTCTGTCAAACGATCTGTTGCTCCAGTTGATTCAATTAAAACGTCACCCATTTAGTCATGTTCTGACGAGAGTTTTGATGTTGCATTTACAAGAGTTTACAGTCTAAACTCATTGTGCAGTTTTAAATAATTCACAGTCAGGAATGTTGCAGTCAGATATTGTCAGATTGATTTAAAAACATGATGATTACTGACAATCTCATATGTTCATTCCAATTGTTGGTAGCTGTGAAGATCAGATCACTTTTCAGTGTTGCTTAAATATATATTATGCAAGCTAAATATGTGGGACTAATATGCATCAGAGTATGCTTTGACTACAGCGGACAAACCATTACATTCAATGTGCAGCTTTTTTCAAGATAATATATCGAGCACTATGCTAGACAGTTTTTACAAAAACGACAAATGGACCAGGAAATGAAATTGCAATAAAACGGTCTAGATCTGATGTCCTTGACGACAGACTACTTTGCCATACCTCATACAAATAGCTAACCCTTGATGTTTAATCTTGTGCCCAATCACTCAGTTAAAAGTTTTGCACTGTATGTTCTCAAGCCTTAAATGATTGGTCAGAAACGCATTAAAAAAGCTGCCGAGATATCAAAAAGTATTCAAGCTATGCATATCAGCAGTCTGGTGATCCCAGTCAACGTGTTTTCTTGAGCATATGTGAATCAGATATTATTTATACATGTATGGAAACCAAAACTGTGCATGATTCAAGTCAAGTATACAGGAGGCATGTCAAAACAACAAACGTTGAATGCATGCGGACACAATCAATCCCAAATAGTTGAATGCTTTATGAAAACGTCTAGCATCATTAGTCTATAATGACACTTGTATTTCCAGTAAATATGCTGACAGGGTTAGACACCGATATCAATCGGCATGCCGTACTGTTCCGTAATGGAGTATTTGATCAACCTTGGCTATATAATGTTTAGTGTTTGATACGTCATATTGATGCATTGTAGATACTCGGATATGATTCGCCAAAAATATATCCAGACTGCTGCTATATTATACAGCCAAAGCATCAATGGCAGTGCTATTGTACACCTGATAGTGCCATGCAAATTCAAACAGATGTAAAGCTACCCGTATACGCAAAATGTGCGAGTTTGATCTGTTGGCAGTTTCCAAGATCTCAAATGCATAATCATCCAGTTCTAGTCAGCTCTTTAGCAGAGTAAAAGCGGACAGATAATGTATTGTTTGAAAACAGATGGTTGGGGTTTGTGTATATGTATTGGCGATATCAGACAGCTTTGGTAGCATACAGAGATTATATTACAAGTCGTTCAATCGCCACAGCGTATTCAACCTGTGCTTGAATGAATTGTCACGTTTTCGAGATTATCTTGTGGCTTAGCATTTATTTTACAAATTCAATGCAATTTATGTGGAATAATACTTTTTGTGTTGCATATGCATACCATGTTGTATATGACCGCTTTGTGATTTAATCACACTTGCTGAACAATATCTGAGAAATATATGCTTTTCACTCTGACTTAAGCTAGACAAAGTATGGCTTGTTCAATTCATATTTCTATATAGTTGCATTAAAACAGGTGCCAAAACACGAGTTTCACGTAAATTGTACCCTTATGGGCGTAAATGACACTGAAACCCTTATATTATATCAAATTGTATTTTTGCATAATGATAATGCAGCTAAGCTGCAATTTAGAATACTTTTGCTTGGATTTGGGTTCAAATTTGGATATAAAAGGACCAGAATTGACTTGAACCTTATTCATCAAAAACAATCCTTTCAATCTAACAATGCAATTCACTATCGCTGCTCTTATTGTCGCCCTTGTTGCCTCTGTCATGGCCGCTCCTTTCGAGTTTGACGATCTCCCAGTCAGATGCTCCACCAGCGCTAACTGCGATCAAGGCCAAACGTGCCAGACTTCGAGCACCGGACTCGGATACTGCGTTAGAAAATAAGGATCTTGGCTAAACCCTTTATGCGCACTGTCCATGGAACCGTTTCAAGCAGATCACTGAACTTGTGAATTTTGAAATAAAAAGGTCTCTTGAAATCATACTTTTTAATATACTGAATGGGAATTTAATGAGAGATCAGAAACCATGTGATTGGGTTGGCTATAATACACTGGCGTGAAGCGGGTAAATTACACTTTACTCACCAAGGCCAAATCCAGACAACTGTTCACATGTCTCAGTCCTGTATGATATGCCTGCAGGCGTCATTTCGTTTTCTAGCATTTACTTATTTTAATACCATTTTTTAAAAATCAACTTTAATTCAGTTCAACTAAATAAACGAGATACGTGAAAATAGAGGGTTAAATGGCGGATTGGGTTACCCAAGGCGGGCTGAGTAGAATATACGAATCAAAACAATCCCCACAAACATGTCATCCACCTAGTGGCTTAAAAATTCTGAAACCCATTCATACCAGTGTACTGCTGAGGGACTTGTTGAGGCATCATTCCATTTGCACCCGCGTATCCCATGTGCTGACCAGGCATCTGCATACCACCACCAGCAGGTGCAGCACCGCCATAAGTGATCATGAGAGGTCTGCCCATCATACCCACCCCACCATCCTGTCCATCGGCAGCAAAATCGCCTCCTTTTCCAGCACCACCTATCGACAATTCCTGAACCGTTTTCTCAAGGCTTTCAACGCGATCAACAAGATCCTTGACAGTCTGTACAGCAAAAGGAACACCGACTCCCGAAAGTCCGTTTCGCCACAATACCTCCAAAACCACATCAGGTTTGAGCAGATCATAGCACCGATACAAACATGCAATAACCATATCATTCTTGTTTAAGCCAACAAAGTATTCCAAGAGTTCGAGCGCAATTTCGGAATTTTTACTCGATGCAGCAGTCTCGACTGCATCACCGAATAAGTTGTCGCGTTTGTAAATGGCTAGGGCTAGTTTGTATTTACGTTTTGTTTGGTAAAGAGACGCAGCGACACGGCGAAATTCAAGAAGCTCATGCTTCTCCAGTCGCTGAGCAAGACTCACATGTTCAATATTGTCAAAGTTTTCAACACTATCACGCAAAGTGTTGAAATCTTCCTGTTCAATGAGAAGATCGTTGTAAGCTGCATTGACTGCTGCATTGTTGGTAGTTTGTTGAGCAGAGATCAAATAAGGCTTGATTAGGGGCAAATTGTTGGTTTTTTGAAACAATGAAACAACACGAGTGTGGTCGACTCGAGGAGTGAGACCAGTAAGCAAGTCGTTGATCATCAATGGTTGCTCTTCAAGATAGAAGCGAAGCGCTTTGTAGTAAATCTCAATATTATTGACCTTGATAATTACATCCTTAAATAGTGTATGCTCCCAAGCATCAGCAGAGTGTGACATGATGGTAAGAGCGGCATTGTCATACTCGTCATAGTGAGTGTACAAAAAGACCAATTCGGCCCACAGATGAGCATCTTCGCAAGCACGAATGACCTTGGGAATGTTGATACGCTGCCAAAATACACGTAGGTGCTCAATCAGCTTTTCTGCGCGGTGCTTAGAGTACAGGATTGCCAGTTCGGTAAACATCCCCATATGTGCACGCTCCAAGCCCAAACCACCTTCCAAAAGCTGAATCAGTTCCTCAAAACTACCACGGCGCTCGTACAGCTTGACAAGACTTTCAAGCTCATCAGCATGAATTACCAAATGAAGACCACATACTTGGGCAAGACGAAATTCGCCGTTATCCACACAGGCAAGGCACACTTCACGCCAGACCTTGGTGGCATTGGCTTTTCGAGCACAATCCACAGCAGGTTGATATTCGTGTAAAAAAACCAAAGTAGTAGCTAGGCGTGCCCAGTTGGAAACACTAGAAAACAAAATCTTGGAAGCCTCGTACATCTTTTCATCAAAGCAACGATCGCCGACTTGCGAAATGTTGGCCAAGTTGGGCGAAGAAATAAAGTCTTCAAGATCTGCAAGACGGGCAGTTTTGGCATATGCAAATAATAGCTCACTCTCAACACTGGCTTCACGTACAGTTTTGCGTGCCTGTTTCAAATAAATGACCAGCTCTTCAAATTTGTTGGATCGGCCACCAACATGAATGACCTCTGCAAAATTTGTGAAATCCTCAGCATGCATATAGGACTCGATGGCTTCCTTGACACGGGCATTGTCCAACTGGGCTTTGGCAAGTTTACTCCATACTGGAGGTTGGTCCACCTTTTCAGCGTACTCGGCAGCACGGTCCACATTGCCAATATGTGCAATCAAAACACCGATAGCATCAACATATTGCTCATACTTGTTGTAGATAGTAAATGCTTCTTCAAACAAGTCGCTACCAACAGCAATATTGGCAATATCCGGCGCATCAAAGTTGTCTAAACGGTTGATATAGTCCATTACACGGGTTTTGTCAGCCTTGATAGCAGTTAAAATCAGTAGATTTTGCAAATTACGGTTATCGCTAAATGCCGAGCCTTCCAGTACCAACTTTTCCAAAAGCTCAATCAACTCGTTGGGTAGATCTGCAGCCATAAATGCCTTGACTGTAACCGACACATCTTCAGGGTCTTGCGTCTCTGGAAGTGCAGTGGCAACCACTTGGTCTACAAGCTGACGACGGAAAGAGTTTTCTATGGCAAGAACAGTGGCCCACAGATCTTGGTCACGACGAGCAACAAGATATCGCGCTTGATGTTTAAACATGGAATTGTCATTGGTCAAACGAATAAGTTCCTGATCACATCGGCCACGTTCGTATGCAATAAATGCCAAGTAAGGATCCTTGCGTTCACAATGCTTGCCCACAACTGCAGCATCATACAGTTGGTTGGTCTTGAGAAATTGTTCAGCATTGCTATTGGTGTCAATGTAAATCTTGCCAAGAGCATTGTAAACTGCAGGTTCAGTGCTTCCTGTCTGAGCCTTTCCTTCAAGCCATGGAAGAGTAATCTTGAGACGATTACGCTTTTCTGTTTCCTCGACTAGCTTATCTACTGGAATGGCACCAGTTACAGACATCAATAAGTTTTTAATGATTATCTCGTCGCAGTCCACGTCCATTAATGCACCAATGACTTCAGGGGTACGAGAAGAATTGACTTTCTGTACATATATTTCAATATACTTGGTCATACTGTTTTGATAAAGAAACAGAATCAAGTCATGCACAAAATTAAATCTGTCACAGACGATAATCAATGGCAGTTGGTCCTGAAGTTTAGCCTCCTTGAGGAAATTTTTGACTTTTTCAGGATCATAGCAACTGCTTTCGCGACAAATACGCTCGACTTCCTTTAGCTGGCCAGTACGACAAGCAGCTTGAATATACTTGAAATGAACTTCGGCATCCTGACTGAAGTTCACAATAGCTCCCAAATAATAGTAAAGACCCTCAAAGGTTTTGTTGGTTTCAAATAGATTAATCAACTGAGACGAGCCCAGCTGATCAGTGTACTTGGTTGCAATTTTTACAACAATTTGTAGGTTCTGGCGAATATTGTTGGCAAGCATTTCTTTGAGACAGTCCAGAGATTGGTCTACAGACAAGGTACCAAAGTAAGTAATTACCCAGTCAGGATTGAGCAAGTGAGTATGAACAATTGACCGTTTGATGTCAAAAATGTCAGTGTAGTGCTCAAGTGCGCGTTGGTAAAGCCCTGCCTTTTCACACAGATTTGCAATGTAGGAACGGTCATAGTGCGTAAACATTTCATTGCCTAGAATTGCATCAGCAACTTGCGGGGCGTGCAGCAAATTCATTTCCAGCAAACGAGTCTGCAGAGCAGCATGTTCAGGTTTGTTTTCCTTAAGGGCATCCAGCAAGAAAGAAGTTGCCTGTTGAACCATGTTCAATGAGGAAAACACGTCAACGATTCCCTCTAGATTAACCAGTGGACCGCCATCATTATTGATGAGAAGAGTAGCAAATTCACTGCCTTTGTCAGGATCAATGCGCATAATGTGTTGCAAAAGTGACACATAGTCTGGTTGATGACCCACTTTTTGAGCGTACAAAATAATCTTGTTGTATTGACCAGTTTCAGCAAACGCAGTAACGACTTTGCCGGGCACATTGGCTCTCAAATACACTGACAGAGCCAGAGTCTGATCAAATTGACGAACAATATCACCGAGTTCTTCGCTGCAATCAAGCTTATCTTCTTTTAACCATTTTTCAAGCAACTGTTTGCGCCCCTGTTGCAAAACAGGTCGAGCAAGTTCAATCGACTCAAACTTGTTGAGCTCACCCTTTTCCAGAAGAATGCCAAAATATTGCAAAATAGGGGATATCTGGCCAGGTGGAACAGAGACTTGCTTAAAACGCTCAATAGTAGCAGGAGTACGTAAAATAGCCTTTGGAGATGTAGCTGCAATTTTGGCAGCCTCAGAGTAATTTCCAGTCTGTAGACAATGGTTGAATCTATCAACGACAAGTCCATCTGCACCAGGTAGGTTATTGCGGGTAGCAATTCTGTAAGCAAGCTCAGAGTTGCGCAAGGTGTTGAGAATATAAGGAATGGTGTTTTCTTCATCAATGGAAACAGAAAGTACTTGTCCTTTACGATTGACGCCAATGATGCCAGATGTGGCATCCAGATCTGCCGTCACAAATATTGTATCACCCGAAATACGATTCATATATATACACACGCCCGTTTCCAAGTCGTACAGATGAATGAAGCCGTACTTGGTAACCAAGAAAATAATGTCATATTTCTGGCTAACCTGCATGGCAACAGGGAAATCATTGACAGCCTCTGGTGGGAAAAAAACATCGACTGCTCTTTTTTGGAAAACCGGGGTTCCTTCTTTGTGGTCGATTTCAATAATGTGCAACTAAAAATAAAATTCAAGTTTAAAAAAAGCATGTACGAGCAGATATAGATGAATATATTGTACCTTGGCGCCATTTGCACTGCGAACAGCAAAAGAAAACAATTGATTAGGCTGAGATCCTCCCTCCATCTTGAGTTGAGCAAAAGAAGCAGCATGACCTTCCAAAGGCTGAGATACACCTCGATCCTTGTTATACAACTGCATGCTGCCTACCACTCTTCCTTGCTAATAACACAAATATAAAAAGGTAAATATTTGAAACCGTTTTGATAGTAGTAAAGCTTGAATTACCTGAGCCGAGATACCAATCAAAGCCATCCACTTTTCATCCGAGTTGGCGCGATAATTGATGATCTGAGATCCAGCCAGACTGGCGTGGCGGTCAAATACTTTGACAGGAAGTGCATCGCCTTCCAAAGACCAATGATAGACGGATGTTTCAGTGACAAGACCCAGCATCTTGGGAGTGACCCATTTCCAAAAGACAACATCGTCATTCATGGCGTGAGCCTTAATTTTAGCCTTGAGTTCAAGGTTGAAGATTTGCAATTGCCTCGCAGCTTAGAAAACAATGTCAGTGTTGATGCTGCAACACTCGATGGTAGAAATGAAAATACCTTTTAGTGCAATGATGTTGGAGACGGGATTCATGATGGCCGAGTCGGCAGTGATTGGACGACGTACCAAATTCTGTGGCTGGGTCATGTCGATGATGACAACTTGGTTCTGTTCTCCAACCTTTTCTCGAACACAAATGTACTTGTCACTCTCCATGGTCAGAGTATTGAATCCAATGTTTGCAGCATTGATTCCGAGAGATTGAAGCTATTGTTAAGAGTGAGCATGCATGAATGGTCAGTCAATTGGATAGTAACGAAGCCAGGGGTCAGATACAAGACAATAGTGAGTTGGATTTAAACCATAAATAAAGCAAGGCCTTTGCTTCTATTGAACATGAATAGTGATGATAGTAACCATCGTAGCAATGGTAATAAACTGGTCTTTTTATAGTTGAGAATTCAACGACACATTCATATGTAAAACCAAACAACAATACCTGCACATGTTCCTGGAAGCGAATGGGAATAACTTCACCCATCAGTAATAGTCAGAATAGTAATTGTATAAGAATAGTCACTCGACTGTATCTAACTGTCGGATATGGAATCACAAGGAAAGTGTCGGCAATAGAAAACGCGCTCAACCATCAATGAACTCGCAACAGTTTGATCATCTCGCTGTCAAGCCTTGTTGGATTTGTATTGAAAGCAGTCTGAATTGATTGATAAAAGTATTGGTTAGTGTCGTGCTGGTTAAACACTGACTTGCATGAGATTAAATTATATAGAATTAAATGGTTTTTAAACTCATCAAACCTCATTCCACATCTCGCATCAGTCCTTGAATGCAGTTTAAGAATGCAGTGTTGGAATGAGAGCGAATGCGATCATTGTTGGCAGCAGACCCAAAATATGCTACTAAACACATGGAGCAACTAAACAATTATGAAGCATCAACCACAAACTATATAATCCCAAGAACAAGGTTGTCTGAATTATCCAATGAAGCTATTGCTCAGAATAAATCTATGGCTGCAGCAAGCTCTTGCTGGTCGCACTCGCTTACTCAGAACTCTTGCCATTCTTATCGCTTCTTGTATTGCTGTTTTGTGGTCATTAACTTTGCTGATGAGCGGATTCACTTCTTCGCAGTCCGACACTCCCCAAATTCAAACTGAATTGGTCTCTAATGTGCCTTTAGATACTGTACGACAGGTGACCTTTACAAGTGTTTTGATATCGAGTCGGTGTTTGAATGCTTGATTCAACTCTTAATTCCAGCTGAATCTACAATACTAACTTCATGCATTCCTTGCTACTCTCTATATGGTTATAATACGGCTTTGCTTTGATAATAACCAAGGTTGTTTCTGACCACATCTCTCTGGCCTTTGACGAGCCAGACTCGGATGAATATGTGTTGGTGGCGGGCGACCATTTTTACACGGCTGAGTCGGCCTCACTCATTAGTGCTGCTTCTAGCCAAATAACATTCAACGCTTCTGGATTCACATTTTGCACTCTACTCAATGGCGCTGTATTCGACTCATCTATTTATATAAACTCACTGGGCGGCTCGGTATCCCAGCTCAACTCGGATCGCTACACATTCGTAAATGCTGTCGACCAAAAAGCCCACGACATCTTTCAAGCTATCTTGTTCGAATCCAAATTTGGTGATCGCAAAGTAAAACCCAATTGGGATGAACTCAAACGACTCTCTTGCTACTTTGCTGCAGAAGGAAACTCGGCATATGCCAATTTCACCACATCTCGTTTGTTGGTTCAAATAGAACCTTTTACATATTTTCAAGACCGGCTCAAAGCCATTGTTCCACACGATTCAGTTATTCCTGGCCCCAGGCGAAAGTATCTTATTGCCTACTTGCTCATGGTCCACGAAGAAAACGGATTTCCCCATCTCTGTAAACTGATAGAGACTCTCGACGATGGAGATGCCATTATTTTGATCCATGTAGATAACAGACCCAAGTCAAATCGACTTAGATCCAAGATTGAACAGTTTATCAATCAACGCCATCAAATGATTGGAAAACCAGCAAACATCTTTTTGACAAAGTACAGATTTAGCAATATTTGGGGTCATTCATCGCTTGTTTTTACACAGCTAAGTGGCTTTTGGGAACTGTTGGATATGGCTGACTGGGACTATGTGATCAATCTATCCAACTATGACTTTCCGCTTAAACGCAATGCAGACATACATCGTATTCTTAGCAGACCCAACAATCGTGGTAAAAACTTTATCGAATATTGGGCAGAAACTGGACATCTGGCAGAACGATTCTATCGTGCACATATTGGTACTGCTGACTTTGCTTCACTCTTTCATCCTAATAGTCTTGGTGTCACATCATGGCCTTTTCCGCGTTGGCGAGCATACAAACATCACCAGTGGATGATTGTCACTCCCGACTTTATTCGCTTTTTAAGATACGACAGCAATGCTCTCAACTTTCTGGCATTTTCAGAACATACTTATATCCCAGATGAATCCTACTTTGCTACGGTTCTTGTAAACTCGCTAGAATTTAGAGATACCGTGGTCAATGACAATAAGCGATACCTTCGATTTGCTGGAGGTGGTGCGGCCCATCCCTCTTGGTTGGGATACAAGGATCGCTTTTTGTTTCCTGCTGGTGAGCCAGAGCCTAGCTTCTTTTTTATTCGCAAAATGAATGTGTTTGGCACATCATTTGAAGAGGCAAAGTTGCTTGAGTGGATTTCCACCAACCACATGAATGTTCCGTCCTCGATCGATCCAAACGAATCGGCTGAATCCAGATCACCTTGCACAATTGAAGATGCTAGTGTACGCTCAAAATGTCTCAAGGAGTTTGGTAGCAAGATTGCTCACAACAATGAGCTGGTAGTCGTTCCAGTAAACCGTGCTTTTCTGGTCCAGGCCGCCAATCTTCGCTGCTCACTTTTGCATGCTGGAATTGACAACTTGATTTACTGGTCATTGGATTTGGAAGTTCACGAGAGTTTAATTTCAAAAGGAAAGTTGTCTATTTTTTTGGCTGGATTCCCCAGCACCAGTGAGCGTCAAGATCCTGGAACACCCTATTTCATCAAGATGATGCGATATAAACCTAAAGTGCTGGCAATGCTGCTGGATGCCGGATTCAACGTGTGGTACATGGACGCAGACACCATAGCCTTGCAAGATTTCAGGCCTGAGATTGTAGCAGACACATCTGTTCATATTCACATTGCATTGGACAATGACAAGCGTCTTGATATGAGCACATTTTTAAAGCATAGCGTTCCTCCATTGGCCTCTGCTGGAATCATGTACTTGCAAAACCATCCATCGTCCAAACTTTTTATTAAAAGTGTGCTGGATATGCAAGCTCAAAGTATTTTGCTGGACGATCAAGAAGCCATGCGCAGAGTGATTCATAATAAAACGCTTGTCCAGACAAGCTATGCTCCTACACAGTCCTTGGGGCAGCGATTGGGTCTGGATAAGCGTTCTTATGATGATGCAAGCAATATCCCAATTACTCCACCGGTTATAGAAATCAATAATGCGGAAATTCACATTCGGTATTTCAACCAGTTTCAGTTTATCAATGGCATCATCTTGCTTGATCATACCACTGAGATTCCGATAAACTTTGATGAATTCAAGGTAGTTCATGCTCGACCACTTGAAAACCCTATTGCGGCATTGACCAAGTGGGGATTGTGGTTTTTGAATAACGAAGGAACTTGCTCTAAAAAAGACACTATGCTGCATGATGCACGCATCAAGTTGTTTGAGCAAACCAATGCCCAAAGGAATCCGTGATCATTTGAAGTACCAAATGATTGTTTTGTGTCGTTTCAATGGAAAAGAGGAAACCCAGATCTGTCTTGTTCTGGAGGGATACTTGTAGTATCATTTTCCCCTTTATACCTCTTTTTAATTTTATTATTGATTGGCCTTATTGTTTTGTTACTTTCCCACTGGTGATGTGTTTGAGGATTTCCTTGTTTTGATTTAAACGTTGCGGAAAGTCCCATCTGTAACGCCAGTAAATATATTTTTATAAAAGCAACCTTTTGAATATTCTTTAACCGTATTCATGTAAAATGGAAAACCAGGTCGATGCATAATAAACAGTCCCATGTTGAATTAGTGCCAATTTATTGAACAAGATTGTATTCTTGAAACCATTGTTCACAAACAGTTTATGCTGGTTCATCATCCAAATATGTCCTTTTACGTATGAATATCTATCTTCTATAATAGATTGTCATCAAATGATTGATGGTTTAACAACCCTGTGGTCATCAACACTTGAATGACGAGACGTTCCAAACGCAAATATCAGTCAACAATGTCAATGATCTTGATGATAATATTACGACAAAAACCAACTCTTGAGTCGGACAGATTGGCAACAATGAATATGTTCAGAATTTTGTTGACACTATCCAAACAAATTCAATGTTTGGATTGCAATGTATGAATCTGATGATCGCACAATGTATGATTCCACAAACTCAAAAATGCAGGGTGTAACACACTAGTTTAAAACTATAGTTTGGTTGTGTATCCTATGATGGTCGGTGTGTTTAAAAACTGATCAAGTTGTCAAGACTTTCTAAACAATGACATGCAACATTCCAAAACACGCATATTATTCCAAACAATATTCCATTCCACAAAACAGCTATTTGATCAGATATGGTTTACCAACCATTCAACAAACGGTGCGCAGATTGGAGCTACACTACACTACTCTATATTGTCGATTTTTAACCCAGTATAAATGACTCGAGTATAGTAAGGAATGAGGTTGTGTCAATCAATTTTCAGGAAACATAACAAATGTTTAACCATTTTTATTCTGGAGAAAAGTAGTTAATCACTGCAAGATCAACATAAAAGTGTTTCATTTTATGTGAATTCATTCAAAACTGCAGCTTTGCCAGATTTATTCGTCGTCCCATCCTTCCTTCACAAATCCTTCTAAAGGTATAATCGGTATTATAGCAACCGGTGCCTGATCCTTGGGTCGAGCTCTTTTTCCTTGTTTAGTAGCCTGTTTCTCTCGATTGTACTGCATTCTTTCATCGATATCTTCCATAGTTTCAAGCTTCTTTTTGTTACGTCGTGACGATCTCCTATTTCTCTCGATTCTTTGATGAATACTCTTTAGCGAGCTTAGATCCGAGCCAAGTCTAGTATCTGACGATTTCTTTTGACCCCTACCATCATTTTTGGCAATCATAAAGTCGATGAATTTCTGACTGATCGACTTTTTAGCTTTTGAGCGTGTGTTGTAACCGCTACTTGAGCTTTGATCGTCAGGCGTAACATCTTCAGATTCATGAGTTTGGAGAATTCGTTTTGGTGTTTTTTTACGATAAAGGATACTGCCAATTCGTTTAAACCCACTTGGAGACTCTTTTGCATCCTCTGACAATACTGGAGATGATTCTTTAGACCCAGAGGGAATAGGCGGGTTGGGTGTTGCCATGGTCGACAGCACACAAAACATCACTAGGGAAAATACAGTAGCAGGCATATGACCTGGAACTAGGAACATATTGACGGATTAGAGACAAGACTCGAATAAAAACGATTGATACTGAGACGATGCATGGGACCATGCTAGTTTAAATACAAATCAACGTGCATTTTTTGTTCACCCTTGTGCGACTGCAACCTTGAGAAAGCCGACAACATTTAGGGCTGAAGATTTAGGGATAACGTAGGTAATTATTCCTATTGTTTGCAGTTTCATGTATCAAAGTAAAGTTTAAGGCCGCCTTGTATAGTAATCATATTGCAGATGGCGAAATAAGGGTTAGTGTTGGAAAAAGAAAATGTTAGGTAGATGGTAGGCATAGCATTGGCTAAAGGAATCAAGGGATTCATAGTCGTGGCAATGCATCACTTGTGCGGCAGATGGCAGGTTTTAGCGCGAGCATTCAATAAAGCTAATTTACGAGGCTTTTGGTATAGAATATTACCGGCCATTGTAATGTTGAGCTTCAAGTATATCCTAATTTCCTCGTACCATGTCTTTTACTTGTGTATGTATACTCTGTTTCAATATAATTTAAATAAGCACGGGCTGAGTATAATAGTACAGCATACACAAAGGCAGCCCTGTGTAGACACAACGTGTGATGGTATCAGCCATCAATCTACCATCATATTTTCCCAGTGTGTTGGATAATTGAATGGGATTGGGCTACGCAATACTTTTCAACTAAAAGTTTTGTATATACTCAAACAAGTTTATTATTCAAGTTTATGATTGGGTTTTGCCGATTGAGCAAGTCTGCTCTGCCGTTTGCACCAGCCTCGAAACCACATCACATGCATTGGAAAAGGCATAAGCATCAATGCCCAATACAATGTTGTGGGCATAATACGATACAACATTACAACATAGTATGCATGGAATAAAATCCTTGTTAGTAGATAAGTTATTCCAAATCCAAGCTCCGTTTTGAATCGTTTATCAATGTTTCCCATAGCAAGTAACAATGTTGGAATCTCCATTACCCCAGCAGGAGTCATGACGGGCCCAATCCCTCTGCGATCAAACTCAATCATCAGCAAGAGGTAGATAGTGTGATGAATCCAGCCAGTGCCCAGTTGGATTTGCGACGGATAGGCAAATACTCCCAATGCTAGATCGAGAATTAAAAATGAACTAAAGATGCCACCATACACTTTGGAAACAAAGGTTTCATATATGTTGTAGTTGAGGTCTGATTGAACAAGTTCAATGGTGTATCCGATAGAAAGGACTGTTGAAATCGCTGCAAACATGGCAGAGAGTATCCATGCTCTTGGTTTGGCAGTACTAAAGTTTTTTGGAAATATAAACTTGGTGCATAAAAAGTAGACAAGAAGCTGAATGGCTGTATATGCTAAAAAGGTTACGACTAGAGTTTTGTGGCTAAAAATCTCGACGAGTGTTTTGTTGGTCAAGATGACCGGAGTAGTCGATGTCTTCAAAAAGGCATATGGCATGCTTGAGTTGCTAGTAAATGGTCCACCTTGCCAAATGATGTTTAGTCTGCAATTGTGTAATCCTAGCCGGTAACAGCAATCCTGGAAAATTCGAAAAAAAATTATTACAACCATATTCACGTAAAACGGAACACGCGGATTTATCGAGTCATTGTAGTATCCAAATGTTTATTGATTTCATAATGTATTCTAGTGGGATCAGTTGCTAAACAGCACATGTTTCATAAGCTCACCTACTACAATGACACACATGGAGTTTCCAAGAACTCGCCACTGTTGCCGAGTCGAAATATCTTTTGGAAACGAAAATAAGTGCAAGTGAGTACCAGAAAGATTGATATGAGGCGATTGAGGTGCTTTCAAATCAATCGGAAATCCATGTAGTCGAGCAATTCTATGATGCATGCCATAGATGTAAATCAAATTTAGTTGGTTATCAAGCCAATACGGTTAGCATGAAAGTATGGTGGTACACTACTACTAATAAATAGCAGATAATTACAAAGTGATCAACATACTCGATGGAGGTGAATAGTCGTAATCCAAGTTTATCAACTGCTTCATGTGTATTCAATAAAACCGATTCGTCTTGCTAAATTCAAGGAAGCTTTTTGTTGGTTCATTAAACAAAAAATACATGTACACTATCGAGTTACATTTTGAATGATAATTACATACATCAAACCCTCGTGTCTGTAAAAATGCACCCGAGGCTACTCCATGGTGACCATACGCCTTGGTAAAACACGACGTTCGAGTATGAGATGGTTTGGCAATTACTAGTGGGTCAAACGATCCCCTTGACCTGAGAAGCCGCTCTGGTATTTTAAAAACTGGATCGTTGCACAAAATATCATTTTGTAGAAACTCGCCAACTGTGAGTGTTCCTACTACAAATGGTGGCTCAAACATCCATGATCTTGACAGTCTGCCATAGAATAGGTTTGGTTGGAGAAGCGAGTCTGGGAGTGTGGTGCGATCCTGTTTTCGTGCAGTCAAGTAGTATCTGGGACGATCGTTTGGAATTCCAAACTGTACAGGGTTCAGTAACCATTCTTGATAAATATAGTCGAGCTTGCTCAAAATATCAATTAGCTTTTGTCTGGTTCTTGATTGCTATAGTCATGAGTTTTTCAATTTAAAAAAGTAGTCCTAACCATGAAACGACAAAATCAGAATGTGGTATTGGCATAATAGCATCATGTACCTCGAAATTGGCAACATTTTCAATAAATATATACATTGGAGGAGACGCCATTTGCGATAATGTGTCCAGTAGAAACAGAAAACCTTGAGCCCGTGCATCCTTGTCATCCAACTGCTTCCCAGCTATGCCATCACCATTAGATTACAATGGGTAAGTAAAGTACAGCGTATATAGAATGAATCAGAATACTCAAGAAACTAGACAACTTACTGCGTGTGTATGGCTGACATGGAGGGCTCATTAACCAACAGTTTGCATCATATCGTTCTAGCTCTTTGGGATTTAAATCCTGAATGCTTTTTTCAACTGGTTCGAGTCCAAAATTGTGATTGTAACTAGTGATTGAGCATTTTATTAGTTGTGCCAGTTGGTGCAAAAAAACTATCCAACTGGAATATGAAGACTTTTGGCAATCCCACATTATAATAAAGGCTTACCATGCATTTGCTTGAGGATTAATGTCAAATGCAGCAACTACTTTTGCATCAATTGCTGCCCATTCAAGTCCAAAGTGCTTGAGTATTTAATAATAATAGTATGGCTGAGTGTCGACGAATCAACTCGAGACAAATTATAGGATATATTATGGGCTTGTGTTGTCAAATAGCATACCATGCCGCCGATACCAGAAAAAAACTCGAGAGCACGAACAGATGCAGACATATCAAAACAGTGAGTGGTGGTATGTATTTGGTTGGCTACAAGTATATCTAAACCAATTCAATTGTTGATTGCAATTGATGATCTTGGATAAAATTTGATGTTTTACAGCCGTATTCATGTAAAATGGAAAACCAAGTCGATGCATAATAAACAGTATTATGTTGAATTAGTGCCAATTTACTGAACAAGATTGTATTCTTGAAACCATTGTTCAGAAACAGCTTATGCTGGTTTATCATCCAAATATGTCCTTTTACGTATGACAGTCTATCTTCTATAATAGACTGTCATCAAATGATTGATTGATGGTTTAACAACCCTGTGGTCATCAACACTTGAATGACGAGACGTTCCAAACGCAAATACCAGTCAACAATGTCAATGATCTTGATGATAATATTAAGACAAAAACCAACTCTTGAGTCACAGACAGATTGGCAACAATGAATATGTTCAGAATTTTGTTGACACTATCCAAACAAATTCAATATCTGGATTGCAATGTATGAATCTGATGATCGCACAATGTATGATTCCACAAACTCAAAAATGCAGGGTGTAACACACCAGTTCAAACCCATTGTACAGCATTTGCTGTTGGTGTATTGACTGGTATCAGTGGAACTGATGTAGCAATTCCACAACTTCAATGATATTGACGAGACCAATATTTAAACATCATTATAAAACCCAAGATTTTAACACGCATTAATCTATTATCACATGGCACACTATGAATTACTTGATTTGGTTCAATTTATTTTTGAATAGTTTATTCAAGTCAAGGATTAGTGTTTGGTAAACATCTTTTTTAATCGTTTGAGTCTGTTTCCCCATCCACTACTCGGTCGTTTTCCAAGTTCTTTTTTTAGGTCCTTTTCCTTTTGTTTTGCCTCCTTGCATTCTTGTTTTAGCCTTTTCATCTTTTCATGTTTGCCTCTAAATGATTCGTTGCTGTCGACATTACCATAATATTCAGTAGGCGATTGATTACTCATTAAAACTTCACCAGTCAGACCATATTCCAATCCATCTCGCCATAAACTATTCTTGTATTTCCGATATTTATCGCATATATCTTCCCTTTGACGTTTGGCATCCGCCAGTCTACTTTCGACACTATTGCCGTCGTTTGATGGTCCTGGTTCGCTTGCGTCATCATCATTGGGGTTGTCTTCAACCAATTTTTCCCAGCCTTTACCAGGACTACGTTTTGACAACTGATGCGATCGAGTTTCTGCATTTGGCGTAGCTACTAACGCACTGGCAACTGCTGATACAGACAGTACAAGTATAATGTCTATAAATTTCATATGATCAAACGTAGGCTTAAACTATGCTGCTGGTAAAACAATGGATGACGAACTAGTATTTGGTTGGATATGCTTTAATGATAGAAATTATTCTACTATTTATAGTCATTTTATATATGGCAAGATACACAAAGTTCCTTGATTATACTCGAACCACTCATATTTGATCCCTGATCACTATTGTCACTGTATTTAATGCTTGCAAGTGCTTAAATACTCCCTTAAACACGTTTCTGCTCCAAAAACAAAGGGTGTTTGTGTAGCATACAGCAACTTTTGAACAGCGCGAACTATGGTATTCAAATGATATGCGGCTGTTGATGGCAAGTAGGTGTGCTATGTTGTATTCAGCACATATCAATAGCATCATGTCTTGCCATGCATTGGCTTGACATTTGTGTTGGACAGTATCAACAATCAAAGTGACTGCAATCATAAACTAAAACCGAACAGAGTTATTACGTGCCAGACAAGGGATAGTAGCGATGAAATGCATTTTTGAGGTGGCTAGTTTTAAACCCTTACAAAATCAACACAAACTAAAAAGTAGGGATGATAAGGACACTGTATACAGATACACTAATATGATTCCGTATCATAGCCTCAAATACAATGTAGTTTTGACATGACTCCTCAGTTTATCAATCCAGTCGCATGCAGTCAGTTTGAGCGATTTATTGTTTACTGTGTTGGAAACGTGATCACTGCAAGTGGTTGGACTGGTCAATGGCATCAACAGTATCAATCAAGTGATCATCATTACAGTTACACTGTAACACAACTACACTGTAAAAGTGGTTCAGATCACCAAGTTTAACTATACCTAATATCAATTGTCAATCGCTGAAACGTGTGTATACATGTATATACAATAGCGACCAATCAATGACTGCAACGCAATCTCACCATAACTGCGATGGACGCAACCAATTTGTTGGCCAGTCACACCACACATTTACATTGTTATTTTGCAACGACACCAGATGGAATCGTTGCATCATTGCAAGAACTGTCGAGTATGTAAACAATGTTCAAATTGTATCACAATCATCACGATCATCAGTGATGTACTGGATATTTGATCAACTGTATCCAGACTACACGACTGATTGTGGACTGATTATGGACTGATAGTATCGTGTTCTATAGTTGCAGTTGTAATTGCAGTTGTAGTAACCAACATACCAAACACTGATATGACCAAAATCAAACCACTGTTGGATTGGACCCAGTGTATTCAATCAACACAACAATCCATGTCATGGATCGTGTCGTTCAATACACCAAACACAATGATCCATGTGATGACTGATGCTGTCTATATAACCACGCTTGTATATATTGGTTTGACCATATTGGTTTGATCACATTGGTTGTATGTGTCGAGTTGCACTGACACACTGTAACACCATATGTGGTGAATGGTGGTGTCAAATCTAGTTTACAACTGTCAAGTACAGCCAAACACGCTCCGACTGTATTAAACTGTTAATGCTGGATGTGGTCTGATTGACACCGACATGTGAATCTGGCATGCTCGGGTTGTGATTGCGGAACTTTGTGATATATTGCACATGCATTGACTTGGATAGCAACATGCATAAAGTTTGAGTGTCAATGATGATAACGGATCGATACATGTGCAGGCTAGTACAGTACAGTATAGTATGTACAGTATATCACAATATACAAATAACCACAGTGATAAATGACCATAAACATGTTGGACATTTTGTAGCCATAGATCCAAACCAGTCGACCAGTGAAGCTATACAATACAATCTAGATATATTTTGATGATTGCATCACGATTACATGTATACACCAGTTATTGTACAACAGTAAAACAACCAGTAAACATCATACAACATATGACTATTCAGCATCCCATCTGTCATTGAACCTGCTGCGTCCACGATCTATGCGCACATGTGCAAGGTCAATCACATCATTTGTGTCTACATGTGGAAACTTTAGCTTCAAAACATTGATTACCTCGTCTACTTTTTCAGGCGAAAACATCAGTCTACACACAACCATTCCGTGCCAAACCATTCGCTCATCTTCCCATGTATTTCCCAACGGCATGTGTTTAACATATTCCCATGCACCATCAATACAGCCACCACGTTTCCCTAATGCAATATACGCCCATACAATCTGTGCATATACTGACGGACTGAAATCATAATTATGATCCACAAAATAGTATATAATCTGCTTGACAGAAGTCACGTCACCTAGCTCTGTATACCCACGAAGAAGATCGTAAAAGGCTCGATTTAATCCAACTTGGTTGGCAGTAAGTTGCTTTTTAAGATTGAAAATAGTCGATTGGGAATGAAGCGGCCCCACCATTCGTGCCAAACATACTCTAGCATGAACAAATAGGTGTGAATCAGGTATAATAGTACGATATATGCTCCACACTTTCAAAGTATTCCGCAATCCAGCAAAAGCAACCAACTCTTCGTGTAAAATGGAAGTATCTAACCGAATATGGGTTGATTCACGCATTTCTTGAATCAAATTCAAAGCGGTTTGATACTCTTTCAAATCGTTGCGACATTGGATCATGATACGATACAGATTGAAATCCATAGGTTTACCACATTTGAGTGTAAAGTGGTTGATCAAGGCAAATACTGCTTCGTATTTGCGTAGTTGGTGATAGCCTTTACAGATCGAGACAAGAATGGCTGATGTGAGCGGGTATTCTGCCATATCCATGTGGTCGAGAAACGATATAATACCAAGCTCATCGCCCTTGAGAGCATATGCATGAGCAAGAGTCTTGAATGCCATGTTGGGATGAGTACGTCCAAGTAATTCAAAGTACATCATCGCGATGGGTGAGTTTCCCGAAAGAATATATGCTTGACACATGTATCTAAGGACAGATGGATGGCAAGTGTTGTAGCCTTTGGTACGAATGTCCAAGTAGGTGGATTCTACCTTGTCGATTTGATTCAAACGGCCATAGATGTTGATTGCAAGACATAGAGTGCTGAATATGGGTTGTATGTTATGGGAGAGCATAATATTGTAGATTTGAACAGATTGTGATAAACGGGATGGGTTGGAATGGCCTATGCGAGACTTTGAATAAAAGACTGAGTTGATTAGAGTATTGTAGTCGGTTGATGGTAGACAGGAGAGCAGTGATGGAGACGACCGTTGAATCTGTAAAAAGAGTTGATATGCCTGCTGGTCGTTGTTTGTAGACAAGAGTTGAATGAGCTGATTGAGGAGATTGTTGGTAACTGGGACTGTATGAGTATCATGTAGACTGCTCTGGGTGAATGAACTCTCTCTACTGCTACTCATAGTGAACAACCTCTTCCTACTGTTACTACCAGCATATAGTCGTGTGAGTGGTCCTGTCATGAGTGCAGCACCATTGGATTGAACAATGTCTGCTAATCCTGGCTTATGCTTCATACACTTCATTATCTGTCTCGACCAACTGCACATAAACCTTGTGCCATTCCTACCAACACTGCTGTTCATTCAAAAGACAACTCTCAACCTTGAATCCTTCAACACATGAAAATATACAATGTTTATTTCATCCAACAGCCAGAGTTGGAATACAATCAATGTCCCTGATGCTTTGTTCTTATATACTTTGATGATCGTCCAGCAGTCCCCTTGCGAGTTGATCCATCACTCCCTCTAGTAGGCTGCTGCATTACCAAGCAATCAAATAAGCATTGTATTCCTTTGATATCCATCAAATAAACATTGTCATAATAGGCTTACCGGGTCTAGCAGAATACCATACAGAAACAACGCAATGGTAATCACTTCGGCAAAATGACTTGCTGACTCGCCGATAATAAACAGAAACGGATTGTTTCGACACTTGGTGAACTTGACAATGAATATTACAACTGATGCTAATCCTGCTATTGGTGGTCCAAATGCCATGACTCGAACCTACAGCATTCACAAGTATTCAAACATGTCAATTACCACAGCAAGGCATATCACCACATAAATCAGTCTACCTTGCTAATCATTTGATCTCGCTTTCCTCGCTTGTCTTGTCTAATCAATCCTAGTCGAGCAAGAAACAAATGTCCACAATACATGTAAAGTGGTGAGATCAGCACCTGTAGCACCACAGATTCAGGTAAAATTAGAGTATGTTAATATTTTCCCATTCAAGCAGGACAATACCCAACTTACCATAATCGTGCCCATATATATGGTGTCGCTCAGAAACAGAATCTTGTTTTGCTTTTTTTGTGCCTGTACCACACAGATTGCAACTTCTAGTGCAAAATAGATGGAAACTATAAACCCTGATGCAATTTGAGAATATCCAAGGGTTTTTGAAGGTGATAGTGCCAATCCAGTACGGCATATCTCGATCCAATGCAATGCCATCAGCACATAGGCTAGAATCGAAAACAAATAAAACAAGGAGAGGATCATGCGCATGATAATTGGGCTAGCAATACTGCTTACAGAGTATGGATCAATTGAAAAGAATATAAACCGAACTATACATGTCATGGTTTCAAATTAGACAACCGTTTGATCATTCCCAAGAAACACATTCAACAGAATACATACACAGTCCAGAAGCATGGATCAAACACAAGCAAACATGTCGGACACCACCCAATTGCCAGTCATTTGCCTTGAATGTCAGGTAGTTGAAATATGTCAACAGCACAAATACGAGCGTGTAGACCAACAACCACGAGTATATAAAATACGGCCAGGCATAACCAAACTCTTCTCGCTCCGATTTACAGTTACTAGCCTGAACTCGCCACCAGTTGTAGATTACTTTTGGACAATCACACTGACCATCAGAGTTGCATGTGCCTATTCTAGAACAATTGTTGGGACATAAAACTACATTTGATGGCGAGATGTTGGTATCTAAAAGAAACTGGTAGCTAGAAAATAAACCAAGTCCAGCCATGTCTGTGTCTATCGAGTTGATTTGAACATTTAATATATGATTAAACTATGACAAACGAATTGATAATCAACATACCTGTGGCTGGTTCTACATGAATGCTGGATGGTTGTGGAAATGAATCAAGGTATACTTTTGATTGTATTGCGGCTTGTATAGACAAGGATGGAGAGGGTTGTTGCAGTGAAGACGATATGGTATTAGTCGACAAGGACTGGACTGGCTCTAATTCATGGTGTGTTTGCATTAGTGCATGCCAAGGAATGGAATGTTGTTTAATCAGCTGGGTTGAACTGGAAAAGCTATTTGTTAAATGGTGCAAAGTAGAAGAGTCGGTCGGTGATGATACAATAGCAGAAGAGTGTATAGAGCTGATTGAATGGGTTGTTTCGATGGATTCATGAGTCTTGATGGATTCTAACTGAGTGGTGGTGGATGGCAGCAATGCTTGTAAATGCACTGAACTGTCATGATGGATTTGTGTAGTTGCAAAAGTATGGCTGATCAACAGCACAAGTACTAGCGTAGTTCTATGCATGGGTTCTATCTTCAAAACACTAATACAGCAGCACAGTTATTGAAATGCAAACAACCTGCTGTAACCATTTCCATCAACTTATGTTGGCGACCCTTTGTTTGATATGCATAATTCAATCTTGTAAAAACACGCTTTACGATTCATGACAGTTGGAATGAAAACATAACATGAAATAAACGAGAAACTGTCGGAATTATCAACCTTGGTGTTGTTGATTTGCAAATATCGATATATTGTTTGACTGTTGGTTGGAATGGCATGTTCAGCTATTGCTTGTGTATCATGTATCACGACGACAATCTGACTTGTTGACACGACCAGTTTGTCAACGATGTGCAACTCCAGTCGATACAATACATAACAACGACACACATCTGGTATATCGATGACTGTTTGTTGAGCGTGTTGAGTCTGGTGCTGGTGTTGGTGTTGATGTTGATGCGAGAGTTTCAGCGTTTCACATATACAAGGTTTACTGTGTTTTTGATGCGTGTTTTTGGATTAAAAACTAAACATTTACATGACATTGTTGATACTGGTTGAGTTTGAAACTCTGGTTTGATACAAACTGAACATTATGATATTGGTAATATGCACGAAAACAATGGTTGTATTTGTAAAACATGCAATCATTATTATGTCGAATTAGAATGCAAACGTGAGTTTTTATGACACTATCCAAACAGTAGACTCGATATCTGGATTGCAATGTATGAATCTGATGATCGCACAATGTATGATTCCACAAACTCAAAAATGCAGGGTGTAACACACCAGTTCAAACCCATTGTATAACATTTGCTGTTGGTCTATTGACTGGTATCAGTGGAACTGATGTAGCAATTCCACAACTTCAATGATATTGACGAGACCAATACTTAAACATCGTTATAAAACCCAAGATTTAACACGCATTAATCTATTATCACATGGCACACTATGAATTACTTGATTTGGTTCAATTTATTTTTGAATAGTTTATTCAAGTCAAGGATTAGTGTTTGGTAAGCATCTTTTTTAATCGTTTGAGTTTGCCCCTCCATCCAGTGCCAGATTGCTCTTCAAACTCTTTTCTTAGGTCCTTTTCCTGTCGCTTTGCACTCTTGCATTCTTGTTTTAGCCTTTTCATCTTTTTATATCTGCTTCTAAATGATTCGCCGCTGTCGACATCACCATACTGTTCAGTAGACGATTGATTACTTAGAACGTCATCAACAAAACCATATTCCAATGCATCTTGATTTAGATCATCCTTGTATTTCCGATATTTATCGCATATATCTTCCCTTTGACGTTTGGCATCCGCCAGTCTACTTTCGACACTATTGCCGTCGTTTGATGGTCCTGGTTCGCTTGCGTCATCATCATTGGGGTTGTCTTCAACCAATTTTTCCCAGCCTTTACCAGGACTACGTTTTGACAACTGATGCGATCGAGTTTCTGCATTTGGCGTAGCTACTAACGCACTGGCAACTGCTGATACAGACAGTACAAGTATAATGTCTATAAATTTCATATGATCAAACGTAGGCTTAAACTATGCTGCTGGTAAAACAATAGACGACGAACTAGTATTTGCTTGGATATGCTTTAATGATAGAAATTATTCTACTATTTATAGTCATTTTATATATGGCAAGATACACAAAAATCCCTGATTATACTCGAACCACTCATATTTGATCCCTGATCACTATTGTCACTGTATTTAATGCTTGCAAGTGCTTAAATACTCCCTTAAACACGTTTCTGCTCCAAAAACAAAGGGTGTTTGTGTAGCATACAGCAACTTTTGAACAGCGCGAACTATGGTATTCAAATGATATGCGGCTGTTGATGGCAAGTAGGTGTGCTATGTTGTATTCAGCACATATCAATAGCATCATGTCTTGCCATGCATTGGCTTGACATTTGTGTTGGACAGTATCAACAATCAAAGTGACTGCAATCATAAACTAAAACCGAACAGAGTCATTACGTGCCAGACAAGGGATAGTAGCGATGAAATGCATTTTTGAGGTGGCTAGTTTTAAACCCTTACAAAATCAACACAAACTAAAAAGTAGGGATGATAAGGACACTGTATACAGATACACTAATATGATTCCGTATCATAGCCTCAAATACAATGTAGTTTTGACATGACTCCTCAGTTTATCAATCCAGTCGCATGCAGTCAGTTTGAGCGATTTATTGTTTACTGTGTTGGAAACGTGATCACTGCAAGTGGTTGGACTGGTCAATGGCATCAACAGTATCAATCAAGTGATCATCATTACAGTTACACTGTAACACAACTACACTGTAAAAGTGGTTCAGATCACCAAGTTTAACTATACCTAATATCAATTGTCAATCGCTGAAACGTGTGTATACATGTATATACAATAGCGACCAATCAATGACTGCAACGCAATCTCACCATAACTGCGATGGACGCAACCAATTTGTTGGCCAGTCACACCACACATTTACATTGTTATTTTGCAACGACACCAGATGGAATCGTTGCATCATTGCAAGAACTGTCGAGTATATAAACAATGTTCAAATTGTATCACAATCATCACGATCATCAGTGATGTACTGGATATTTGATCAACTGTATCCAGACTACACGACTGATTGTGGACTGATTATGGACTGATAGTATCGTGTTCTATAGTTGCAGTTGTAATTGCAGTTGTAGTAACCAACATACCAAACACTGATATGACCAAAATCAAACCACTGTTGGATTGGACCCAGTGTATTCAATCAACACAACAATCCATGTCATGGATCGTGTCGTTCAATACACCAAACACAATGATCCATGTGATGACTGATGCTGTCTATATAACCACGCTTGTATATATTGGTTTGACCATATTGGTTTGATCACATTGGTTGTATGTGTCGAGTTGCACTGACACACTGTAACACCATATGTGGTGAATGGTGGTGTCAAATCTAGTTTACAACTGTCAAGTACAGCCAAACACGCTCCGACTGTATTAAACTGTTAATGCTGGATGTGGTCTGATTGACACCGACATATGAATCTGGCATGCTCGGTTTGTGATTGCGGGACTTTGTGATATATTGCACATGCATTGACTTGGATAGCAACATGCATAAAGTTTGAGTGTCAATGATGATAACGGATCGACACATGTGCAGGCTAGTACAGTACAGTATAGTATGTACAGTATATCACAATATACAAATAACCACAGTGATAAATGACCATAAACATGTTGGACATTTTGTAGCCATAGATCCAAACCAGTCGACCAGTGAAGCTATACAATGAAATCTAGATATATTTTGATGATTGCATCACGGTTACATGTATACACCAGTTATTGTACAATAGTAAAACAACCAGTAAACATCATACAACATATGACTATTCAGCATCCCATCTGTCATTGAACCTGCTGCGTCCACGATCTATGCGCACATGTGCAAGGTCAATCACATCATTTGTGTCTACATGTGGAAACTTTAGCTTCAAAACACTAATACAGCAGCACAGTTATTGAAATGCAAACAACCTGCTGTAACCATTTCCATCAACTTATGTTGGCGACCCTTTGTTTGATATGCATAATTCAATCTTGTAAAAACACGCTTTACGATTCATGACAGTTGGAATGAAAACATAACATGAAATAAACGAGAAACTGTCGGAATCATCAATCTTGGTGTTGTTGATTTGCAAATATCGATATATTGTTTGACTGTTGGTTGGAATGGCATGTTCAGCTATTGCTTGTGTATCATGTATCACGACGACAATCTGAGTTGTTGACACGACCAGTTTGTCAATGATGCGCAACTCCAGTCGATACAATACATAACAACGACACACATCTGGTATATCGATGACTGTTTGTTGAGCGTGTTGAGTCTGGTGCTGGTGCTGGTGTTGGTGTTGATGTTGATGCGAGAGTTTCAGCGTTTCACATATACAAGGTTTACTGTGTTTTTGATGTGTGTTTTTGGATTAAAAACTAAACATTTACATGGCATTGTTGATACTTGTTGAGTTTGCAGCTCTGGTTTGATACAAACTGAACATTATGATATTTGTAATATGCACGAAAACAATGGTTGTATTTGTAAAACATGCAATCATTATTATGTCGAATTAGAATGCAAACGTGTGAGTTTTTATGACACTATCCAAACAGTAGACTCGATATCTGGATTGCAATGTATGAATCTGATGATCGCACAATGTATGATTCCACAAACTCAAAAATGCAAGGTTCAAACTAGTTTGATTATATTATTAATGAGCATTGTATTGATTGAGTTGAGAATGCCAATTTTTAGTAAGAATCGCAGTGAATATTTAATTCTTGTTTATTTCAAAGCGAAATACAAAAGTGATCCGTTTTACAAGAATTCGGCTGTAGATGAATTTTGCTGATCAACAAATTAATATTCATTTGATTCAACTCAGAATCGGCTAGAATGGATCCAACTACTGCTGCACTTGCAGAGTATATTTCCAATCTCACTCCAACAGATATTGAATGTCGTCAGGCCATTCGGGATTTCATACATGCTGGGGCTGATACAACCATCACATTCAAAAATCTGACTACTTTGGAGCCATCAACTCCACAACTTGAAGAGTCTCTGAAAGACCAACAGAACGACTCTGGATCCTCTTTGCTGCATTTGGCAGCGTCTAGGGGAAACTTTGAATGTGTGCAAACTCTACTGCAAGAGGCCCATCTTTCTTGGAATATTCTGGACAGCAATAATGTGTCGATTGGAGAGGTTGCCAAAAAAGCTGGGTTTGATTCCCTTTATGATCGTTTAGTAGATGAAGGCGTACGGACTGAATTCCTGTTGTTTGTTCTTGGTCAACGAGTGGTCGAGGACGGTACATTACTTGTCAATGGTGTAGATGTGTCTAAAGACAATCAAGACACTTTAATAGCCGATCATGAGCCCAACAAAGTCGTTTCCAATGCATCGTATCTGACTCGCAAATTAATCTATTCGGATGGCCGCCTGCTCGATTCCGATGGAAATGCTGTGATGATGGGCTGGGAAGCTCCGTTGATGTTGAAGCATGCCCAAGCCATTTTACCCAAACCCGGATTGGATGTCCTTAATGTTGGATTTGGGCTTGGTATTATTGATGAATACCTCCAGGAATTGCATCCAGCATCGCACACCATCATTGAGGCTCATCCTGATGTATATCAGCACATGATTGACAAAGGATGGGACAAGAAACCTGGAGTTCGTATTCTGTTTGGTCGCTGGCAGGATGTGCTGGAGAATCTAGAAACGTATGATGGTATTTTCTTTGATACATTTGGAGAGTATTATGACGATCTGAAGGATTTTCATCAAGTTCTGCCTAATCATCTTCGTGAAGAAACTGGCATTTATTCCTTTTTTAATGGTCTTGCTGGTACCAACCAGTTCTTTCATGATGTGTCCTGTAAAATGGCACAGCTTGATCTTGCCGAAATTGGTCTTTCAACCGAGTTTGTCGAGTTGTCCGTGTCGGAGCTTGGTGATGATGTATGGCAAAATACTAAGCGAGCCTATTGGTCTCTTCCCATTTATCGACTTCCTATTTCTAGAATTGAATTGTGATTTTAGTGTCCGTGTTCGATTTTCTTGGTGTATTGAGATGCTTAAAGCCAATCCCATGGTAACAATAAAACATAGATGGCTCAGCAAATACGCAATATTCATTTACGTTTGGTCATTTTAACTTTGAGGCCGTTTTTGAATCCATGTGTAACAGTGGAAAATCTTTCTAGCTTTTGATTTGGAACCAAATCAAAAGCGAATTGCCTAATCAGATGAATCATGATCACTCTGATTTCAATGAGCGCCATTTTCTGCCCTATGCAGTTGAACTGCCCGTCGCCAAAAGGAAGAAATGTGCCAGGAGTGCATGGCTCTGCCCAGCGGTCTGGATTGAATTGCTTAGGATCTTTCCAGTACCGATCGTCTTGATGAACATCTGCTAGACGAAGGAGAAACCTTGTACCTTTTTTAAAAGTATAACCCAACAGTTGAATATCCTGAGTGGATACCCGGCTAACTTGCTGTACGACACTGTAGCATCGTTGAGCTTCTTTGATCACCCAGTCCAAGTATGTAAACCGAAGTATATTGTCAACATTCAACTCTTCGTCGAGCGAATTGTATATATCGTGTATTTCCGCAGCCAGTTTTTCTTGCACTTTTGGATTCTGGCATAAAGCAAATACAATGAATGTCATTGTGTTTGCTGTTGTTCTACATTTCATAGTTGAACAGATTAGTATGGTGTTTCGGTACTTTAGCAAAAGACTTTATAGATCCACAACTTACTCGTGGCCAGCAATAATAAATCCAATTAGCTCATCGATAATTTCTTGTTCAGAGAATAGCTAATTACATTATTCAAGAGCGGTTATGTTTTAAATTTCACAACCACCAGTAACACTGAAAGTCAAATTGACATACCTGAGCCTCACTGTTACTGTGCAAAAGCCGTTCTAGCACATCCATGTGTTTTTTGTCTTTGATATCATTTGATTGATCGTTCTTGTGAGCATCTTTGTAGTCTTTGATCATGGCTTTGACCATGTTTACAACAGATCCGACTGTGCTACGGATTTCTGGTGAACTATTATGCAGTCCGACCAATCCCCACAAAAACGGAGGAATAAAAAGTCTCTAGTATATGTAATTATTGGCAAGTTTGATTTAGTTAAAATGCATGCATATCTTTGAGTAGCAACAAATTGGGTTACAGTTCAAACCGTGTTCAAACATATTAACCTACACGCTGCAGAAAAGTGACCAACTTGTCAAATACTCCTGGAGTCTACACAATATAGTATTCAAAAGATTGTTAGTAGGCGTACATGATACATACTTTTCCATTGATCTATTTGGTCTACCTTGCTGTCCTCCTGGTCATAGACAGACCTGACTGCTTTGAAATCGTGCTTTAATGTGACTTGACCCCTATGATAGCATTTAATTAGCGGATCTACTTGAAATATTATTCTGATGATTAGAAAGAAATAAACCGAGTAAAATCACATACATGATATCCATTGAAATAGCAGTCATGTATTGATAAATGTCAATTGTATAACACTCGGAATCGGCTGCACGAATTTCATCCTCGATCAGCATCGAGAGTTGAACAATAGCTTCCTCTGATGCATGTGCAGCAAATCTCAGATGTAATGGACCGAATGCAGGCTGAAGCAATTTCCGATGCTTTTTCCAAACCGGACCACCTGGAAGTACGAAAAGTGAGTGTTCAAACATGGTTTGTGCAGAGAGCTGAAGTTTTTCGCCACGAGTAATTTCAGTCGAGTTTTGCAATAGACGCATTACACTTTCTGGATCGCTTACAACCACAATGTCCGTTGACATGTTCTTCATCAACCATATATGGCCAACTGTTTTTCTCATTTTTTCAAAAAACTCATGAGTCTGTCGTCGGTTGGCATACCTGGACAATCAGTAGTTTAGATTTATTCATGATGCATCAGAACATTCAAAAGCATTAATAGTCAATATAGATTAAATATATGTTTAGTATAGCCGGGGGTCAATGCACCAATAGAAAGAGCTTACGGTAGAATGGTAAAGAATTGCCCAACCAGAGGTAGATAAGGCGGAGTAGGCAATCCTTTTGGTAGCAATGAAGGCTGAAGCCATCTTTTCAAGATCAATATTCCGATTGCAGGAATAGCTACTGCACATACCAGCGAATACCTGGATCTTGAATGACTAGTCACAATGGATTCAAACTGCTTTGCCCAGCCATTTCCAGTGGGAATCAATCCCAAAACAGCATTCATTACATATTCAAACATTCTGAACAAAACACTAGTTTGTATTCAAGTAACGATGTTTGTATTTCAATCTTGAAAATGAATCAGTTTTCTGCAGTTCACTTTCACTTGAATAAGCAACATTTGCTGCGCTTTCTTGATGGAAATTGGCTTTAATCAACGGTCATTTTATGATCCAGTTGTGAACTCGGACTCGTTTCATTCTAAATATTGGATTCGAGTTTGGTGAGTTTACGTGAACACGACGGTAAGCATTGTCAAGTTGGCGATTCTTTGACGTGAATGCGGTCAACCGAAACTTTGATCAGCATTCACCAACATCTACTATGCGAGCAGTTGCTTTGTATTCATGCACTGCTGAAGACCCATCAGAACTGTCGTTTGAAGTCGGTGACTTGATACTCGACGGTACATATGCATTTCAAAAGTCATATTTACCCATTCAAACTATAATCTATACCCATGCCAACCTTATCTGAATGAATCCATTAAACACTTGATGGGCATTAACTTTACTGGTATTTCTAACATTGAATTAGTGAGACCTACAGATGAGGAAGGATGGTTTACTGGACGGCTAGAAAAGTCAGGATTGAGGGGCAATTTGCCTGGCAACTTTGTTCGTTTCAGAGAAGATCCTCCAGGACCTCCATTGAGAGCCCAATTCAACGACCAGGTCTGTGAAGACATGCTGTTTATATGAATGCATAGTGTGGTTGAAATGTTTATCTGCACTTGTGATTCAGTTTAATACAATGTCTTGCTGTTTTATCCCATAGCTCGAGAATATGTCAATTAATAATCCATAATGGTCGAATCTTTAGAAAAACTGGGCTGCTTCAAGTGGAAGTGCTACAAGTATTTCGGGTACTGCTGTTTTTGGAGAGGCATGTGTATTTTTGTAATCTAAATATAATCATTATACCATTTACATGATTTGAGCACATCCATGTTCTGTTGGACTAATCATTTTTAATGTATTCTGAAATCTTGAATCATCACTAAATTAGGCTCTTTCTCCACTACCAAAAAGTCCAAGTCTGTCAAGAAAATTAGATCCACAAGCAACTCGGAAAGAGTTACTAGAAAAATCTAGTTCTCTTGTACAGCAAGCAAAGGATAGACCTGGATCTATGATTGGTTTACTTTCACAAAATACCTCACTTGGACCAAACAAGTGTCGTAATATTTCCTCGAGCGGATCGATTTCATCCCAGCCATCTGCAATTCAATCCAATTTCAGTATACCCAATCCCGCAATAGCATCAATGGTGAATTCCAACGCTTCACAGCAAACAAATAATTTTGGAGTACAACAAAATGGATTTGAAGACAACTTTCAATCTACTAGTTTGCCACAGATGAATCAGAACAATCAAACTGCTCCGCCCGTATTGCCTGCACGCACTCCACATTATGGATCTGGTGATATTAAAAAAGCTCAGCCAATGATGCCACCAAGGCGACCCTCGCAATCAAACACCAGCCATTTGTCATTTCCCAATACACCCTCTTTAGTTGCAGATGGTGCCAAATCCCAAGACCCATCACTTAAATCTGCTATTGCCAGTCTCAAAAAAACAGGAGTACTATCGAGCATCCCACAAGGCACTGCAAACGCACAAAATATATTTGCTCCTGCCAGCACAGCTACACAAAACCACTCTACATCTACTTTGACAACCTCTTCTAGTCTGGATTATGGAAAGCTTAAAATGGTTGGTGTAGTTTCTGGAGAAGTTAATCGCCGTGATAACATTCCACCACCACCTCAAAAGCCTGCATCGCTCTCATGTTCGTCCTCTGGATCGTCCATTGATTCTTTTTCTACTCCAAACTCTGCACCGATACGTCCATTGAAGCCATCTGAATTGCGTGGATCTTTAAATGTGCCATCTTCCTCTACTTTCAAAAGCACTCTATCCAACCTTGTATATCCTTCAAATATACAACCTACCACTGCTCAAACCATTCCACTTGGGACTAAACCCTCTGCATTCTCATCGCCTGGTGGTTATAGCTCTACCATTCAGTCAGCTGCAAATGGATACGATAATGCAACAGACAGCTCTGCGATTGCACCAATCAGGCTTAACCAGACTTCCACACAGTCCATTTCCACCAATCAACCGACTCCATCCACCACGACTAATATTTTGGGCGGATCTATTGCTGCTAGACTTGCTGCATTGAGTGTATCAACTGGACAATCACTTCAACCAGTTTCACCAACAATCAGACGCCCATCTGCTTCATATTCCTCATCATCAAACGCTATCCCGTCACAAATACAAGCTACGCAACCTTTAGTGCAGCAACACAATAGTGTATTACCTATATATTCTTCCTCTGCAGCTTCAACACAACCTCCTTATACTTTTACTGCTAAAACTGCAATTGTTCCTGCTGAGATCAACAGCGCGAATAAAACGACTTATGGATCTAAAATGCTTTCAGCAGAACCCAAGAAAGCACCACCACTGCCATCTCGATCCTCCAACATCACTACTTTGCAACGATCAGGTACATTACTTTTGGTGGTCAGAATTTGCCTTGTCTGTATCCATTTGCAGTATTATCAAACTATAATTGATAGACGCATTGAGCTTACATCTGTTTCAATATTTTATTGTAAATATATAAATTGAAATGATGCTAGTCAATGACACTAGCAATGCAGTGCCGAAGCCAATTTCTACAGAGCTATTTGATCGATACGCGGATGCGTTTATAAAGGCAGATACAGCGAATTTGGGTGTATTGAATCCAACGGTCGTTCAAAATATATGGCTACGTAGCTATCTTTCATTATCCCAGCTTTCTTCCATATGGTATTTCACTTTGAACCCATCAAAACAGCTTGATTAACCCTGTGGTTTTGTTACTAACAGACTATCATTACGTTTAGGAATCTTGTCAAGGTTGACAAATTAATCCATGGATTAACGCTCCATCAGTTTGTTATTGGTATGTTTTTGATTGATGACCAGCTCAAGGGAAACCCTTTACCGACCAGTCTTCCAGAAAATGTGATTCTGTTTATTCAGTCCTGCCAACAGCCAAATAGCAGCAAGTCTGAATTCCAGAAAGCTGATCCATTCGTTTCAATAAAAAGTTATTGAATATGAAATTCTATTTACTAAGATGAACATGGTATATATCTCGACTGCAGCTGTCCATATTGAATTATTTGAGCGTCCATTTTTACTAGTCAAAAGCTACTCTACACAACGGTATGAATCCAGAAGTCATTACAGAAAGCCAGCTTCTTGAGCGTACGAATGCATTGACACATCGTCTAGCTGCACTGCTAGCCCATCCACTAGCTTCCAAACTATGGACAGCCAATTTCTTTCAAACAGCAATCTCTTTATCTACTGATCCAGCCTATACCAACCTCTTGAAATCAGCTCCTATGCCAGTTCATCAGGTATCTTGTACAAATACTTTTAAAACTAGGGTTATAGAAGCAGAAACTGATGGTTGATGACGGTATGATCCATAGGCCATGAACGCAATCCGGGAACTTGGCATTGACACCCGATGCATTTTATGTCAAGTCGAATCAGACTATTACGAATGGTCATTGTATAAACGATGTTTGCGAGTCTCTTCACCATCCATCCATCATATGTGCAAGTCGGTGATATTTGAAAACACTCGATGGGAATCTACCACCCATTCAAAAGGTAGTTTCATACGTCAGTACTTTGTAAAATAAGTGTATTGACTTGTTTGGTTTTAGATGGGTGTGAATCTCCAAAGTATTTTTGTGTGATGGTTCAATACACTTCAAAGTTGAATACTCAGAAACTTATTAGCCATGTGTATGAGCATCTTAATCCTGGTCGACTCTCTCGAAAACATTTTAATTTGCGTGTGGCAAATGAGGAGTTGGCAATGGAAATGACCGGGTTTGGTAGAAACGGTGTTTGTCCTTTTGGCATGCTATGTGGAAGGTTGGCGACAATGGTCACAACAGGAATTGCTGAACTGGTGCCAAACGTGTTGGTTCTAGGTGCAGGGCATGTGGACTGGAAAATCACCTTGAATGTTCAAGATCTTATATCTGGCTTGAATGCAATGGTTGTCGATCTCAACTAGATTTCAAACTAAAAGTATCTTGTACTCGACGTTTATTTTTGAAATGCTCAAGTTTATCAAGCTTTTATTAGTATGTTGAAAATTGGGGCTAAGCCAATTTACAAGACAAATTACATTTGAATTTGTTAGATATCAATAGTTCGAAAGAGAATCAAATGAAAATAGAAATACCAATCTATCAGGAAAAAATCATGCTAAATTAGCACATGAACACAGGACTACAATGCAAAGATATTACTTTTGCTTGGTACGATTGAACAACTTTAGACCAAGGAAGGCAAACAAATTCCATCCGACAGCAATAATCAGCATGTAAGAGAGATCATTGGCATTATTGGCCCACTCATACGTGTTGGTGGGAGCTTTGTTCTTTTCGGCCCAATCAAGAGACTGCAATTCAGAAAGCCAAAACGATTCCACGGCCCATCGAGGAGCAGAGATTTTCCAAAAGTTTTGGAAAAAGGAAGGATAACCTGATACATCATCCAAACTAGGAAGCACGCCGGAAAGAACAAGAGCCCACAAAAGAGCGAATCCAGTAGCGATAAGACCAGACTTGGCAAGTGGAAAGGCAGTGGAGATCCAGTAACCCATGGCAAAGGCATTAAAGTAGAGACATATGACAATCGCATACAAATGAGAGGCAGATTGGCTGTATGGGAAAAATAGAACGGCAGCCAAAAAGAACATGGAGCCGCCAAGAATAACACGGGGAAAATCAATAATGAATTTGGCCATATAATAGGGAATGGTGTTCATGCCAGAAGCAGTGTCACGCCAGTAAACTACTTTTTCTCTGCCAAATGTGTTGGCACCTACAGAAATGCCTGCAAACAGTGAGCCGAGACCGATAAACATGCCTGCTTCACGAAGATGATCTTCGGGACGAGAGCATTGCCACTGGAGATTGACAGGAGCAGTCGCACAGATTGAGCCAGGCATAGCACCGATAAATTTGAAGTTTTGAACTGCAATTGAAATAAACAGACCCGATGAAAAATGAAGCAACATATCAACAATAATGGGTTGCGGATTTTTCCACACCTGGAAAAAGGCACGTTTCATCAAAAGCCAAATCTGCATGTAGTAAGGACAGGTTTGGCGGATGGGATCGGTGCGGCAAAGAATAGCATTAATAAATGAAATAAGGAACTCGCCAAATTCAGCTAAAATGTCGTAGATCCAAACTCCCCAATCACGAGCCAGAGAGCCAATTCCAGCAGCAATATACTCGGTCCATCCATAGTAGTCTTTGACTTTTGGAGCTTCAATGTAAGTAGAGGGTTTTCCATCCTTGACTTCTGAGAGATCACCGCTCTTGAATTTCTTTTGAGCATCAGTGGCTTGCTGTAAATTCATCCGACGAGTGTTGGAGAATGGATTCTGGCCCTTGCGAGTCGAAACCCAGTAGTCAAACAAGTGACGGGGTTGGAAGCCAGGGTCAAATTCAGAAGGAACTTTACCAGTAGCAACATCCATGAAAAAGTCTGCAGGAGACTCGTCGGGTGGGCACGAAAATCCAATAGATTGAAAGTATTTGACACACTCATCGCGAGGGCCCATGTAAATCAAACAGCCACCTTTACCAAGAAGCATAAAGTCGTCAAACTGACGAAACGTCGCAGGAGAAGGCGAGTGAATAACAGCAGCAACGGTAAGACCTTGAAGACGAGCAATATTTTTGAGATTAGAACACACTTCAAACGAAGTAGAGGAATCAAGACCAGATGTGGGTTCGTCAAGGAAAAGCACCGATGGTTCAGCAACAAGCTCCATGCCAATATTGACACGCTTACGCTGACCACCAGAAATACCGCGAGTTTCCTCATCACCAATAATGGATCCTGCAACGTGAGACATGCCCAAGAAAGCAATAATATCAAGCACCTTGTCTTTGATTTTGGGATAGTCCCAGCTGGCAGGCAATCGCATACGGGCAGAATGCATTAGAATATCACGGACAGTTAAATCACGCATCATAATATCTTCCTGAGGAACATAACCAATGAGTTTTTTGTACTTGGAGAGTTCCTCGGCAGCACCATTAATGGTAACATGACCAGAAGTACGCTTGACTTTTCCTGTCAGCAACGTAACAAAAGTAGTTTTTCCAGCACCAGATGGGCCCATGATAGCACAAGTGCGGCCAGAACGGAGAGCACCAGATACATTAGCCATAATCTCCACACCGTTGGGAAGCTTAAGACCAAGGTTTTCAAACTCGATATCAAAGCACTGTTCAAGACGAGCCAGCTGCGGCTGATCGGCTTGCAAGACCTCGAGATCAGCCTTGTTTTGTTCAGCATTACGCTTGAGATCGCGTTCCTTGTCAGAGCGAGCTTTCCACACAAAGATAAAGTAAACAATGAGAGCAACGACAGCAAAGATGATTACAACACCAAACTTGTCGCCACTGCTGGAGCCAGGAGGACAGTATGCCAGGTATCCACAGCTATAAGGTTTAACGGTGCCAACAGGGCAGAAAGAGTTTTTAGGGCAGATGGCAATAGTTTTCGAGTCGAGCGAACAAGTGAAAGACTTTGGACAGTACAAGGGCTGAGCAGCATTTTCAGGGCAGTAAAATCCAGGAGAGCATTGGTCTTTGCGTGAAGGACCCATGCAATAGAAACTAGCATTGTGAATGTACAAAATACAATGGTAAGCTAATTAGGAATAACAAGGCAATTACAGTCGTATTCACGTAGAATGAAACCAGTAGACGGATATTCACATGACAACTCTGAGTTTAGTAGACAATGGTGTCCTCTAGACTCCTTATGGAATGCATTGGGGTTTCTTTAGACTCATGTTGTATGAGAAACTGGACGAGTATTTATAGTTGCAATAAATCTCACACCAGAACTGCAAACACTATCTGGTTTCAAAATTGGTGATTGTGCAATGTATGGTTATGTCAAAAGAGAGAGAGAGTTGACTGAGAATAAGATGGATGTTGTGTTTTGAAGAATCAAGAATGTCCATTAAAGCCAATTTGTAGGAAAGCTGAATGTGTATACTCTACAGTCACTACAAGATACAAAAGTGTTCTATTTTACATGGATACGGCTGTGAAACCCAGCCACACCAAGGGCAGGCTCAGCTACAAGGGCCGATCTCGCACAAATCAATCTGGGTAAAATAGGGAGCACATGTGTAGCTTAATTAGGACGAGGCATTGCGCCTCATTGAATGAAACTCGACAGAAAGTGCATGACGAATAGAGCAATTTATCGTGGATAAAGCCAGTGAAATATCCACAAAGTTGTAAAAAACAGACACTTGGTTGAATACTGCAAGACGACTTACCCAGCCTCACAAGTCCATTGCACTTGACCAGAAGTGGGAGTAGCAGGATAACTGCACTGCTTTTGAGCCAGTGCACTATTATTAACATTTGGACAGGGTTGCCAAGTAATCAAAGCGGCATATGCCAGTGGGTCAAGTAGGTTTGAATTAGCACCCGGAGGTAGTACTTGAGCAACAGCCCAAGAGGCTAACGCAACCAATGTAATGACAGTTGATGCAAGATGCATGTTGGCTTTAATGTAAAGATTTAAAAATTGCTTTGAATTCAAATTTTAATCAAAGTGTTGTGGCTGTGCTAGCGCCTCTTTTAGCCAATCCAAAAACTCGTCAAAATGTAGTCCAGCCCATAGGATGAGCAGTATTCTGAGTAGTATTCTGAGTAGTATTTTGAATAACATTCCGAGTAGCATTTCGAGTAGTATCCTGAGTAGTATTCTGAGTAACAGCAACTGCACTGTTAAAATCTCCAAATTCTTGCTGGTCTAAATTCCTACCAGGTTTTTGTGGTGGCTGCAGTTTCACAACTTTATATTTCATTATTAACAAGTCATCAAAACACATCCACTCTGTCGGAACCTTACTTTGAGTAGTTTCGTCCAGAGCATTGTGTTTCTTTTGGCTGATCCCAAGATTCATTTGAATCATCTGTCCTTCTTTTAAACTATAATCAACATTGGGTTCATTGTTCAATGCTGTTGGCTTTATGATTTGATTTGCTGCTCGGACCCGCCTTTGCTTATAATCCCATGTTAGCTTATATATTTACAACCATGCAATCTAGTATACTCATAAAACCCACTTGGTATGGTCCTGTAAAGCAACATTCAAATCAAACGCCCAAGATCGCTCAGCAACTCCAAGTCCTAAAAATGCATGGCTTCCTAAATAGCCCATTGCAGTATCAGCACCAACCCAGATATTCATGTCTTAATTCACAACAGAAACTCACCAGACGTTGGATCAACCACTCGAATTACAAAGTATCTGCTCGAGTCAATCACTGGCTCAACAGCCGTGCCCTCCAAATCATATGGGCATTTGGCAAACAATTCTCCTGTAACTGGATCCTAAATGATACATCAAGTCCTGTTGCTTTATAATCAAGAGCATTCTCCAACCCAACCGATTCCAGGAGATAGCGTACCTCTAGATGCAATGCACACTCATCTCCAACCGCAATCACTCGCAGTCTACCTGACCATAGAAATTGTGTAGTATCCCATTCAGATGCCCTGGTTTGGTTTGAGTCGGACATCCCCTTGGTTAGTACATGCAGATATAACCAGTCGCCACCATCTAAAACATGAATACCTATATCCCTTTGCTGTTGCTCGAGGCGGAATCCTAATAATATTGTAGTAGTTGGTTATTACTACATATAAGCTTCAGGTAGTACCAAACACTCCTGTCCGACTTTGACAGCAATCAAACCTATTGATAGTATGAGCTCAATTGATACACACCTGTATACAAGACATTCTTTAATAACACACAACACTGACTCGTAAGCATCCGACATGGCGATAAAAATGGATTTTGGAAATCAAGACCACAACTATCCGAGTTTCTTGTACTTGAGCAAACTCAAGTCTGGCCGTGATAACTGGTGATAAAGGGGATGAAAATGGAGATAAAATGAGATTGTTGAAGCCATCACACTTGTTCATTTGCAAATATCGACTAGATTGTTCATCTGTTGATCTGAATGTCAGGATCATATATCAATTGTATCTCATGTATCATAACGACAATCTGACTTGTTGACACGGCCAGTTTGCTCAACAATCTGCTGTCAATTCAATATACGAATGTCGCTCGGTTGGTCTTGATTTGACAATATTCAGCATTCCATCTATACAGTGTGTATGCTAACCCAACTAACCGTGCAATATTACGGAAAACTTGTGGTTTTCAAGAATGCAATAGCAGACTGATTGATGCTGTCAGAATGACCAAGACACAATGTAATTGAGTGGTTGGAATAGAAATGAATACTATCTTGTGTTTTCACCCTTTTCGTGTTCATCGTTCAACTGTTGGTACTGGTTACAAAACAGTTTATTTCTCATCCAAAGCAATGAACTCTACACAGTCCATGCATGAGTGAATACTTAAACCTTGCTATTGTAACCTGATCCTTACAACATTGCTACCAATTCAAGTCAACTCAGATAACTCTATCCACTCAAAGTGCATTTCAATTATCTGGCTGCCACTTATACTATTGAATCTGCAAAACAATATATCAAATCCAAACATGAAGTTGGCTGTCATTCTCGTATCCTCACTAGTGATTACAGACTCTCAGTCGCTACCTATCCAACAAGATTCCAGCAGTTTGGAATCCAGCACTCGCTCATCCATGCAAAACTCTACACCAATACTTGATAAACGTAAAGTAAGCATCGAAAACAGTCATGATTCGACTCAAGTCAATATCATGCCTCGAGGCTTTCCCATGGCACAATTTATGATTGGTAGTGTAACTAGTGCTGTTGTTTCCACCGCTATATATACACAAGATTCTAAAAGAAAGGAAAACCGTAAAAACAAGAAGAAAAAGGAATCTGACGAGAAGGAAGCTAAGGAGAAGGAATCTAAAGAGAAAGGCAAAGAATAGTCTGGCTTTGTTTAAAATACTTGGATTGTAGTAGACTGCAGCTTAAATTGCGACGAATTTGAAGTCTATTCCAACGCAGTAAAGCAATCATCCTGGCATTAGCGATTAAGGGTTGATTGAAACTGTCAAGGATAAAACTGCACTACTATTTTTAATATTTAATATTTCACTAGCAAGATGGATCTGACACTTGATAAGAATAATTAATAAACTAAACTTGATTGGCCATGAATAATGTTTTTTAAAAAGTTGGTTTTGGCAAGAATAGTGCATGAAACACCAATACTATTTCAGACTATGCAAATAAACTGCATCCTTATTGCAGCCATGATCCGAAAAGTTCAAGTCTGTGCAATGCAGTTGTAATGAATCAATGTCAACCATGTAAATGGTCATCAGTTTACTAAACTCGAGTTGAATACCAAATCATACTCTAACCTAAGCACCATAGACAAGACGTTGGACTGAAAGTTTAAATGATTGCAGTGTCATGGTCGGCAAAAAGGTGGCACTATGACCACCAATAATCAAACCATAGGTCGATCTTGTGTAGTCTCGTAAGATATACGTGAGGAATGTTGTGTATAGATCGATAGTCTGCCAGTACAAAGAGTTTAAGCAAATGTGTGTACAAAATATGAACTCAGCACACACCAAAAAATTGCAATTGCTGTCATAGAAATGTATATATAGTTGGAGTGATGGAAACAATAATCTTCAGCTTTTTAGAATATTAGACATTAACATCCTACTTGGTCGTTATCAACCTATTACATTCCATTTCTATTATACAGTAGACAGAGCACACCAGTTCGATTTTCAATTTACTATATAATAATCCTATTTATCGGCATACCAATCACTCATAAAATGGGTTTTATTTCTTGGATTATACTTATGCTTTCACTCCTATCAGCAGCCATTTCGGTACCATTATCAAGCATGGGCAGCCTGCATCGTCGTTCCCCAGAGCCAGTATGGAAAGGATTTAATCTCGACACTGGTGCGGTTACTGGAGCCCCAAAACTCGACATCATAAAGCGATCGGTGGATTCCAACATATACCGTCGTTCTCCAGAGCCAGTATGGAAAGGATTTAACCTCGACACTGGTACGGTTACTGGAGCCCCAAAACTCGACATCATAAAGCGATCAGTGGATCCCAACATATACCGTCGTTCCCCAGAGCCAGTGTGGAAAGGATTTAACCTCGACACTGGTACGGTTACTGGAGCCCCAAAACTCGACATCATAAAGCGATCAGTGGATCCCAACATATACCGTCGTTCCCCAGAGCCAGTGTGGAAAGGATTTAACCTCGACACTGGTACGGTTACTGGAGCCCCAAAACTCGACATCATAAAGCGATCGGTGGATCCCAACATATACCGTCGTTCCCCAGAGCCAGTATGGAAAGGATTTAACCTCGACACTGGTGTAGCTACTGGAGCCCCAAAACTCGACATCATAAAGCGATCGGTGGATCCCAACATATATCGTCGTTCTCCAGAGCCAGTATGGAAAGGATTTAACCTCGACACTGGTGTAGCTACTGGAGCCCCAAAACTCGACATCATAAAGCGATCGGTGGATCCCAACATATACCGTCGTTCCCCAGAGCCAGAATGGATAGGACTCAGTTACAGCAGTCAAAGACAGGCAAGATTGACTAAACGATCTCCAGGGCTTGGAAAACAAGGGTTTAAAAATGCTCTTATGATGAATGGTGGTATGCTTCTCTTCGGTAATAAGATTAACCCAACTGGTACTGGTATTGGTAGTAGTCCTGGTAGTCGTAATAGTACTGATACCAGTACTAATGGCAACAGTACTGCTAATACTAAAGGAAAATCAAAATAATCTTGATACTCGATTGGAATTCGAATTTTTGTGGAAAGTCTTGATCGGTGACCCATCAAGATGGTCAACAGCTCGAATAACGATACGCTCAATGAAAGATATTCCCAAAAAATAGCGAGATGAAAAATATGTTTGGATATAGCTAGCACTATTTGAAACTCTAATAGTCGGTTCTTCACAGTTGGTGATAGATCATCATATTCAATAAACTTTATTACTTATCTAGTTTTTATAGATGCCTTCACAGCTAGTGACAAAGAAATGGAAACGGGATGAAATGGGATGGGATGGGATGGAAATATTCATTTCTATTCCAACCACTCAATTACATTGTGTCTTGGTCATTCTGACAGCATCAATCAGTCTGCTGTTGCAGTCTTGAAAACCACAAGTTTTCCGTAATATTGCACGGTTAGTTGGGTTAGCATACACACTGTATAGATGGAATGCTGAATATTGTCAAATCAAGACCAACCGAGCGACATTCGTATATTGAATTGACAACAGATTGTTGAGCAAACTGGCCGTGTCAACAAGTCAGATTGTCGTTATGATACATGAGATACAATTGATATATGATCCTGACATTCAGATCAACAGATGAACAATCTAGTCGATATTTGCAAATGAACAAGTGTGATGGCTTCAACAATCTCATTTTATCTCCATTTTCAATTCCTTTATCACTAGCTGCTAATATTGCAAAGTCGGTAAAGAGCATGAAATGTAGCTTAAAATCCAATAGCACCAACAGCAGATTTGGACCAAACTTGCACAACCATTTATGAATGAATCAAATATAGGTCATTGGCATGCTCAATTGTCAGCCCATTGTCTAGCGTGAATCTATTTTGCTACTAACAGGTTTGTATGGAAATACGGGCCGATAAGCACTGATTGCCTACCTTGCCTACCTTGCCTGTTTATTATAATGGCTTACACAACAGTCCGATTCTGTACAACACGATGGCTTGACCAGACATGGTCTCACCAATCAGTCAGAGGCTTTTACACCAGCTAGATTACATTGCCCTCTTGTGTCTGCATGCTAGGCTAGAAAGCGGATAACCGGTATGGCTTGGCTATATCCAAAGTGGCTCTAAAGTGTGCCACCATGTGTAGATGCCTCACAAGTAGACTTGACATGGTTGTGCAACAGACTCGAGTATATAACCCAGTGGTCCAAAATCGTTGTTCTCTAAATATACATCACCCGAAAGTATAAATACAGATAGACTTGACTAGCTGGCAGACGTTCCAATACGTATAGACACCATATTTAAAATCTATTTATTCAAGCTCAACTACCAGATAAATACTAATGAAGACCTATCTATTACTTGCTATGATTTCTCGTGCTCCACTATCCGGTGCAATGCCTATCCCCAATCAATCTACAGGCAGTATGCTGGGATCAAGATATCTCACTATACCAACCGATACTTATAGAATGCTTTTCCCGGATTCTCTTTTTGAAATTCCAGCTGACTTGGGTTCAATCGATCGTGTCGAGGAAGTACATTTGGATCGTAGAGCACCACCAATTCCAGCTGACTTGGGTTCAATCGATCGTGTCGAGGAAGTACATTTGGATCGTAGAGCACCACCAATGGCAAAGTTATTTAGCAAAGCTAAAACTGTGTTGGTTAAGCCAAAAGGTGGTTCTATTAAAGCCAAACCAATCGTTCACAATGCAAAGCTATCTGGGCCTACCAAAGCAGGCTCTATTAAAAAGACGGGCGTTGAAAGTGGAGCTAGTAAAGCGGGCTCTAGTTCTGGAGCCGGAGCTACTCAAAAGAGTGGTGGTGGCACTCCACCACCTCGACCACCTCCACCTGGTAAATCTGGAAATCCCATTGCCAAAAGTCCATCAACAAGTGGTGGCCCAACTAAAGCTCCTGCTCCTCAGATTCCACAACAAGGAGCTGGAGCTGGAACTAGCCAGCAATCTGGACCCATGACTCAAAATCGTGCCGGTAGCACTTCACCAGTACCAGCTGGTAAACCTGCAAGTCCTCCCGCTCAAGGCCAGCCAGCAAGTGGTGGTCCAGTTAAAGCTCCTGCTCCTCAGATTCCACAACAAGGAGCTGGAACTAGTCAGCAATCTGGAGCTGGAGCTGGAACTCAAAATCATGGTGGTGGTATTCCACCAGCTCCACCACTTGTACTCGGTAAAAATGGTAGACCTATAAATCCCCCCGCCAAAAGTCCATCAACAAATGGTGGTCCAGTTAAAGCTCCTGCTCCTCAGATTCCACAACAAGGAGCTGGGGCTGGAACTCAAAATCATGGTGGTGGTACTTCACCAGCACCAGCTGGTAAACCTGCAAGTCCTCCCGCCAAAAGTCCATCAACAAATGGTGGTCCAGTTAAAGCCCCTGCTCCTCAGATTCCACAACAAGGAGCTGGAACTAGTCAGCAATCTGGAGCTGGAGCTGGAACTCAAAATCATGGTGGTGGAATACCACCAGCTCCACCACTTGTACTCGGTAAAAATGGTAGACCTATAAATCCCCCCGCCAAAAGTCCATCAACAAATGGTGGTCCAGTTAAAGCTCCTGCTCCTCAAAACCCACAACAAGGAGCTGGAGTCGGAGCTGGAACTCAAAATCATGGTGGTGGTATTCCACCAGCTCCACCTGGTAGACCTGGAAATCCCCCCACTCAAGGCCAGCCAGCAAGTGGTGGTCCAGTTAAAGCTCCTGCTCCTCAAAACCCACAACAAGGAGCTGGAGTCGGAGCTGGAACTCAAAATCATGCTGGTGGTATTCCACCAGCTCCACCTGGTAGACCTGGAAATTCCCCCGCTCAAGGCCAGCCAGTAAGTGGTGGTCCAGTTAAAGCCCCTGCTCCTCAAAACCCACAACAAGGAGCTGGAGTCGGAGCTGGAACTCAAAATCATGGTGGTGGTATTCCACCACCTCGACCAGCTCCGCCTGGTAGACCTGGAAATCCCCCCGCTCAAGGCCAGCCAGTAAGTGGTGGTCCAGTTAAAGCTCCTGCTCCTCAAAACCCACAACAAGGAGCTGGAGTCGGAGCTGGAACTCAAAATCATGGTGGTGGTACTCCACCACCTCGACCAGCTCCGCCTGGTAGACCTGGAAATCCCCCCACTCAAGGCCAGCCAGTAAGTGGTGGTCCAGTTAAAGCTCCTGCTCCTCAGATTCCACAACAAGGAGCTGGAACTAGTCAGCAATCTGGAGCTGGAGTCGGAGCTGGAACTCAAAATCATGCTGGTGGTACTCCACCACCTCCACCACCTCCACCTGGTAGACCTGGAAATCCCCCCACTCAAGGCCAGCCAACAACTGGCGCAGGCACTCAGAATAACGGACAGGGTGTAGGCACTCAGAACAACGGACAGGGTGTAGGCACTCAGAACAACGGACAGGGTGTAGGCACTCAGAACAACGGACAAGGCACAGGCACTCAGAACAATATGCAATCCAGCTCTAGCCACCCAGGTGATCAGATGGGCGATATGGCACCAGCTCCAAGCCCTGGATTCGTGGGAAAAATGAAAAATATGGTTACTGGTGGCAATGGCGGTGGTGGACTGGCTGAAACTCTTGTAACATCAATGGTAGGAGGAGTGGGAATGAGTGTTGCTGGTCTAGCTGTGCAGAAGGTTGTCGAATCCAGATCTAAACCGCCTGCTGATGAAGTCCCTGCTGAAGATGTCCCTGTTGAAGAAGAAACCCCTGCTGCTGAAGATGTCCCTGCTGCTGAAGATGTCCCTGCTGGGGATGCTTCCGTTGATAAAGGAGTAACAGATACTTCTAATACAGCCGAGGGAGACCCACCGGTTTCCAACTGAAACGATGCTAAACGTTAAAAGGATATGCCATCACTAATTCATTGCGGATCTTATACAACAAAAATGCCTTTTAAATGAAATATTTTATAGCCATATTCACGCAAAATGAAACACTTTATAATTTATCTTGGACTGACTCTATTTTGCTTTGGAATAATAAACAATCGTTACATTCGTTGTTGGAAATTGATTACTTTTTCTATTAAAATTCTGTATCCTAATATCAGATACGTTCTAGTTCAAAATCACAGTTGGAAATGCAACAGTTGTTTCCATGCCGGTCACGCAATGTTTACTTCAATGTTTGTTTTTGAGGAAGGGAAAGTTGGTGGTCGAAAAGATATCAAGGATATGAACATTCGCTCTGTATTCTTGTACAAGAATGAATATGAAGAAAGACTAGTAAACTAAATGAGTTCAAAGGGCACATTGTTTTCCAGTAAGATTATCACCAATCCAACATGAGACTGGCATTTTATCATATATTGACACCTGTGGTGTTTCATTCTACGCGAGTGCGGCTGTAAATGAAATAGTTTAATATAGTATATTTCAATTCTATCGAATTTTGTGCCTCGAGATTAACTACTGCAAGCTTATCATCTTCATTGAGGACTACTGTACAGTTTTGATAGTAGAGTTTACAATTGTATTCATGTAAGCTGGGATATTTGAACAAGAGTGTCAAAATACATAAACAGCCAATTTCATGAAATGATAATTATCAGATTTACTGGTCAATAGTGTGTCCTAAACTCTAGTCGACTAGTTATCCTGGTGATTGGCATGCAAATAACAGTTGCATTCTTGTGACGGCTGATTTTTGTTGAACCAGAACGCGAGCGTATTTGAGTTTTAGAATACAAGGTGGAGTTTGATTGGCAGCAGTCAACCCCAATCACTGGATTGCAATGTATGAATCTGATGATCGTACAATGTATAGTTGTGTCAAAAGCAGAAAACGGAATAGTGTCATTGAATAAGCAATGCAGTCAGTTTGTAGTAGGAAAGCATAACGGACATTTAGCCATTGTTTGTTCAGAAGCAACAGAGTCGGTGCCTAAAAAAGTAGTCCACTTTATGTGAATATGGTCGCAATAGTAGTATGGTAGACTCAATATGAGTGTTCAACTAGTAGACCAAGATAGTTTGAGTAGCCTGGTTAGAAACCGTATTCGGCTCACTATCCCTTACAAAAGCATGTTCTCAATAATTAAATGCAGTGCATATGATAACAGAATGCATTATGTTGTGAACAGCCTGGTACTTGCTGTATGCCTTGTGCTGTCTGTATGGTTCTATTTCCGTTTATACCCAAGCAAAGCTAATTAGGCACAAATTTGTGTCGAGTAGATAATCGCACTATTTTCTACACAGGAACATTGGCTTGTGTTTGATATATAATACATTTCAGCCACTACGTTACTCAAACACAACTCTACACCTACAGTCTCTACAGCTTTTTCAAACTAATTTATAAAAAGCCCAATCATCCGCTATACGTTCGTTTGGTTAACTATTATTTTCAAGCAAATATACTTGGTTTAAATTATTTTAATATTTTTATTCTATGCATTTTGTCCCTGCCTTTTTCGGAGCCCTTGTGTTTATTAGTGCAGCCGTGGTTTCTCAACCTATCGATTCCACAGATAGCACTTTGAAAAGTTCCTCTACTTCTATCCCGCAAATCCAGTCCAATGAGCAATCAGACCCGCAGTTGGAAAAGCGTGATATCCATCTTTGGGGAGCTGAAGTCAGTAACCAATTCTGGACATCAGTTGCTGATCGTCGACGTCGCCAATTTAATCGTAACCTTTACCGCCAAGCCAAGTCCCAGGTTAAGCTGAACCGACTACTTTTACAACAGTATCCAGAACTGGCTGGTACATTTGGCCCAGATGGATCCGTAGTTGGAGCTCCAATTGGATTCCCAGGTAGATTCCCAATGGGACCTTTGCCTCCAGGCGGACCTCCAATGGGAATTCCAGGTGGACCTCCAATGGGACCTTTCCCTCCAGGCGGACCTCCAATGGGAATTCCAGGTGGATTCCCGGGCGGACCTCCAATGGGACCTCCTACAGCTATATACTCCAACTCGCAATATATGGCACCACAAAGAATGGATGTCCGTTATTGATGATGCACGCACTAATTATTTAATAATAATAATATATTAATTTTAAAAGAACTTATTTGTCATTATATTTTGTAATTTGAGTCATACGAGTGATATCCTATCAAACAACCCTTTACTCTTAAACTTTGTGTTACAATCGTATTCATGTAAACTGGGATATTTGAACAAGAGTGTCAAAATACATAAACAACCAATTTCATGAAATGATAATTATCAGATTTACTGGTCAATAGTGTGTCCTAAACTCTAGTCGACTAGTTATCCTGGTGATTGGCATGCAAATAACAGTTGCATTCTTGTGACGGCTGATTTTTGTTGAACCAGAACGCGAGCGTATTTGAGTTTTAGAATACAAGGTGGAGTTTGATTGGCAGCAGTCAACCCCAATCACTGGATTGCAATGTATGAATCTGATGATCGTACAATGTATAGTTGTGTCAAAAGAAGAAAACGGAATAGTGTCATTGAATAAGCAATGCAGTCAGTTTGTAGTAGGAAAGCATAACGGACATTTAGCCATTGTTTGTTCATAAGCAACATAGAGTCGGTGCCTAAAAAAGTAGTCCACTTTATGTGAATATGGTTGCAATAGTAGTATGGTAGACTCAATATGAGTGTTCAACTATTCAATACTGATACAAGCATATCTATTGGTTGTGTAGATTGGACATTCTTTTTGAACTACCAATTAGTTCAGTCACTGGAAAAAAGTCGAGTGGAATCTTTGCTCGAGTAGAATCACTCTTGTTCATTTGCAAATATCGACTAGATTGTTCATCTGTTGATCTGAATGTCAGGATCATATATCAATTGTATCTCATGTATCACAACGACAATCTGACTTGCTGACACGGCCAGTTTGCTCAACAATCTGCTGTCAATTCAATATACGAATGTCGCTCGGTTGGTCTTGATTTGACAATATTCAGCATTCCATCTATACAGTGTGTATGCTAACCCAACTAACCGTGCAATATTACGGAAAACTTGTGGTTTTCAAGACTGCAACAGCAGACTGATTGATGCTGTCAGAATGACCAAGACACAATGTAATTGAGTGGTTGGAATAGAAATGAATATTTACATCCCATCCCATTTCCATTTCTTTGTCACTAGCTGTGAGCATGCTGCTAAACTATTCATCAATGTTACGGGCTACTCTTGTTGAGCCATAAGGGCGTATACACTGGCCATGTGGTAACAAAGGGTGACCAATATGCTAGTAATCATACAGACCTACAACTATAAAAACAGTACCAATCTCCTCAACCTGGGATGATAAACATCCACATGAGTCTGCTTTAGAAAAGTGTGGTTTGGATTGCCAAATAGCAGAGGGGACTGAATAGGAAGAATAAACAGAGCTGTTCACATCAAAAGGCGGCTATTGTGTTGGATCAGAGATTGTAACAAGCGGATATTATAGTCTTTCAGGACATCCATGCGATGGCATGCAGGATAGAATGCAGATTGGCATACATTGTTACACGTTAAACTCTTACAAAGCCATATTAGCTTATTAAAAACTATTGCTCCATTTATAAACAATCTCTATACTTTTTATCGACACTACTATGGTTTGATTCTATCCGATTGGTATTTACAAGAATGAATCAGTCTTTTAGTTGTTCTAGAGTGCAGTTTACTCTTGTATGTTGCTGCTGATTGTTTGTCTAGTGTTGCCAATGATGCAAGCTTAGTCAAACAGTTTCAGACATATCTGACATTGATCACAAAATATATTATCAAACAGCTACATTCAATTGTGTTTGTATAGTGTACTTGATACACCAAACACTTGGTGACGGTGTTCTCATTGACAACACACGACGAGCCTGTTGGATTCATACACGAACACAATCTCTCAGTAAACTGTCGTCTGTGCCGCATTGTATCTCATTGGCACTAGTATAAGACCTAGACAATCAACCCCAAGTTAATTCATCATCCATCAAGACAATACCATATCCTCAACTAGAACAACACTTATGAATTATCTAGCACTTATCGCTTCTCTTATGACCATTGCTGGGCTTGCACAAGCATCGGGTAGATATCATGCCGAAGTAAAGCAGCCAGTCTTTATTCCACATCTACTTCCCCATCGAGATGCAGGTCACCAACTCAAGCTAGCCATGTTTGAAGCCAGCAACGATCTGCTTCAAGCTCGTCCGCTCATAAAAATAAACCCTTTACAGCTCATCGATACCGATATTCATGATGAGGAATTCCAGGCCAATCAACACCATCTGAATAGTTGGAACACGAATACCGATCAAACATGCGGTGAAAAACAGGCACAAAAGGATTCCCTTCATGCCGACTTGTGGTTTCCCAGAACCAGTTCTGCTCAGAACGTACCAGAGCTTAATGCCTTGGAAACCATCTATTTGACAAAAAACATTATTTCAGCTGCTTCTAGATGGCTGCTTATTTAAAGCTATACCTCAAGTTCACATTTACCAAACTTGATACTCAATTATTGATCATACAATATTTAATAAAAACAAATGATTATTATCCTTATTTCTAGTTGATGTATAAACCAAACTGCTTCATGTGGGTTAAAGTATGCAAATATATTGATTCTGTGGATCTTGAGTATACCGATTGAAAAAAACTACTCGGCACTCAATAAACATGATTCATTTGCTAGTTTTGCTCAAAAAAGTAACGAGAATAAGCAATAATGATGAATGGCGGACCCTAAAATGAATAATAGTTAGACATTGGAAATAATCAAAATAAAACTATACAACGTACAAAAAAATAACCGCCCCAAAATCCAGTAATCCCAAAACTCTTTTTGGCAGGCGGCATCACATAGTCAGTCCAAATGTATAGCGACTGAAGAGTGATCATGCGAAAGTAGTCGGTGCGAAACGTCCCGGTTACCATGAATAGAATCAGTTCATTTAATGTAGCAGAAACTGTAAATGTAAAAAACATGGCTGCCGGGCGAGAGAGATTAAAATACTCTTTTAATTCAAGAAACACATGCTTGTGCAGGAATCGATACACCTAGTCAAAAAATCAATATAAATATTACATATCCAACATGGCCAATCAGAAAACTCGCAAAAAACGTACAACAGTAGACCATTTTCTCGAAAATGATTCATATCCTAGCGAATTCCACCAGTCATCGTAAAAGTCACGCTCATCAAGAAGAGTCAGTTCCGCCATGGCATTGAGAGCATACTATTTCGTGTGATCAGATAAATTCAAAAGTTTATACCAACTCATCTAATGCCATGATCATCGCGACACTTTGCTAATAACGTCCAACTTACCTCAAATACCGTCAAAAAAACTAGAAAAACATACATGATTGTTCCAGGAATCAGATAAACAAAGGTATGATAGAACCCATTAATGGAAATGTCGCGCATCACTGGATAAATGAGATGATCCAATGTAATATACAAGCCAAGCGCAGAAATAAGCGTCCAAGCTGTGTAGTAAGCAAAGTGAATTGGCCGGAACGCAGGCATTTGAGGGAACGATGTCTGATAAACAAGGGATGGCACAGCAAGCCAATACCCATAATGCAGAATAGTGAAATTGCGTAAAAAAAACATACGATCATCCTTTTCGGCATTTGTAGAAGTTGATGCAGCAGTTTGAGCAACGTCACTGTCCAATACTTTGGCTGTGGATTCATATGACGGTGGTGAACCATCTTTCAAATGACTTTGACGTATTTTGTTATTGGTGACCATAAATGAGTGTTGCTTCATAAGAAGGATGATGACATGAACAGCCAATACAACGCGCTGTGGCTATATTTGATGGATTCATCAAGTGATGCAATGCCAATAAAAGCAAATACTTGAAATTAGATGCAAAGAAATTCAAGAGCAGATATCAATTTGGAGATGATAGTATAATATAGCTTACCCATGCGAAATGACTGGTGCTAACCAAAGCCACCCAGTACACCAACCAAGTCGATTCCCAAACACCCAGCACAGCGCACGAAGCAGATTCTGGAATAAACTCGGAAGCAAGCGCCTGCTGAATAAAAAGAGTTGGAAGAGTAGACAGCAATAAACGAAATTCGGCCAAAAAGAGTGATTGAATGTTGATAAACACAATATTATACACGACTGGATCAAATAGGGTTCCAACACGCATGTAATGAGCGTGACATGAACAGATCATAAAAGTCACCAAACAGACTTGAGCAATAATGTAGATGCCAACAAGATTGCTGTTGATGAGTTCTAGGCGATCCACATCCAAAAGTGTTGATTTTTTAAGCGGCACTGGAGGTGGTTTGACAACAGAGCTGCTTGAGCTCTTGTCAGTTAGACTGTAAATGAACGTAGCCAACTTCTGATAGATCTCTGTGGCAACTTCCATGGTAGATTTCTTGACAGAAAGTTCCTTTTTGTCAGTGCTGCTTGAACATTCTGCAGCCATAGTCTCTTTGGTATCTTGCACTATATGCTTGACAGTGTTTACACTCTGACTGACGTTTTTTTCATCGCCAACACTAGAGGACTCTGCAATAAATGCTTTCTTGATATCCATGGCTTGAGATTCACTGCTTGCAGAAACTTTCAACATTTCAGCTTCAGTTTCTGTCACATTGGATGTGACATTCTCAGACTTTGATTCAAGTGTACTGGTCAAAGCAGAGACTTCGCTACTAGACGCAGTAGTTGTGGAAGCATTAAGCTCGGTAGCTTTGTTTTTGGCTGTAGTCGTAGTAGTCGTAGTAATGATTCGACGAATGTACTTGGACTGTTGTTTAAAATCAGTACATGTCTATATTAGTATCGAGATATTTCAAAAGGCATTATGTAATCATATTTGAACTCGACAGGTGGATGAAATCAATGACAAACAAGGGTTCGAACAGCAGAACCCAAATGGCCACGAATTGCTTCGTTTTAAATCTCTAAACAATGTCACTGGAACGATCACAGTGCAGACAGACAAAAACAACTCGATTGGCGTTTTAAATACTACAGAATAAGCTCGAATTACAAGTGCAGATTAGCACCATTCAGAATGTCCAAAACTTACCGATCCATCTGCCTGAACCACCAACTCTGGTTCTGTTGTTACAACACTCTTCTTGACAAGAATCTTGGAGTCTGCACTCTCCACCACTTGATCCTCGATGCTAGTCATTGAACTTGCAAAGTAAACTCGAGTCCTACAAAAATAAATGCTTTCTAGTCACGTGTCATGTGGCGTGACCTGCCGAGTCTCGAGTGTTTGGCACTGGAAATAAAGTCAAATTAGACAGAATTGGCTATTGTCAAGTCTTGTACACGATTGTCACATTTGCAGTTGATTGGATTTATTGCTATAAACTATTCTATTTTAGTTTTGGTCTTTGTTCGATTTTTGAGAAATTGCTAAAATATCACGTGATATTTGCTAATGAATAAAAATGAATTGCTGCTAATTTGAACATCAAACTGTTCGCTCAAACATGGCTGCAACTGAACAGGTCCTCAAGGTAACTCTTGTTCATCCAAAGACTCTGAAAATAAATTGTATTGTTAAGATTCTTTTTAAATAAACTACAACAGCTTCTCAGTCTACAGCAACTTGAGAAATTTCTGGATTCTACTCTAAATAAATTCAAAACTGATTGCAACACTACTGATTCATCTGCAATCAATGACGAATCTAGTCTTGACAATCGTGACGCTACAAATGGTTGGTCTTTTGCCGATCTTGAAGTCATAAAATCAACACTGCACGAGCTATCCATTCGAGACTCGGCATCATTGACTAAAGTATAAATCTTTGACTGGCATGAAATCAATTGGCTCACATCAAACAGTTGATTGACTCGACTTTTTAAATTTAGTCTTTAGATAAAGTGTTTAATGTCATTGTTTTTCCCAACGTTGCATCGATATTGGAGGCTACTGGAGAAATGTCCGAGATCATCCAAATCATGTCCAAAATATCTATTGCATCTACTCCTGCAATAGACTATCATACCGAGCTGTTACAAGAAAGTGACAAGCAACCACAATTAGTCGAGTGGACCTCATCAATTGCTAGAATCTATCCAGTTGAATTGGGAATCCCTATCATCAAAACATGCGTCGATATCGTATCAACTTGCATATTTTCTGCATTACATCCATCCTTGAATACTTTCAGTATATTCAAACCCGATCAGTCAACCTTTAATCTAATTCATGCAATAGATATACTTGGATCTCATGGAACCGTTTGGAATCTGTATCGCGATCAACCGCATTCTGCCAAGGAGCTGCTAATACGATTAAAACTCATTTCAGCAATCATCATGCCATATACTGCACTCGACAATGCTGAACCAAAACATGAGTTTGTGGCCAATCAAAAAGATGTAGAATTGGCGTCATCAAAGCTACTTGTCTTATCACTGGTGCTGCTTTCCAGCTCAGTTTCTGTTTTACGTACGTATGCTGGTAACACCATGTTGCCGTTGATATTCAAATGGATATTACGCGACCTTGGTGTTTCAACAGCCGCCAAATGGGCCAAAGTAATTTACATATTCCTTTGTTAGGTGTATACATTTAAATCAATACATGGCACTAACTCTTTAAAATTGAATCTCTATGAATAGACTTGCTGGAAACAGATTCAGTTCATGTGCTCCACACTTCCAAACACACACGCCATTCATTCAGAAATTGCTGGATATCTATGTCGATTGTTTGATCCATGGATGGGAATTGACAAGTCCTCTAGTGGAAAGCCAATATTTACTTTTGAGCATATGTTGATAGATTTAAGATATGAAAATTTATCATATCATATTATTCAGGTGTGCATTACGATTTATACTTTCTGCTGAATTATTTTACTGTTGATTGTGCTGAAATATTTGAATATTTTTTGTTTAGATTGGACTTTGCAGTTCAGATTCTGCTGAACTCAAATATAGCCAATTTCTTATGAAACGGTTCATTCACTTTTCAAAAAGTTTTTCCATGGACAAGGCGTTAAATCAAGACGCAAAAAAATGGACTGCTTATTTATCTTGGCCTAAACATGATGCCAGTCAAGCAGGGTCACAGACAATGAAACGAGCCATTAAAATGTGGGAAAATTATTTTCTAATGTTTGATACTGTTCAGGAGCCATATGTTCACTTGGTAGACGTAAGTAGTTATAGAATGTTTTTTGGAAATGAGTTATATTGTATTTAAAGGTTTGGATTTTAATATTTATTATTTTAGCCTATTATTTCCAAGATCTTACAACTTCTGGATACTAATGACACAGATAGTCACCCAATGTCTGATGTAAATCTTCATCCTAGTTGGTGGATTGTGCTGTTACATCGTGGAATCTACAACCAATCGCATCCAATTCGCAAACGAATGCTAGATATGGTTTTGTCTGTGCGAAGTCGTTTTCTTTTAGAAGTTTTGGCTTCTCATTTGGATTTCACAATTGGTATGATCAATGATGAGGCTTAGGCATCAAACCTTGTATAGTGGTGGCATGATCTGACAAAATTTTAATTGCATATGCTGTTGAATGATGTAATATTAGAGGCGTTGCTTTCACAAGTTGACGAGCCTTCACAGTTTGCAGTTCCTGGACTGGGTATTTTCATTTCTCCATTTGGAGAAAAGCTTGCCGAGTTTATTGTTAGTTTAGGATGCATAATGAATACCAGTGAAAAATGCGTAAGTACATATATATACGTTTATTTTCCTGATTATTGCAACTAATGTGATTCAAGGCAATATCTTATACTACTTTTATTTTCTATTTATCCAATCATTAATTAGCGCGAGTTTTTAACCAGATTGATCAAGGCAACACGCAAGTTTACCACCCGAGTTGGAGTGATTTTCATTCTACAGGGTTTGGCAATGCTTGGCACGCATCCCAAATGTCCACCCGTTGCTAAATGTCTTTTTGGAGAGGATGTGAATGATCTTGTATCATTGATTGTTGGTGAACGAGCTGTTTCCATGTATAAGAATCTCAAGACTAGAGATTTGATTTGCTCATTTGGATTGAGTATTTTGGAAACGCTGGTTGTTCCAAATGCAATAACATTTGACGTTGCTGCAAGGTAAAAATTTATAGAATAGCATAAATTTACTATGGAAAGCTAGTAACACATTTTTAATTGACAAATAGAACGATTGCGGAATTTGCGCATGATACGTGCTGGTTTGATTACAAATCGAATGAATATGCGCGTATTCATCGTTGGCTGCTGATGGCATTTCCTGACCATGTAAGATTATTAGATCAGAGCAAAACGTCTAGTGCTAGATCGTCTAACAATTAATATATCTTTTAAATTTACTATTTAGTATATGATCACCATGTTTGAGTCTAATTTACGCAGCTATTTACAACCTAAAAAAAACAATCTTCAGCCAAACACAGTCAATACAACCAATCAAAACGCACTTGAAAAGGCAGCTACACGAAATTTGGCATCCATGTCACATTTTCTCCTTACACCCACTAGCCCTGCTGATATATCGATCGATAGCAAGTATATCACATCAACAGCCCTAGCACCACTCTATGATGTTTTGGCACGACTGCGTGGACCATATCTAGATTGCGATGTTTCCTACAATGCAATCATGATGCTTGGACATCTTGTATACTTTAGTCTTCAGTCTCCAGCTCAAACAGATCTAGGTATGCGTACCATTGACCGACTTGAAGATCAACCCATCCGAGCTGTTTCCATATATGCCCAAACAGTAGATACAGACACTGCTGCAATCATCATTGCGTTTATTGAACGTGAATTGCAGAATGGAGTTGAAATTCCATTGTATATGGATATGCTGGTAGTAATATACGAAGCACTTGTTGTTGCCAGTGCTTCTCGTAATAATTGTGTGTCTGTTCAAATGCAACTCAATGCAGTGCAAATTTCAGTCTGTGAATATTTGTCTTGCTTTTGGACCAACGGTAAGCTAGTTTTTAATTTATGAATTTATGGAGTTGTAATTCTGATTTTTTTGAGTGATAGAATTGGAATCACTGGATAGTCTATACAGTTTTTATGGTCAGGTAAAATTGTACGCTGCAAGTTTGCGTATTTTAAACTACATTTCAACCGACCAAGATGGGTTTATCACACAACAAGATGTGGCACTGGGTCGTTTGATGATACAGGTTGATCCTACACGCAGCATGTCTGCAAATGCATCAATGTAGGTCATTTATTTTCAACTATTGTTTTGTTTTGTTTGGGTGTTAATGTTGCTTTTGTAACCGAATCCAACAGGCTAGACACGCTGACCAAAACTAAAGCTAAATTTTCTGCATTGCGGTACAAGGTTGTTTATGAAATAATTACGGCTGCTTCACGTTCACAATGTCAATGCTTGAGTCTTTCATCTGCCCCCCGTAGAGAATTAGTTTCTAGCGATACATTGCTGGATATGTTTGTTCTGGCTGTAAATGCCATGGATGGTGCACTTGTGTCATCTTGCTGCTCTTTGATGCAGCTTTCTCGAACTGTTCTTGATCTTTATCCCAGCTGTGTCAATTCATTGGTGGTATGTTGATTCTTCAAAAACATTTACATTATAAGTATACCCTGCCTATTATTGATCCAGCTGGCTCATTCACCTTTTAGATTGAAGAGGCTGCTGTTGCTGGAATGCAGATCTTGCAAGAAAATTGGTCCAGCTCAAAGTGGTGGCCAAAACTTATGGATGCATATGTAGATATTTCATTTCATCCTTCTGTTCTTGCCAACAAAGCGTTCATGTGTTCCGAGAAATTCGTCAACAAGGTATCATCATACATGTTTGCTTTTGATTGAAACTTGCCATTAGTTTTAGATATATTTGAGCTAACGTTCAAGTCACGGCCTTTAGAACTTTAATACGATGATAAAGTGGGGAAATTCACGCGTAGGAGTCATGAACTACCCTGCAACAAAGCTGTATCAATTATGGCTACATGCTGTGAGTTCTCCTAACAAAGTTCAACAAGACGACTCGTTGGCTACGCTTAGTTTGGAAAGCATGATAGAGAATATGGATTGGGTAGTCAATATGGTTTTGTATGGACCGCTTCGTGACTCGGATACGCTTGATTTAAAACACGAGGCCATGATCGCTCTTAAGCTCACAAAGGATAAGCTTGATTTGAATGAAATAGATGAGCTCAAAGGGTAGTTGTTTAATGTATCTATTCACAAATATCTCTTATATCACGATGCTTATCAGTGTGTTTGATCCTGTAGCACCGCGGCATGGAATTTCTCATCAAAGGATTATATTGTCCGTGTTCAGATGAATGATATTCTTTTGCGTCTAAGCCAAGATCATAAAGGACATCAGATTTTAGCAAAAAAGCTATTGATGCGGTTGATTACGATTCAACTAGAGTGTACGCATACCAACCAGTTTATTAACTCGTCTGAGCAACGTGGCCAGGTTTGTGAATAGTTTTTGTCGGTTTAGACTTGATTCAAGCACATGTGTAGATTTTCAATTTTCTAAATCATTTTGAATGCTAGCTGCGTGCCTGGACCACTATGCATATTCTTCTTTCATTTATTGATTCCGATGACATGGCATTGACATACATGAATTATTTTATCAAGGCAATCGTAATAGAACAGTTGGCAGAAACACGCAGTTATATTGAATGGGCAGTTGCTAGACTACTTATTCTCTATCCATCACTTCATCCGATATTTTGGAAGTATGGATCATGCCAAATAACCAACAACACCAGTTGCATGATTCTAACTGCAGACTTGACCTTTTTACATTGTTTTTGATTTTTTGAAATTAGACATTTGACAAATTTTGACTACCGAGCGCATGTAATCAGCTCACTATTGACCATCTCGCTACATGTGGGAGAACATCTTCCTATACTGATACAAGAGACGTTTTTCCGAGATGCGTTTGTTTCGCTTGTTCCTTGGGTGGCAAGCAATCACTTCAACATGCGCTTATTTGCTCAATACGGACTTTTTAAACTATGGAACTATTGCCTTGAGAAACCGTAAAGTCTACCTTTTGGTTAACATGCTTTAATGTACGCCTTGTGTTTCCAGCAGCTAATGTATTGAATCTGTATTTTGGTAGATATCTAACGTGCTTGACTGACGAAATGTCCAATGTCAGTGTATTAATGGAGTTTATCAAGAGCAATCCAGAATGCATACGTCATCGAGCCAAATGTACATCATACTACTTTGTTGGTGGTGGATTTGATCCCATTAGGGATGTAAACATTGAGTTTTTGTTTCGTGGCGGTCCGTGTGTACTACAACTTGCTGATGACGAAAAGATTTGTGTGGTGAGCTATTGTAGTTTGAGTTTTATCGAATTGAATAGTGCTTGCTGATGCATATTGTGTTTAGATGGCGTTTACAAAGGTGAATCCAAGTCAAGGGTACTCGATACCTACTGGATATGATCGGCGTGAGCTGATCCGATCTATGGTTTCTTCCAGCATGTAAGTTGAGCTAGGTTAGTTTTATGATTTGAAATAGGCTAACTTTTATCCATAACTGATGGCGTCTAATCTACAGTAAGCTTACTTCAAAATCATTGGAGACTGCTGGTGCATGTGCATCACGATCTGTTGCTTTGGCCAACACATTGATCAACAGCCAGCCTACCTCGAATGAAAATAAAGATGGTTCTGAAAATACATTTGGCGAATCATCTCAAAAGAAAATTCTTGCATGGGAAACACTTATGCAAACCAATGTTGATTTATCTACCGAACGAGAAGCTCAGGCAGCAGTAAGTAGATTCTTTTCTTGCTTGTCGTTGTTTATTGAACTCAACGTACTGTTTGAACTATAGCGCGTAAGGAATCCTTTGGTTGTTGTTGCAAGTCTGATATCAAAAGTTCCCAATTTGGGTGGATTGTGTCGGTGAGTCTATTGCTAAAAATATGACTAGTATGGCTTATATTTGCTCAACATGTTTGATTTGCATTTAGAACGTGTGAAATCTTTAATGCCGAGCTTTTAGTTGTCAATAACATCAAAGTAAGTTTTGTTTCTCATACTTGTTTTCAGGAGTATACCATCTATTTACCATGGATGGCATTGCAATATTTTGTAGATCAAGGAAGATCAGGTATTTAGCAACACAAGTGTTTCAGCGGATAAATGGATGCCTATCAAGCAAGTACGAGAGGAAGATCTGGAAACGTATCTCATTGGCATGAAGACTCGAGGATATACAGTAGTTGGTGTTGAACAAGCAACACGAAGTGTTTCATTAAATGGATTTGAATTTCCTCGTAAAACTGTAGTTCTTTTAGGTAAACTATTGATTCAAGATTGACAAGCATGAATGGAAACTAACTGTTGTGATTTACAGGCAAGGAGAGAGAGGGAATTCCGACGCATCTGATGGCTCACTTGGACCATGTGCTTGAGATTCCACAGTTTGGTGTGATTCGATCGCTGAATGTGCATGTGAGTGGAGCACTGATTGTATGGGAATACACCAAACAACAAGGAACTGGACCAATATCCTGAGGACGCGTGTGGCAATATTAAAAGATGAATTTCTTTGGTTTGAAGCTTTTGATTAAACAGTGTCAGTGGATCATGGTGTGTGTTGTATGATTGCTTGCGGGTGGGGTTATCGTCTGTATTTACTCGACTACTATAGAGTAATACTTTTATATTTGCTACTGCTCATGGCAATAGCAGTGTTGGTTCATGAGTTGGCTTGTACGCCACTACAATCGGAAATGCCGGGGTGTGGCTGCCATCACTTCCATCTGCATGTAGTTTGATAAAGGGCTGACTGCTACTATGAGTGCTTCTTGGAAGCTCGTAGTAGGATTCTGTCTTGTTTACCTCGAAACGATTGGCGTAATGAAACGCCTTTGAATCTCAACACCCTGTTTTGCGGTCGTGAATCTGTTGAACGTTGATGGCTGCTTTCTAACCATCTTTGATTTCAGGATGAAGAATACGATGTTATTGTGCTAGGTACCGGCCTTTCCGAGTGTATCCTGTCTGGTCTTCTTTCTGTTGAAGGCAAAAAGGTTCTTCATATGGATCGCAACGACTACTATGGTGGTGAAAGTGCTAGTCTGAATCTGAGTCAGGTACAGTTGATTGAGTGGCCATGGTTTACTATTCAAAGTGCAATGCCATTTTTTCTGATTTTGAAACTGTTTGCTTGCTATGTGTGATATCACTAGCTTTACCGTAAGTTTAGAAACGGTATGGCTCCTCCACAGCAGTTTGGTCGTGACCGTGACTACAACGTTGATCTGATTCCCAAGTTTGCCATGGCATCAGGCGAATTTGTCAACATTCTCTACCATACCGATGTGACTCGCTACCTTGAATTCCGTCAGATTGCCGTCAGTTATGTCTATCGTGATGGAAAGATCTCCAAAGTACCTTCTAATCAGCAAGAGGCACTTACTTCTTCCCTTATGGGTCTCTTTGAGAAGCGTCGTGTTAAATCGTTCTTTGAGTTTATTCAAGGCTACGACTTTAACGATCCAAAGACTCATCAAGGTATGTGTATACTATCAACTATATATTGGAAATGGATCAACTAACACTGCTATGACCCTTGATGTTATTCATCTACATAGGTCTGGATCTTAACAAGGTCACCATGGTGGAGGTTTACAAAAAGTTTGGTCTTGAGCCAGGTACCCAGGACTTTGTTGGTCATGCACTTGCCCTGCATTTGGACGATACCTACATGACTGCTCCTGCTCGCGACACTTATGAGCGTATCTGCTTGTATATGAATTCGATGGCTCGATATGGAAAGTCGCCTTACATTTATCCTCTATATGGACTCGGTGAGCTCCCTCAAGGCTTTGCTAGGTATGTGTTTTAAGCTTTTTTACCACTACTTTAGTATCAGTGAATTCAACCAATATATTTAAACATGTCTAATGGTAATGGTATAGACTCAGTGCCATTTATGGAGGTACTTATATGCTCCAAAAAAACATTGACGAGATTGTCATGGAGAATGGCAAGTTTGTTGGGGTCAAGAGCGATGGTGAGGTGGTCAAGGCCAAGGCTGTTATTGGAGATCCATCCTATTTCCCCAACCATACCAAAAAGACTGGATCTGTTGTGCGAGTGATTTGCATTCTCAACCATCCAATTCCCAACACGGGCGATGCTGATTCTGTTCAATTGGTGATTCCGCAAAACCAAGTTCACCGCAAACACGACGTCTATGTTGCATCTGTATCTGCAGCCCACAGTGTCTGTGCCAAGGACTTTTTTGTTGCAATTGTATCTACACTGGTTGAAACAGATAATCCAGAAAAGGAGTGCGAGGCAGGTTTAGCACTTCTTGGTCCTATTCTGGAAAAGTTTGTTGATGTAAAGGATATTTTTGAGCCCATCAGTGATGGCACTGCTGATTCGATTTTTGTCAGTAAAAGCTATGATGCTACATCTCACTTTGAAACCACCTGTGCAGATGTCAAGAGCATCTACAAGCGTCTGACTGGCAACGAATTGAAGGTTGAAGGCAAGGTGAAGAAACTGGACGAGGAAGGTCAAGCTCAGTAAACAGATGGAGTTTACCTGATCTACTCATATCTATCAATTTTTTGAAAGTCGGTTCTTTCGTATGATTTCCCTTTTAACAGTATGAGCTTTGATGGAAAACAATAAAGCAGTTGTCATGTTCTAATAGTGGATTGCTGGCAGCGTGGACACGATTCGTCGTATTCACGTAGTAAAATGCCAAATAAATGTTTAGTCGACTGGTGACTGGCATGTATAGTTGAATTTCTAAGCTGCAATCCTTGTACCCTTGAATTAGAGTGTATCTGGGATTTAGAATACAGAAGTTTGATTGACAGCATTTGAACCCAATATCTGGATTGAAATGAATCTGGTAATCTTACACTACATGACTATGCCAAAAAGAATCCAATTCAAAACTATAGTTTGTATTGTAATACTGAAAGAATAAGAATGCCAGTTTCTACTAAGCGCAATGAATCTTCAACTATTGTTTATTCCCAAGCAAATCGATAAATACAAATGGTTTATTTTGCGTGGATACGACCATAAATAGTTTTACCCACACATGCTGCAAGCGTTGTTATTAACCCTGAATCAAGACTGAATTTGCAATGACGGTAAAGTCCTTGCAATCGATGAATCAGTATTGATATATCAAAAGTTTTACACTCTTTTATAATGCTGATTGCCATTTTCTATTCAATTAATGCTTGATGTCCAATAGCCGCCCATGGCATTATATTCTCGTAGGAACCAACAACTTGATGCTACCACTCATGATGGAAAAGGCAAAATAAATGCTATGGATAAGATTGATGCCGAGCCCGTGCCTGCTCAGCAATCGACTCAAACCAGACCTTGTGATACTGCGCATACTTTATCCAAGGAACAGTTGGCTGTTGGTGCATCTACAATGGCATCTGATTCAAAATCTCCAAAATCTCCTACAAAAACAACGGCCAATTCTTCACACAAGCCAAAGTCTCGTATTCGTAAAGGCTCGTTTCGCTCTCGTACATCTCCACTCGACTATGAAACTCTGGAACGGGAACAAAACTCTATGCGTGGGTTCTTTACTCTATTTTGGGTTTTTATGGCTATTTATGTTGTTGTTACCGCCTACAAAAACTACCGTGCCGAAGGCATTTTTATTTCCTTGAGATTCTATCAACAGTTTTCGCATGATGCTATCGGGTTGATTGTGGTGGATGCTGCAATGATTTTATCTCTGTTTGTTCCCTTCCTGGCTCAGGCTTGGCTTGGCGGGCTAGGTTGGAGTCGTGGAGTTTGGACTATTGCAATGCATGTCTGGCAGGGAGTTTGGTTTGGTGTCTGTCTTGCAATCGCATTTGGCAAAGAGTGGCCTTGGGTATGTTGATTGGATTCTTTATCCATGCAATGCCGATCTGTTATGAATCGAGACTAATCCAATTTTTACTGTTTTGCCAACATTTCAAGATTCAATCTGGAGCATTTGTGGGTCATTGTATTACTATGCTATTCAAACAGCATTCATACTCGTCTTATAATATTGATTTAAGGTTTAAGCACAAACAACTGCTGCATCTCCGTCAATTGCTTACAGAGCATAAAAAGGATGATGACCACGATTCTACCTATCCCCGCACCAGGTCTAAAACCACTGAAGATGCTTCCCTGACTGGCACAGATGCTATGATTGCAGAGATTGCGGATTTAGAAAAGGAACTGATCAAACCAAATGTCAGTTTTCCTAATAATATCACGCTATGGAATTACATTGATTATTTGCTTGTTCCTACTTTAGTTTACGAGCTCAGCTATCCACGAACTGAAAAGTAAGTTTTACTTGTTTTAAATTTTGGTAAACTGTAACACAGTACCAATGAACCACTATTTTAATTGTAACTGTTTAAATTGGTTTTATCAGGTTTAGACCGCTTTACTTTATCAACAAAGCTGCTGCAACACTGTGCACGTTTGGACTGTTGTATGTGTCGTATGAACACTACATTCTTCCCGTTTTGCTTGATATGCCCAATCATACGTTTTTTGACTCGGTCTTTCAGCTCATGATGCCTTTTACCATGTGCTATCTTTTAATCTTCTTTATCATTTTCGAGGTAATGATTTCGACCAAAAAGATTACATTTGATGACATGCCAGTGCTTTAATTTGAGTATTGGAAAACTAATCTGGCATTTAAACCAACTATTTGAAAACAATTGACAATCAGTGTATCTGCAATGCATTTGCTGAGCTCACCTGTTTTGCCGACAGAGAATTTTATGAGGATTGGTGGAACTCGAGTACATATGACGAATTTGCGCGCAAGTGGAACAAACCGGTCCACGAGTTTCTTCTCCGTCACGTCTACCTTGAATCCATATCTACTTACAAACTTTCTAAAACTAATGCCACACTAATGACTTTTTTCCTTTCATCGTGCGTTCACGAGCTGGTTATGTTTGTCATTGGCAAAAAGCTGAGGCTATATCTGTTTGGATTGCAGATGTTCCAAGTTCCAATGATTTTCATTGCTCGTATTGGATGGATTAAAAAACAAAAGTTGGCAGGGAACGTATTTTTTTGGTTCGGTATGATTTTTGTAAGTTGTATGATGGATTAGATATTTGGATGTGTTGAGTAGAATTGACTAGCTAATCTCTTTTTATTTAGGGTCCTCCACTTTTGGCAGTTACATATATGCGTGAGCACTATGCGTAATCAACCAGAATTCGATTCAATAGAATCGCCTGATTTAAATCAAAATCTCATTAGATGGGTGCTGAGGTAGAATCTACTATCTATTTGCAAAGGTCAATCAATTTCATCTTGAATAAACCAAAGTTTTATTGCTATAACTCCTGTTTACAGATAGTGCAATTTCCACAATTTCTCATCATGTTCTGATTCAAATACTGGATGAAACCCAACACGAAAAATCTCATTAAACCCTTCGTCATGGTCTGGTTCTTGATGTGCTTTGGCATACATATGAAACACCATTCCAGGAACATGTGCATGGTCAGACTTTTTCTGATCACTGTTACCAAAAACCCACTTGTGTCCAAAATGCCTCAATTCCCTATAAGCATTATTATGTCTGCATAGTTCCATTTCAGTATCAAAATACAGTGCTATAACATGTACCATGCACTCTGTTCCAGCAGACTCTTTCGCGGCTTGGATAAAGGCTTTCCGTGTTGTCTTGTCTGGATTCGTGTTATCTACCACGACTGATTTACCAGAACCAATAGCTTCGCTCAGTACCTTTAAGCACTTGTTTTTTGTACCCAACGTATCTTGATTGATGTGAGTTATACCCAAAGGTGTCAAGTAGGTAGTGACAAAACTGGATTTTCCTGAAGCTGGCGATCCCACACATATGATGAGGTTCACACTTGATTGAAACGGTGGATTCATTTCAGGGGTGAACGTAACACGATTGGTAATGGTTTCAACAACCTTTGCAAGAGTTTGGGACGAGTCGGTGAGTGAAGTAAACAAGTTTGGGTTGAATTCTGGCCAAGGAATTGGTTTAAATCCAGCAATGGATTCCAGTTTATCCAATACATCATTCAGCTTATCGTTAGTTTTAGATTCTAAACACTCGTTTAGCGCAATACTGGATTTACTGGAAAATAGTACTTCTGGGACAATAAATCTAAGTGGGATATTCAGTGCAAATTTATGATCGCAGTCCGAATGGTCTTTAGGATGTGGAAGAGTCGAATGCCAGTTTGATCGTGTTCTACCAGCAGCATCGCCGCAGTAAAATGATAATGCAAGATCAGCATCAGAAAGGGAGGCAAGATCATCTGATGTGTAAACCTCCTGAATGTAATAATGCCACATTCCTGGACAAGGTTTACGAAAAAAGTCCTTGGATGTAGCAGCAATAAATGTAAGAGGGATATGCAATGTATCGGTTTCTGTTAGAGATTTGACAACATTCTCTACACGACCTTTAAAAATAGCATCTTTGGCCACGACAGTTTGATTCAAGCCTTTTTTTGAAGTCTTGGGCTGATCCAGTATTCCCGATTGGTTGGAGAATATAACGATTCTGTATCCAAGATTGTGTAAAAGTCTTAGTGTGGCAGGAACACTTGGACAGAACCAACGCCAATCGTCGCCATGTTTAGGAAACACATAAGATCCATTGACACCAGCAAGAGTTCCATCAAAATCGAATGCAGCAATCTTGGTATGTTGAGCCAGATATGATTTTTGAAGATGTTCTTTGGTAAGAGAGTTGGCTACACCTATTAAAAGACTGTTATGCAAGACTTTCCACTGGACCAACGAAGCAGTGGATGCTGTAGTTTGAGGTTCGATGGATAGAAACGTATCCAAAGAATGCTGTTTCGATTGTTTTTTAGCTGATAGTTTTTGATCCGTCTTCTTTGCAGGTCGTTTTGGAGGCATGATTGCTAATAACAGTTGCAATAAACAGAATTCAGGAAACTGCAGAATTCATTCGATTTGTCGCGATCATCAGGCTTGCTGGCTGATTCTTGTCATGAAAAGCAATCTTAAACCACGGGACTCCACGTGACACTCTTGCCAACAAGTGAGTTTTGACAGTTGCGACCTTGACCAGCAACTATTGGATCTGCCAGCAATGAAGATCCGCAGTATTGAGCGAAACTGCACTCTCGCTTGGTCTCCTGCTAACCAAGATGTGCTATTGGCTCTTGGAACTGTTTCTGGCGCTTTAGACGCTTCTTTCTCTTCATCCACCGAGTTGGAGTTGTTTGACATTAACATTGCTGGTACTGCACTAACTCCTAATGGCACTACGGCCACTACATCAAAAAGCATGCGGAAAGTGGGTTCTGTTCCTATGAATGCTCGGTATGTTTCTATTGGTCTGTTTTGGCAGTAGTAGATGAGTGTTGGCTTTAGATTGTCAGTTGTGGCGGATGCTGTTGAAGGCAGGGGTTGACCGAGTATTGCACTGATGCTGCATTGCCGTTCAGTGAGATTGCTTGCACAGAACTGTTTCAATTCTTATGTAACAGTTCATATTCTGGCTCTAGTCTATTGCTTGCTTTGGTTTAGGCGCGCATTGAACATGAACATCTTGGGGTGGATATTCTACTAATACAATCCCATTGTAATCTGTCTTTATTAACCTGGTTTGAAATATTGGTTATTTTTATTTCATCTAGTTTTAATCGACTTGCTTGGGGTGCTCCTGGTACCCAAGGCACTCTGAAGAATGGCTTGATTGCTGCAGGCAAAGAGAATGGCGAATTGGATTTACTCAATCCTCACTTGATCCTTGACGGAAAGTCTGACAAAGAATCGCTGATTGCTCGTCATACTACTCATGGTGGTCCTGTGCGTGGTCTTGACTTTAACCCATTGCATAAAAACTTGCTTGCTTCTGGTGCGTCGGATGGTGAAATCTCAATCTGGGACTTGAATACTGTCAAATCATATGCTCCAGGTGCGCGCTCTCAAAGACTAGATAATGTCACTGCACTTTCTTGGAACAGACAAGTTCCACATATTCTCGCCAGTGCAAGTAACAGTGGATATACAGTTGTTTGGGATTTGCGTAATCGCAAAGAGATCATCCAGCTTTCATACCCAGGCGGTAGAAAACCAGTGACTTCTCTTGCTTGGAATCCAGATACGCCTATGCAGATGGTGACCGCCGTAGATGATGACATGAACTCGATGCTCCTTATGTGGGATCTTCGTAATGCCAGTGCACCTGAGCGCGTGAGTTTATTGTATATACTAATTCTCGGTTATAGATTCTTGCATAAATCTCTCAAGCTTGGCTAGAGATAATATAGCTGTGCTGTTACTAACTCTTGATTGTACATTTGTATTGGATTCAATGCCTATAATGTTGTAGACTTTTTCTGGACATTCAAAAGGTATCTTATCGGTTGCCTGGTGCCCAAAGGATTCCGAACTGCTCTTGTCTTGTGGAAAAGACAACCGTACAATTGTCTGGAACACTGTGCAGGGTGAGCCCATTGGTGATTTGAATCACTCGGCAAATTGGACTTTTGATGCTCAGTGGTGTCCAAAGAATCCCGATCTGATCGCAGTAGCCAGTTTTGACGGTTGTGTTACCATTCACTCACTTCAAAGCATTGCCTCTGAAGAGCCTGACTTTCAAGATAATACTGTCCCCTCCGAGTCGCATATTGATGACGATCCATTTGCTCAAGTTAGTCGTCAGCAAACTCTAAACGATCCAGATGCGCCAGTATTTGTTCTTCGTCATCCACCAAAATGGCTATGTCAACCAGCAGGCGCCACATTTGGTTTTGGTAATAGGCTTGTCAGGACGAAACCTGCGCAAGGCAAAAGTGTCGTATCCATTCACACTGTCCATAGCGATGCTGAAATTTCTCAACGAATAGATTTGCTTAGTCGTGCTTTTCAAAGTGGGTCTTATGAGGAACTGGTTCAATATTGTGATACACTATCTTCACCTGAAACTGGGTTTACTCTTAGCGAAAAGGACCGGGAGGTGTTCAAGTTTTTCAAAGCCATGGTTTCTTCTACTTCACGAGACGATATTGTTCAGATGCTTGGATTTGATAAAAACTTGATTGCAGATGAAAGATTATCTGGGCTCTTCAAACGGTTAAATGTCAAACCAGTATTGCCTACAGACGAGCAATCTGTCACAAATGAGGATGGTAGTATTGCTACAAAATCAGGATCTAAATCGACAGCTACACCTTTTTCCTTGTTTGCAATTGGTAAACCTACCGAGGATTCTGATATTGACACTTTGATCACGAAAGCTCTTATGCTGAGTGATTTTGAAACTGCTGTGAATATTTGTCTTGGAGCAAACCGTCTTGCAGATGCTCTGGTATTGGCAGTCAGTGGAGGTGAAGAGCTACTTTATCGTACTCAGCAAGAGTATTTCAGACGAACATCTAAATTCAAACCCTATTCTCGTATTCTCCAGGGTATTGTTGATGGCGATTTAATGGATGTAGTTGAGAATGCTCGTGTGGATGGACTGGGTGGTGGTAGCTGGAAAGATCTTGTTGCCCTTGTTTGCACTTATGCCAAAAACGACGATTTTTCTAAACTGATGGGAATGATTGGTTCAAGGCTTGAGACTACTGGGTCATCACTGGCGTTGACAGGAACGCATACAACGATGCCTTCTATATCAGGAATCAAGCGGTCTCCCATGCTTACTGCTTCCGATCGTGAACGTAACCATGCCGCGATACTGTGCTATATCGGTGCTGGTAATTTTGACAAGGTGGTGGGTGTATGGTGTCAGAACGAACCGGCAGATGTAACCAAACCCCCACCTGTTACTGGCTTATCTACTCGTCTTCCTTCTCCCACACACGCCAGTGCTGTCAAATCTGCGGCATCCCCCAAATTGGCTTTGCAAACTTTGATAGAAAAGATTTTCATTCTTTCGTCTGTTGTGCAATTTGTTGATCCTGAGCTTAATGGTCTTATGGATGGACAGACTGAGTATGCTCTTGCACCACTTTATGCCAAATATCTTGATTACGCATCAATGGCTGCTCATGCAGGAAATATCGAATGTGCATGGCGTATACTAGAGCTTGTTCCTAATGCATTTACAACTACTCCAGCTCCACACGCTTCTTTTGAAAATAATCAAGCTGGTGATGACAATGGCTTTGATACTCTTGCTACTGCACAAGCAGATCAAGTGGTTTCTACTGATCCTGTTGCAATTTTGCGCGATTTGGTATACCAGAGCGGTGGGTATCGCATACATCAGGTTGGATCTGCTCCTGCTTTCCCCTTTAGTCCATTTGAACTAGCAAAACCTTACGAAGAACCCGTATACACTCAGCAGCCAGCAAACTCGTATAATTATGGCGGGCAAAGCAATCAAAATCAGTTTAATATTGGTAACGCTTGGGCTCAGCCCAGCGTACCTCATACTTCTCGTCAGCCATCGTTTGGAGGGTATCAGCCGCAACAACAGGCGCCTACACCACCTGTTGCTATGCAACCGTCTATGTATGGTGGTGCTGGTTTCCAACCACAGCAGCAACAACAAAACACATGGAATCATTCCAACCAGCAGTCATATGGTGGAAACTCTGCTTACGGTGGTTATCAGGGACAGCCATCGTTCCAGCAGCAGCAGCAAGCACCTTCGGTTGGCGTGCCTAGTTTTCAGCCTGCATATGCTCGATCTACAAGTGTACCGCCGCAATCGAATCCTTACGCGCCTATGCAAACTATGCAGCAGCAGCCACCCATGTCTCGTACGTCTTCTGTGTTATCTCCACCAATTACTACACCAGCAGTGCCAGCCAAACACCCTGTTGGTGACCGATCGCATATTCCTGAAGGTCAAAAACCGTGCTTCAAAATCCTTCAGCATCACCTGGATGACTTTAAAGATTCAGTGCATGTTGGAGCAACTGGCAGTGCTGATCCACATCTCATGAACTCATACAGGGATGCAGAAAAACGGCTTGGTCAATTGTTTGATCAAATGAATAATACTGAAGTACCGCAAGATGTTGCTGAAAAATTGCTACAGATTGGAAAGGCACTGGATAAATCGGACTTTGTTGGCGCACATCGTATCCAAGTTGATCTAATGACTCGAAGGTTTGATGTATGTGGAGTCTGGATTGTTGGAATAAAGCGATTGATCGAGTCGTTGGAGCGTATTAAAATGGGTCCAGTTGGATCCTCTCATCAGGGACATGCTGGATCACCAAATGACGGGTTGGTATCACCTGGAATGAATGGTCAACAACAGCCATCTTTAGGTTATCAGTCTTCTCCGCCAATTCCTATGGGTGCAAGCAATGGGCAAAGACCATCCATGTCATACGGAAACAATGCTGCCTTTCCACCTTCTCCTTCGCTCGGATATGGTGGATCTCATATGCAACAGCAGCCTCTTGCACCGCCGCCGCTTGCTGGTCCACCGCCAATTGGGAGTGGTCGACCAAGTATATCGCCATACCCATCTACAATGCCAACACAGAACCACATGCCATTGGCACCACCCCCGATCGCTGGATCTTCTCAGCATATGCAAAATGCATTCCCACCGACTATAAGCAATGGATCCAATACTCAACAAACACCACCACCTCCCACATCATTATCAACATTTGGTGCTCCACCACCTGGCATGTCGGCCCCGCCCCCCACAACATCCACATTCAAGGCATCAATGCCTCCACATACGCAGATGGGTGGGTCTGGCAGATCTTCGTTTGGTGCTCCACCACCATCACAGCCATTGCAGCCGATTGCTCCACCTCCATTAGGTATGATGCCACCTATACAGTCCGCCCAACACACATCAACATTTGGAAATGCTCCACCAGTTCGATCTACTTCTAGTATGAGCTATTCTAGCTCGGTTGGTAATGGTATAGCTCCTCCCCCACTTCATGGTCAGCAAAGATTGCCTGCACAACAGCCATACTTTCAGGGAGGTAATTCAGGCGCACCTCCGCCAACGACTTTTGGTGGTCCATTTCCTCCCCCGCCTGTGGGATCCTTTAGTATGCCTCCGCCTCCTCCACAATGAGTTGTATTGATTCGTTAGGTATTGGATTGCAAAGAAATAAAGCAACTTTCTTGAAATAGGTTTTAGCTATACTTGAATACACGATCAAAAGTTCAAGAGTGGTGTTTTTCATTTATTTTTAGATGGACAGTATCGTGTTTAAAAGAAATGTAATCAATGAGCAAGTGAACTTGGATCAATCTTCATCGCTATCGCCTTCATCCAGTTCCATCCCTTGAATGCCGTCATCATCATTGTTTTCAACATCCGACTCCAATTCATCGTTCTCTTCGCCACTCTCTAAAGCCTCGTCATCATCAAACTCTTCTTCCTCATCCTCATCCTCTTCGTCATTTTCACTTGCATCGTCTTCATTGTCTTCATATACCACCACTGCATCTGCATCTTGGTCGGTAGGTTGTGCTCGACGCGAATCAATTTGAGATACAGCAAGATCAAGACGACCATGAAGCTTATTCAAACGTTCAAGAGCCTGATAGCGTGTATCCAGTGTCCTATACAAAGTCCCTAACCGCATCGATGCATTGGGTACCTGTCGAGTCATCAAAGGTAGCTCAAATTAATATTATGATTCTTGACAATACTCATTTTAGCATTACATTGCCTTGTACAAATACACTTACAGACAAGAGATAGGCTGAATGAAGGATCAATACACTTCGAACCCATTCAATAAGCAATACTGCACGTGCTGGTCGTCGCTGCAACCTCACAACCACCAGTTCCAATAGTGCTATCACTTGAGCTGGAGATAACCGTTTTACTGTCGCCATAATCATCTTTTTGTCTTGGATTTCAAGAGCCTTTTCCAAAAGCTGAACGTCACCAGATTGGATAGCTTGGGAAAGCATTTGATGGACGGTGATGGGCGTAGCGTGTTTGCGTTGGTTGTGTGGGGTTGAAGGAGCAGTAGCTGATGACGGGGTGATTGCTGATTTGCCTTCAAGAGTAGCGTCCATGGCACGAACACGCTCTTCAAGAATAGTGGTGGCATCCTCGGTATTCAAGGGAGCAATATGTTTGGATTTAGCACTACTTGTGGCAGGAAGCATGTCAAGTGCTCCCAATACACTAACAGAGGCACCACTCTAATCAATGCACACGATGTTTGGAATAAGTAGCTATTAAGTGCAAGTCCGTATTTGAAATAAAATCAAAAGTTACCTTTGTGGTTGTACTTTTAACCGCATTCTTGGCAAATGGAGGATCCGGGTTACGTGCAAGTGAAATTGTTGGAATCACCTTTCCGGCATCCGTTACAAATGTCTAATCAGATAAAAATACGTTAGCAAGTTACATATGACCCAAAAGCACATCTGCTTCATAACATATCAAAAAGTCGTCTGAATAAATGAAATATCTATAAAAAACACTTACAATAGTTTCAAACAAAGGCCGCAAGCTCGTGCCATATACAATCATTACCCGATCAAGTTGAAACGCGGCGTTATGGATCATAACCTGAGCATGAGTTGAGCTAGTTGGGTTGGTGAGACTTATAATTGAATCGGCTTCGCACGTTGCTTGAGGTCTCTTTTTTGACGGAGGCGATGTGATTGATGCTGATCCTGTAGCGCCAAGCTTTTTGTCAGTAAGCCAGACATTTACTACACCACTATCGAGCTGAGCAAGAAGATATCCATTGTCGGAATATTCCAAAAACTGAACTGGTGAGTCTACCGTGTAAACTAAATCATAGTATTTACAGACAATGATGTGTTAAATTGCGTCTCGTTGGAACCGCAAGTGAAAATACACAAGCATACCTTTAGGAGTATCAGTTTTTGATTCCATAGTCCATTGACTGATAAAACGATCGTCACGAGCAGCAGAAAACAAAGTTTTTGATTTACTATCAAATGAAAGTTGAACAACAGCAGTAGCATGACCTGAAAACGTCTATACTCGACATTAGATTATCAGCAGCTGATTAGTATAACAAGACAAAGCACGCATATAAAAAAACCTTTAATATATAAATGACCTACATTTAAATTTTTCATCAACGAAATATTGATGATTTCGATCTGATTTGCGGCAACAGCGAGATAAGACCCTGTGGGATCAATCGCAATCTTGGATAGGTTTTTTGATTTACTCTGGCATGTTCTATGAAATTGATGATTTGAACATGTTCAATAAATTTATCAATATACAGACAAGTGGCTGAGCTGTTCAATATAGACAAGTAAATCTAATGCATAGAATACCTCAAAAGTTGACCCTTTTTAAGATCCCACTCAACAATCAAACCATCTTCGCCGATAGAGAATCCTTTTTTTCCGCTAGAATTAAATACAAATCCAGTCACGGGGGAACGATGACCATTGGTAAGTGTTGTCAAAAGAGTTCCGGTTGAGACTGAAAAAATCAAGATGTTTCCAGTCGATAGAGCAAGTGAAACCCACAACTGCTCCTTCTGTTGTTATTTAAAAAGTGATTGAGATTCAGTGCCAGATTCCACAAGTAGGTTAGATTGCCATGTATGAATAAAACACGGTTAGTAAGAGTTCAAGCGATCGAATAGAGTGAAATCGACAAGACTCCAGCGTCTAATAAATTCATTTCTAATATTAAAAATTACCATTTTCCCAAATGCAACATGCAAGCACAATGATCCAGCAGGAGTGGTGTATTCAGCAACATGAGCACCTGTTACAGTGTTGAAGACGACAAGCCTCGAAGCATCAAGAGCAGGCGAAACAGAGGCAAAATAGGTTGCTGCAACAGTTTCATCTAAAGAGCCAAATGCAGAAACTTCATATGCTTGAGATTCCAAAAGAGGTTCTGTATCGGGAATAGCAGAGCGATTGGGCCTTTTGCTGGGCATAATTCTGGTGAAATTTGGAGAAATTCGATTTATTTTTATTTTTTTGTTTTCATGGCAACAGCACTAAAAATGAGTGAATGTCACGTGGAAATAGTTTGCAAATTCAACACGCCAAAAAAACAAATGAATGTCACGTGGAAATAGTCTATAAATTCACACTAAATTTAGTGCTTGTTAGCCAACAATTCTGCCATGCAAAGCCAGCAAGCTGCTGTCCAGCGACTTGGTTCTATTCGATCGTCCATCTCGCAGATTCTAGTCTCTACCTCGTTTCTTGTAATAGTTGAGTCTATGTGTACAGCCTCTTGTCCTGTCTGCTGTGATATGGCTTATTGCACTATATGTAGGGCAATAAGCCATTCAATTAGGGCTGAATTTGACTTTTAATTATGGCTTTGATGGGATTGCCAAGGCTAACCTTTGAACATGTCACAACTCTATCCACATAAACTTTTTACTGGTATGCATAATTAGGGACTCTCAATTTATGGATTTCTACCTGGCACTCTGGTCCGACCAAGTGGATCGTATTGGGGAATTTACCGCATTATTATTAATGCCATTATGGCTGGTATGGCTCACCGTCGTTGCATCACCAATTTCCGCGGAATATTCTATATTGCATTAAACTCTGCTGTGGAATTAACCGCCATTGGAATTAACTTGAGAAACAATATGATGAGCGACAGTGGATGTGTAAACGATACTCGATGCAATGAAGATAAATATGGCGAGGGTGTTATTCCAAGATACACCAGCATTGCTCTTTTCGTAAGCTTTTCATTAATATGTTGATATTGATTTTGTTCAACTCTTTCATTACATTAAACTCCTTGCCAACTTGATACTTTTGCGTAGGGATTGCCATGGATCATTAATGTCGGATTAGTGATTTCAATTCTAGTGCTGCTTGCCAGGGAAGACATTGCAAGAAATACTCTTTGGCCGCAAGGCCAAGTTCCTAATGCCTACAATGTTGTGTCTGTACCTACCACGATCGTTACTAATCCGACCCATGGCCCGGTCAATGGGATCATTCATGCTGGCCCCATGACTGTTGCTTTTGGACCAACTGCACCAGCAATGCCTCCATCTAACCTTGGATATCCACCTTTACATCAACCGTATTCACCACCACAACCCAATGGGAAACCACCATCTGAAGCTGCCTCGCCTTATTTCAAAAACGATTCCTCATTACCTCCACCATATGAATACAATGCAGGCTCATCGTCTGGTCCTCCACTGCCACAACGACGGTAGCAAATCTTGCAGAGTTTCATATAAATTCTGATATTCCAGCAACGATTACTCGTTAAAACAGTGACGGTTCAGTCAATAACAATAAATAATGTGTTGCTGTGGCCAATCCAAAAGATTATACTTTTATGAGTAGATTGAATCCATTCAAATACTAAACGAATTGCAGGAGAGCATCGCGCAGTTTGGGTTGGCAAGCTTTACATCAAACATCCGATCCACTATCAAGGATCTGTCAATAACAGCAAGACTGACAAGCACTCGTGTGGAATGCCTACGTTTGAAGCCTTGTCTGTAGACGACAGTCCTTCTGGTCGCACTAGTCGCATCAACAGTTACAACAGCTCGCTTCCTCGTCATACTCCCATCGTCGCATCGAGACCTGGCCCAATGCATCCGATCATACAGTATATTTATGCCATGTTCTCTGCCTTGGCTGCCTTTCTAGTGTCGTTGCGTCCGTCCTCTTCCAGCTCGATATTTTCTCAACAGGCTTCTCTGCTCATCAATAATCGTCAATACAAAGTTGTCAAGCAGCTCGGTGAAGGTGGATTTAGTTTTGTTTTTCTAGTCAAGGACATGTCTCGTCTAGAGGCCAATACATCTCCAACAGACGGACTGTTTGCTCTGAAGCGGATCGCTGTGCAGCTGCCCGAGCATGAGGAGCGACTCAAGAATGAGATTGCCGCACATGGTTGTGTGAGCGACTCTCCTTTTGTGGTGAAGCTGGTCGACTCGCAACGCATAACAGATGCCAATGGGAGTGTCACGGAAGGTCGTCTGCTGCTGCCTTACTTTAAAAACGGAACAGTTGAGTTTGTATCGAATCAACTGCTGAGCCATGCCAATGCTGTCTAGACATTCCTGACTAAATACTATTGTTTTTGGGTTTAGATTCAAGACATGATTGATAAAACCCCTGTTGGAGAGTTTATTCCACTTGATCAGATTCTTCGTGTTGGCATCGATATCTGCAAAGGCCTTCAGGCTTTCCAGTACGTGTCCGGCACTCTCTTTTATACAATCGCTTATACGTTGCTCATTTTGTTTATTTTCTTGTTCCAGCTCAAGAACTCCACCTTTGGCATTTAGAGATCTCAAGGTGTGTTCTGTTTAGCGTCATGTCAACATGACAAATGCATCAACTGCTTATATGTTATATCTTTCAGCCTGCCAATGTACTATTAGGTGACCATAATAATGCAGTACTTATGGATCTGGGATCCGTGGCATTGGCACGTCTTCAGATTAAATCTCGTCGTGAAGCTGTCGCATTACAAGAACTATGCGCAGAAACAGTAACTGCTCCATTTCGTGCTCCAGAATTGTTTGATCCAGCTTCAGACACTCTCATCACAGAAGCTGTTGATATTTGGTAATCTTGGACATATGTTTTTTATTGGGCTCGACAAAAATCACTGATGCTTTTTATTAGGGCCTTGGGATGCACTCTGTATGCAATGGCATATCGCACATCGCCTTGTAAGCTTACCTTTTAGATCAAATTCGAGTCATCTGAAACGGTGATTGACACTTATTTTATTCATCATTTCTTAACATTTGTAGTCGACGGTACAATGACGGCAGTCATAAACTGTAAGCTTTTGTTTCCACCCAATGATCCGTACGGCCCACAGTTTCGCGCAGTCATGGAAGGCATCATTCAAAGTAAACCCACGTCGCGTCCTTCAGCAAATCAGGTCGAGCAGCTGTTGACACGATTTCTAGGCAGCGTCACGGTGCAAGTGTAATCTCTGCGATGGTGTATGGTTCCAACATGTTTAAAGTTTGGAAAAGTTTTAGATGGCCTGCTTTAAATAAATAGGTGCTTGAAATGAGGCAGAGATGAAACCCGCTTATTCCATAATCTACCAATATTTGAAAACCACATCAAGAGGGATGGTTGCAGGCAGTCCGTGAGACTATACGGCTGCACCTAGACTAAACCATTGTCATAGTGCACAATACATGTCCATTCTCATATTTATGATTTCATTTCAAAATAGTGTATCATAAAGCCAATTGCCATTCACATTAGTGTGTCAGTTAAATAAACATTACTGTTTGTGTATCGCTCTGATACCACACACCCATATTTTCATCACTCATGCGTGTAACGACACTCAGTAGTTCACTCATATCAACCTGCTGAGATCCAACTACACTCTGATTAATTTGATCCATAATATCAATAATGGATATTTCGGGCTGAATGGTGTCATCTTGCTGTTGAGAGCTTTGGTGTCGTTGACGGACTTGTCTTAACTGGTTACGAATCTGATCAAATCTAAACATCAGGTTAGTATCATGATCAACAAGTGCTGCATTTAAATAAACTTTGCACAGTCCCATTTACTGTTTCAATTGGTCATCAATTTACCTAGCAACAGGCAGCTGCGTAAGCAAAACGTTGGACGCAGCCGTGGTTCCAGACGCAAACCCACTTCCTGTATGAGCACCCGCGCTTGACTGGGATACATCAACAGATTCATCCACCATCATGTCTGAATCTGCAGCATCAAGCAGCTCATTAATACGAGATGAACCGCCTGCAGAAGACTGCATAGCTTGGCCATTCAGACTAGCATATGCAGTCCCAACAACAGAGGACTGATCTGTGGTCACTGTAGTGCCTGCAGTACTGCGAGCACCACGGCGAGTAACAAGTGACGACACTGGACGGGTTTCCATCGTGTTTGTGTCGGAATCGTCATCAGAAGAGTCATCGGCACCATGAGTTGTCTTGGCTCTCTTTTCCCTAATCTTGGGCTTGACTTCTTTGAACAGTGCAAAAATAAGAATCTCGTAGGCTGTTTCGGCATCAACCTACAGCATTTCAATGCATTTTATCAAATAAGCATAGTACATATACCACAAAATTGTTTTATAGATGACATATATATGTACAACTCACTAGCTCGACAGTCTTGCTTAAACGCGACTTGGCGTGAGCAGTGGCTAAACGAATAAGAGTTTCTAGCGTACGTGGTGTAAGTGGCATAGTCTAACATGGAACATTAAGTAAGTATCTATATACACATCAACAAGTCATTCTAGGTATGCAATGGATGATCCAACTCACCCTATATTGATCCTGTTTTCCATCCTCTCGAGACCGTAGCTCGGCATACCTAGTAGAGATGTAGTCACACACCTCTTTACTAAGAACTGGGCTGATCTTGTTTTTTGCATAGAAAATATACTTTTTCAAAAACGGTATAGATAAAATCTCTACTTCTGCCTTTTCTTTACGACGGCGTGAAGATCCACGCGGGGTAGCAGTATTGGGTCGCACACCCACATGAAGCATTTCGTTGTATGCTTGGAACACAGGCGTAGCTTCGGGGGTTTTGTCAGCCGCAACACGAGATGAAAAAATAGCAGAACTCATGGACTGCATAGTGGCATCAGAAATGGGTGAGCCTTCTTCAACACCTTCGGGAATAAATCGGTGAATACGAGTAATGTGATCTGAAATAGCACGATTGAATGTATTATCGGTCTTGTCAAGCACCACAAAGACCAAATCAAATCGAGAAAGTAGCGAATCTGGTAATGTGATGTTTTCAAATGGTTTTTTTTCATCGAGATACTACATGTACCAATATAGTGATGATAAGCAGACACATTGTAATTTAGTTACATAATCAAACGCTTGTATTGTGAAAAGTACAAGACACCATAAATAACTCACAGTTCCAAATGCTGGATTGGCAGCAGCCAATACGCTGCATCGTGCATTAAGTGAAGTATGAATACCCGCTTTGGCAATCGTGACTGTCTGTTGCTCCATAACTTCGTGAATGGCGACACGATCCACATCACTCATCTTGTCAAATTCGTCAATACAGACAACTCCTCGATCAGCTAGCACCATGGCACCAGCCTCGAGTGTACGCTCACCTGATTATTTGATAGTGTATGAAAGGCAAATAGATGAGTTTCTGCACTTGATGTCCTACCAAAGCCTGCCAACCAGACTATAGATTGCATAAGCATACCTGTCTCCTTGTCCTGAGTGACAGCGGCAGTCAATCCAACACCAGAAGAGCCACGACCAGTGGTTGCAATGGCAAGCGGTGCAAGATTTAATACAAACCGCAGCATCTGCGATTTACCCACAGATGGATCACCAATTAACAGCATATTGACATCACCTCTCAAATGAGTACCATTTTCAAGATTCTTTTCAACACCTCCAAGCATAAGAAGAAGCAGTGCCTTTTTGATATACTCATGACCAAAAATGGAAGGGGCCAGCGACATGGAGAGTAGAGAAAATGCATCCTTTCGTTTAGCAATTTTACGAATTTCACGAGCGTCGTCTTCTGTAATAGTGGGTTGATGAATCTCCTTTTCAAGAAGGGTGATGTGGTTGGCAAGAATCATAGACTTGAATGTGGCAGATACAGACGCCGCATGTTTTCCAATAGATCGATAGGTTCCAACCAAACGAACACGATCACCAGGCTTGACGTGGTCAACCAAATCATCGTCCAAGATTACGTCTGTTGGACGCGGAAGTTGTCCAGCTGGAGATCGTTCTGGCATTTCTTGAATGCTCATGGTTTGGTAGTCCCTGTATGTTGAAAACCCAAACTCTGTAGTCAATGGACGACCCTCATTGTCCTAGTGGTATCAAGCATGAATGTGCAGACAAGTTGGTATATCAAGATATTAGTATATTTAATGACATGACCAGCAGTGATATAAGATGTATTAGTCACCTCTTTTGGATACACAGATCCAGTAGGGACAGCATTCTCTAACGAAGTACCGTCTCTGTATTCTCTGGAATAAAATATTTTTGTTTCCTCGCAGTAATGAACACTTCGAGCGACTTTTGGACGAACAAGCGAGCCTAAAAATGCAACATTCAGCAAATCCAATCCAATAGAATTTTAAATGATTAGAATTAGCTCAAGCATGTCATCAAGACAGTGATTTTCAAACCATACAGAAATAACAGTTAAATGGCAACTCACATCTGGTGACGATTCCCTCCAAACAAACAATAGTTCCGAGATGCATTGCAGATAAACTACGAGGAGATACATTATGCTCTCCGAAAGCACCGTCCAGACCAATATAAAACTTAAGTTGGGACATGTCTTGTTCTGGATTCTGATCGCTCCAAACAGCCTTTGCAACATCGTTTAATGCCTTGTCAAAGGGAGGTAAAAACTCCATTGGAGATTGCAATAAACTAAGAGATAATATGCAGTAACAAGTACGGAACTGTACAGTAAGTCACTAAAGTATGATGATCAATGGGAAGTGTTCATGGCAATTACCGACCCATCAGCATATTCTCTGTTGTGTTGTCGGACATGATTGATGTTGACAATCAAGCGGCGATTTCCCTTTTGAACCATTGTTACGATTTGGTCCTTGTATTGGTTCTGTCCATACTATCGAGTATAGAATCAGAAATCAGACAATAATTAGAAATCGAATATAAAACAAACGATCTTGAAGACTGACTGAACATCAAGACAATAAAAGGGAGTTTCATATCTAATCGACTGCATTACATCTTCTTCGAGCAGTTCTTGAAAGAAACGAGCTCGTTCACTAAACACTTCATCCAACGAAACTGGCTGTACTGGAGCAGCAGCCATAGCATTCATATGAGTAGTCATGCTATTAGATTACGATCGTCTTGAAGTTGAAAGGAAAGAAATTTACAGAATCTGAATTCACGACAGTAGAAACTGTTCAAGTTATTTGACATGCAGCATCGCAGTGGCCACGACGACACTTTGAATAGCGTGAAAGTATTCCAGCGATTGTTGTTGTTGGCTGAACAGTCGCATTCGTCTCATGTTTGCATCGATTTCTTGCGTCAAGCTCATGTTGAACTGTTGATGGCAAGACCATCACTTTCTGTGTCAATCCCATTACAATTACAGTCTAATTCTACTCTACATTACTCGAGTGATGTACTGTCTTTTAGGTATTATCAGGACTGTTGTCAGGAATTGTTGTCAGGATTGTTGTCAGGAATTGTCAAGACTGTTCGGACATGCCATATTAATACAGTTCATTGCTAGTGCCAAAGACTTGGATGAAAGAGTCAAAGCAAGATTGGGTAATCAAACATCTACTGGATTCCATTCTACAGAAATCAGTCTGGATACACTTTTGGAAGAGGTAGTGAGTTCATGTTGCCATCATTGGATTGAACTCGAGTAATAATGTCCGATACTTGTTTCTATGTTGCAACTAGTCTGTAGCTACATTCGATCCAGAATCAGAAATTGCATTGATGCAACAAACTGTGTCCAAGGTTGACTGGATTGACTCTCTATCTCCTATTGTTCATACAACATGGTAATACTCGACTTTTATAAATTGTCACTTGCTGGTTTTCATGACTATTATAACTGGTTTTATCAAATTTTCTTGTCCGATTCTGGCAATCATTCAGTTCGTATCAAGATTCAACCATCACTCATCAGTCTCGCGATAGATCAACTGTTCATTCTATGCATACTTTGCATCCGGAACCTCTTGATCAATATCAAGGTCTATCCACTCGCAAGGTACATTCAAACATCATTTATTATGATCTTCACATTATAGATCATTGTAATCCATAATGTATTGACTGGAAACCATCACTATTAATACATATAGAGACCTGCATCAAGTTCAATGCATAATAAACAACCTGATCATGATGTGCGCGGCCAGTATACACGCGAAACAATGGACGACTTCAACAGCAACCAAACCCATATAAATTCATCCAAGCAGTCGGACTTTATGACTGCTCGAACTAAACTGGTATGCGATCAAGTCAAGGCTGGTAAAATGGACCTCGCTTCTGCTCAAGCTGCAACCAAATCAAAATCACTTGGCGCAACATTTCCCAAAAGATCAAAGTTTATTTCACCCATGCTTGGAAACAAGTCAAATTCCAGGTATATCTGTTTTGGCATTCACGGCAAATTAAACTTTGTCAATTGGAATCTTCATGAAACTCTTGCTATCTAGCCAAACCTAAACTATGTGATTTTAGTTCCCAAAAGTCAATTCCAGACTCTCCTCCAGAATTGATTGATGAGCGACTCAAAAATATCGATCCGCAAATGATAGAGACAATCAGAAATGAGATTATGGATCATCTTCCTCAAGTATCATGGTATGTCTCGTCGTATATGTAACAGTACGCACTAATTTATATGGCGTGCTAATGATTCATCAATTTACTCGTAATCTGCTTCTATCACATAAAGGGATGATATTGCAGGCTTGGAACATGCCAAGAAATCTATTCAGGAAATTGTTGTATGGCCTATGCTAAGACCCGATATTTTTACTGGGCTTCGTAAACCTCCCAAAGGTAACACTTGATATTTCAAATAACCCTTGACAGAAACTCATTATTATCCTGTATATTGATACTACCTAGGCTTGTTGCTTTTTGGTCCTCCAGGAACAGGTGAATTTAAACCTGAATACTTGAATTATTTGAAACCATATCAGTATGAATCTCATTCACTCTATATTTTTATGATTCTTCAAACACTCGCGACTAGGCAAAACAATGATTGGTAAATGCATTGCCAGTCAAGCCAAAGCAACTTTTTTCAACATCAGCTCTTCTTCACTCACTTCAAAATGGGTGGGCGATGGCGAAAAAATGGTTCGAGCACTGTTTGCTGTTGCTCGTGTTCACCAGCCTAGTGTGATTTTTGTCGATGAAATCGATTCTCTACTGACACAAAGAAGTGAAGGAGAAATCGAATCCACCCGACGGATTAAAACTGAATTTTTGGTAATTGGTCACATCACATCTTGAACTCCATTTCAAGACTGCTCAACTCAGTTTACACTGTATGTTGTTAGGTTCAATTTGATGGATGCGGAACAGATGGGGACGATCGTATTTTAATGATTGGTGCAACTAACCGACCTCAAGAGATTGACGAAGCAGCACGTCGTCGATTTCGCAAGAAATTGTGAGCTACTTTTGTTTATTTTGTACAACGTTGTCCATACTGCATTTCTTTAGCTGTTGACATGGTGATTTGAACACAATGTTAGGTATATTCCGCTACCAGACGGATCGGCTCGAGAAAAGATTATGGAAACATTGATGTGCAAACAGGTTCATGCACTCACACCCGAGATGATTCAAGATATTGTCACACGAACAGACGGATACAGTGGTTCAGATATGGATGGCTTGATTCGTGAAGCTGCGTTAGGTAAATTTGAGTTGAACTTTCCCAAAGCATGAGGGATTTCTGCTAACTAAATACTCTATCCAACATGTACTGGCTGTTTTGATGGATTGGCTTCAATACATTGTAAAAAGGCCCAATTCGGGATATTAAGGATATTGCATCGATAAATGCGGATGATGTAAGACCAATGCTACACCAAGATTTTCTGTGTGCTCTTACTCAGGTGCGGGCAAGTGTATCAGAAAAGGATCTAGAGTTTTATATCGGATTCGATAAAGAATATGGAAGCAGCTCCTTCCAGAAAAGTTGATTGCTACTGAATTGCTTGATTAGAATAAAAGTTTTTGTAAAGTATAATGATTGCCATCCAATTGTAATTTTACCGCCGTATTCACGTACATTGGACTACTTTTTGTGATTGCTTGGAATAAACAATAGTTGACTATTTGCTCCGCTTCCTTGGTAAAAATGGACTGTCTATACCTTGCAGCATTGCTAATAGTTGACAGATCATGTTGAATCATTGAATGTGCAACTTTTTCAAAGAGTTCAGAAAACACAATGTTGTCCAGTAGATTGACACCCTTATTGTGCTCCATTCTACGTGAATACGACTGTACATGTCAATCTGTAATATATGCATATGGCTATCCAGGAAATCCGGCATATGTTAAGCACTAATTTAGCTGCTTCAGTTTATAAACAATTTTGCGCTTTTTAAGAAATAGCCGACTGTTTTCTAAACATAAGCAGACAAGAATATTGCTCGTATTTTGCAATGTAAAGTATTTACGTTTGTGTAGTGGCTCTATTTTCAAATGTTTTTTCGCCAATTCCTTCCGAATTATAGACGACAACAGAGAATGAGAACGGAGAATAAACTGAATGAGAATAAAATTGCAAGCAACCCATCCACCTTTTTCACCAGTGTGTATCGTGTGTTTAAAGAAATACTTGCATAAAATGCATTCAGCTACACCTTGTGTATGGCTGAGTTTATTTTTGTTTAGTGGATTTGCTTTGCAAATTTTGGTAGATTGTTCATTGATTTGAATGGCAGGATCGTCTATTGCTCGTGTCTTGTGTACCGCGACGACAATCTGACTTGTGTCAACATGGCCAGTTTACTAACAATCTGATTCTCTCTATTCAATATAGGATGTTATTGGTTTGGTCTTGCTCTGACACGGGAGTTTCGGTGTTTTGCTCCACTTGTAGTTTACGCCGATCCAAGGCAATCGTGCAGTTTTACTAGCGGAGAATTCATACTGTCGGAGTGCTGCAACAACTGCTTGCTTGATGTTATTAGAGTGCTATCAAAGCATGTAAAAACTGGGTTGTTGGAATAGGAATGTATTTTCTGCGTTCTCATCCTTTTTGTCTCAAGCCGTAGTCTCGCCACCACCGCCAAATACATACTACATGTTGAATGCTATGTTTAGCCACTGACAACCCACTCAACCTTGTTTACTCCAAGTCTGAAAAAAATTGAATCCCAATGAATATAAAAGCCAAACGATTTAATTAAATATCTACATCATCAGTTCAATCGAGTTGATTCACGTAGACTTTCAATTGTTTTTCATAGTATTCCAACTTTTTAGATAAGATGCATTTTGTAAGTGTTTTTGTTTCGGTCATGGCCGTCATGTCTACTGCCCATGCTGCGAGCGTGCCTAGCAACTTTGTGAGCATTCAAAAACGATCCGATTTCAATTTCAGCGATCTTGGCGATATATTCGGTAACATCGCAGGCAAAATATCCAGTGCGATTAAAGATAGCAAGCTTGGCAGCTCCAGTGCAGGACAAAAAGCCAGTAAAATTATCAAGAACCTTGAAGAATCCGTCAAAGGAGTTTTCGGTATCGTCCAAACGAGTATAAACAAGCATAACGGTAAGATCAGCGATGAGGAGACCGCCAGTGGTATAATCGGCGCAATTGGAAGTATTGGATCATCAATCAGCGATGCTGTTGGAAATGGTCTTGACTCGGAAGACGAAAAATCATCTGCCAAGATAGCTGGCGGCGCTATCAAGATGATAACTGGCGTTGCCGGTGGAATTGCCGGATCTGTTGGTAACGACACCACACAGAGCCAAGATGGACCCAATCAAACCGAGGCTCTACTTTTTACCAGTACTGTGAGTACCAGTACTGCCGAATCATCGCCTACTCGTAGATCCCGGAAGCGTAAAAGTCCATCCAAAAAGTCTAATTCTGCTCCCAGCGCTACTAACAGCAGCAATTAACGATTCTGACAACAACTTTTGAATATATACTCTGCGACTTTCCAAATTGTTAGTATCTCCATTTTTGTTGAATCTTTTTTATATTTTTTGATGTTATTTCGATATTCATCACAATGTATTTCAAGTGCTATATGCACTCTCGTTCAAAACCTATTAAAAATAAAAAAAATAAGTGTTTCATTTATAAAACGTCAAGCAATTCTTTATTTTCAAAAACCAATCTTGATGAACCGAGACTTTCAAGGCAAAATATCCATCAACTGCTTCAATACTTCTTTAAATGGAAAGACCGGGTCATTTAGATCCAACGATCCAGAATACTGCTCAAGAAGCTTTTGGCGTGTAGGTACGCCCATAGTCAAACCTTTTGCACTAAACGTACTAGTTCGAGTTAACATCTCCTTCACCTGCACATGAGCATCATCCACGATCATATCATCACCGGTGTGCTTTGGGGACAATGCTGCAGCTTCAGAAGCAAGCACATCAATGGATTTTTCTGCATTTTCGTTATCCATCAATACTTGAATGAGAGGTTTAAGGTGAGGTGCAATGCGTGTAACAAAATCTGGCTCAGTGGCCATAAGGGTGCGTAGCAATAAACAAACGTTGGTCTTTGTTTGAAGAGAATATACGGTTGGCTCAGTCAGAACAGAAGATCGAGGTGAGGTACTTGTGGACCGGTCCATAGAAAGTGGTTGAGAGAGTTTCACCTCGGAATCAGTTGGTGTATAAGCTGCTAAACCGCTTTTAAGTATTTGAAACAAGGTTGGTATCAAAGATGCATTGAATCGGATAATCTTTGAAGTAGATGCCGGATGCACTAAAAATAATTCAAGTAGACAAGGTTAGTGATGTATCAGGTAGTTGGCTTATCAAGCATAGAATGGCAATGTGCTTACTCGAGCAAATCAATGTCAGTGCCACGATGCCCTCATTTTGAATCATTGGAAATACCTGTCCTTCGATAGGAAGCGCATCAAAACGAACATGATGATCTTCAACAAATTCAGTATCACCAGTAGGCGACGCTTGGTTTGGCTTAGTAAGTGTTGCACCTGTGACAATCTGTACAAGCGGAATAATACAGTTGAAATCAAATAAAATATTTAGGAATTGCGTAGCTAACGAGTTGTATATACAAGTAAACGAATAAACTCATTAGTCAGCAAGCCATTTAATGCATTCTCAATCGCTCACTATTGGTATTCAACATATACACACCTTTAGTACGGTGAATTGCTCTAACAAGATTGGTAATGACACGTCCACCCTCATTGCGAATGCCAGTATCATTATCAGCAGTAGCTTTCCAGATGAGCGAAACAAATCGACCAAGTGGTGAAATTGGATTTGAGCTGGGTGCCGTAAGATTCGCCAGTGTGGTGTTTTCAGCTGGAACAAGACCGGTCAATAGTCGATACACATTCGAGTCTACACAGTATGTGCATTAGCAAGTACTCGAGCCGTATATTCACTCAATTAATGGTCGACATTATTTACCATTCATGCCAGCGGTCAAGTTTTTAAGCACGCCAATACAGCTATAATGAACAGGCTTAAGATGTTCAAACTCAAACAAGGAAACAATACGTTCAATCGTGCCAATTGATCCCAATACTGGACGAACAGCGGCTATATAGAAATCAAAATAGTTGTCAAAACAAGGCATTACAACACTATTCATTCTTCACTATACAGTAGCTTACCAGCAAGGGATAGATTTTTTAGTGCACCAATGACAGCATGGAGCACTTTGATACTGCTTTTGGCTTCTTCGTAAGCACCACCCACTGTACGAAGATGATCTACCTCCAGCTTTAAAAGAGCAATCAATGCAGATCCAGCACGATGGTGCTCAACAAGTTTTAAACAGGTGGCGTCTACCAAAATTAATTCCAAAAAGTAGTCATATTGCAAATTAGTGAGTATAAAGCATCAAGAGCCAAGTGACAATGCAGCCAAAAATAAGCATGAATAAATTTGACATACCACTACGAGCAAGATTGCCAATGCTAAGTGCACCCGACATGCGAATGTCCTCCTCCACCTTGTGTGTGCTAGAATTGAGACCGCAAATCATCCATGAATGAAATCGAGCAATGATTGAATCCTGCTGAACTAGTTCCTTCATATTTTCATCTATTTTTCAAAAAGCATGCCAATGGTTATCTAAGATACATTGGCGTAGTGTATAAATACTTTCAACACAACTCAAACCGGTATACCATTCATTGTTACTGTGATCACTACACGTGCCATGGCTTTGCGAATATGAAAATAACTGATATCACTATTTTCATCGTCTTTAGTTTGAGTAGCATGCTTGCAGGTTGGCTGGTGATCAACAAAATCAAGCAAAATAACAAGCTGATTCTTGACGAATATTTCTCGTTGAACACTTTCTATATCGTAGTATGTTAATGAGTAAACAATGTGTCGGTTTGCATACAAGACACATAATGTAGTCAAGGCAAGCATTACAAACCAATTTACCTTTTTCACCAATCGTTTCCAAAACAATGGCAAGACCATCAAGCATATTCATGGCGCGATCATACTCGTCGGAAGAAACTGTTGGTCGCAAAACAATCTCGTGCATTTTTTTGATCAATCCAAGAATCATGACAAGACCGTTTTTCTGGATGAGTTGAGCTATTCCAATTTCTAGTAGAATGGATTGCAGATTTCAAGACAAGGTCAGCATCAAAATGATTGATTAGCTAGAGTTCATTTGAAGCATGCATTGCATACTCATTTACCTGGCTCAACAAGATTACTTAGTGCGCGAATTGCAGATGGAAATGCATTCTCCAAAGCTTCATCAGCACAAGGCGTAACATCAACCTTGTCCAGCAATTTCAGCAACAATGAAATGGCATCTGCATTGACCATTTCAGTCTGAATGAATTCTATTTCCGTAAAAATTGATTAGATTTATAGTAAACAGATTAGGATGGTTTGAAAAACAGTCAAAATATTGCCAATCAAGACTTTATACCATTGTCCATACTAATGTTGACCAAAGCACCACATGCAGTTTGGATCACCAGTGAGTTGACGGAAGAAAGAGGCAGCACTACACTGCTAGCAGCACCTTTCAACTCTCCAATAATATCTCTATTGGATTCTACAGATTTATATTTCAGTATGGGATTTTAAAATGTCAATACGCCTCATCCAAAGTCTAATTGCTTAAAAACATTGAAGAAACAGTTAAAATATACCATGATCAAAGCACAGATTAGCAAGTGCTCGAAGAGTTTGAACAGTGAGCTCATCCATTGGATGAGCAGCCGTGGAGGACAGTAAATGCTTGGTGCTCTGAGAGTGTAGATTAACCAGCATAGGAATACTTTTCATCTCGGCAAAACTCTGCCTGGCAGGCTCTGTATGAATATGAGTTGTATGGATCAGTGAATTGACTTGTAGAAGGACTGACTAATAGCACAACACACTACCATATTTAGCAACCTCTGCAATGAGTTTGGCTAGAGTGATCGCCAGTTGCAGATGTTTAGATGAATCTGGTAAATTCAAGTCGGCGGCAGTCAAAGTTTCTAGCGAATCCTTAAGAAACCTAAACACTCCAGCCTGAGTGGATAAAGCTTCTCGAGCAGCATCTAAGACAAATATTGGATGATAAATCACACGATAACCAATTCAAACGGCTGTTCTCATTACTGATACAGTGCCATACACAACAGTCTGTTGATCCTTGTCAAGCATATTCATACCGTCTTTTGGTGTCAATGCAATGATATCGGCGGTGATTGCATCCAAGTCTTGTACAGTATCTACAAAATAAACAAGTCAGAATACTGCGTTGTGTACAGTTGAAACAAGACAGTCTAAATGGTTCAAACGACTGTGATCCCAGTAGCAAGGGGTTGTCATCCAGTTTCTTACTCGTCATTGGTCGTGTGTAAATCTAACGGAAACTCGACTTCAAAATTGCATTCAGAAATAACACAATTCATTCCAGTTACAAAAATGTGTTCTGGTTCGCATTGATTCATGATCAACTTTTATGCTCGCATCTCGTCTACAATATTCTACGTGTTTCAATCAGTTTTCACACATGTCATTGTGTGGATAATGACCTGATATTGCAGTTCTCATCCAAAAACAACTCATTCAATAATACATTTTTAAATATAAAGTTGGTTCATTGATGTTAAAGAATAAGCAGATCCAAAACTGATTTGGGTGTTGCTTAAATCAAATAGAATATATACTGAATAGCAGGTAACAATCACTCTGAAGAATCGCTTTTAAACGCATTCTCAGATGCATCGCCATCAGATTGCTCGTTAGATGAATCGCCACTAGACTCCCCATCAGATCCGGTGCCATCATCAATTTGGCCTGCAATAGTTCCTGCAGTTTTAGTAACTACATCAATCACTTTGCCAGCCGTATCAGCTTGTTGACTCTGTGTACCGGAAGTATTACCTTTTATCGTATCAGAGATGCCTTTACCAACTTTGCCAAGACCACTAAGAATTTTTTTGGCAATTTCTTTAGGAGATCCGCCATTTTTGCTAGCGTCAATACTATCCTGAATTATACTAAACAAGCCTCCAAAGATAGAACCAATGCCACCATCTTGGGGATTGCGTTTGGCCAAGTTGACAGTATCAAAGTTTGAAGTAGCAGGTACAACCAAAGCTTGAATAGATGAGGTAGCAGCAATAATTGAGATAAAAAGTTTGACGAATTGCATATTGATAAAGACGTGAGGAAATACAGTTGAGCAGGCGTAAGCAAATGGTAGACTGAAGATAGAATGTGTAGTTACAAAATATAGAACAGATGCGAGTATCAAGAGATTGTCAGTTAACGAGTCATTGCATACTTTATGATCAGCTTTTATTAAAATCTTTGATTACAACACTCGCCACAGACTGAGCAAGTCAACACGTTTCGGGCTTGTTTGTATAAACTTTCTAAATTTGACATTCAAGAATATAGCCAAACATCAGTGCTGTTTGACTACAGTTGAACGAATGCACTCTCGCCTTGAATGGGTTTCAGAAAAGGGTTACACAGTCTCACACTTGAAGGGTTTTGATACCTTTAGTCATGATCACTACAGACTAAACTCGAGATATTCATTAGCCAGTACTACCATCATGTACTAGAACCAAAGGTGGCTCAAGTGGAGGCTCAAGTCATTATCTTGAAAGGCACCCTTGAAGCCGACTTTGTTTGTCATTGCAGAGGCATGAAAATCTTGTACTGATAAACTCGATCTTTAGTGGCCAACGTGTGATGGCTTGGAGTGCTCTTGAAGTGCTCTTGGATCGACTCGTGGCTGAATTTATGCTATTTATTGTTTTTGTAGATGCACTCGATTGCCATTCCACCCGAGCATAATTTATATTAGTGCTTTGATATGTCACCCACTCAACTTTAACATTAGTTATAATAAACAAAGTCTTTAATTGGATTGCAATCCTTTAAGAAATTCATCCACATGCATGTCGTCATACTGACTTTCATCCCAAAGACCTTCCAGATTCTCGATAGCCTTCTTGGCTGAAACAGGCCCGCTTCCTGCATCACCTGCTTTCCCATATGTATCCCCTCTACCGCCCTTTGCATCTGCGTCTAACGAGAACAAGTCCAAGATCTGTGAAGTATCCATACTGGCAATTCCAGTGTTTTCTTGATTGATCACCGAAGATGCAAGATTGAGCTTGAACTTTTGTAATCCCATAATCTTCTCTTCCAAAGTACCACGTGTAATTAATCTGTATACATTCACTACTCGTTTTTGTCCAATTCGATGGACTCGGTCCATAGCCTGAAGATCCTTCATGGGATTCCAATCGTGCTCAACAAATATAACTGTATCGGCTCCCGTGAGATTGAGTCCCAGTCCACCAACGTGTGTGGTTAGCAAAAGAACATCAATCGATGGATCTTGGTTAAACTTGGTAACAAGTTCGTGTCGTTTGATACCGTCCGTGGTACCATCCAGTCGCATGTACGTGACGCTTGGCATGTGCTTTTTGAATAAATCGTTTTCAATTATATCCAGCATGGGCTTAACTTGTGCAAAGATAAGAACACGATGTGGTGACGTAGCACTTGTACCAGCAACAGAATCCGTTAGTACCATACTACTCGATCCTTCAGAATGGTTTGAAGCATTGGTCATTCCAATTCCACAATCTTTCAAAAGCTGCTGCAACGCCATAATCTTTGGCGAATTCTCAACATCATTGATAGATCGTCCCTCTGCTTTGAGTTTAGCAGCAACTTTTGGGTATTGCGGATGGTCTTTTGTCAATACCAAAGAGGGGTGATTGCATACCTTGCGTAGATACTGCAACGCCTGGAATACATGCTGGTGCACAACCCCTCCACCACCTGATTTCCCTTTAGGATTCTTTGTCTCGCTCTCTAAATCGTTGGCAACACTATCGCGCACCTTACTATGTGAAAACTCATCATACAGCATCTGCTGTATATCCCCAAGATCGCAGTAATAATCCTGTATGATTTTAGGCGGAAGATCGTCCAGCACATCTTCCTTCATACGACGCATAAGGAAAGGTAGAACCTGCTTATGCAGCGCTTCAAGCGCCAATGATCCACGTTCTTGATCTCTATTACTAGCCTTTGCATCTCGAGAGGCAAGAATCGGTTTGCCAAATCGGTCATTAAACTGCTGCTCCGTGCCCAAAAATCCAGGCATGAGAAAGTCAAACAGTGACCACAATTCAAGGACATTGTTTTGAATAGGTGTACCAGAGAGAATAAGTCGATGCAGCGCAGGAAGAAGTTTGATTGATTTTGTCAACTTGGAGTTTGGGTTCTTGATTACATGACCTTCATCCAACACTAAATAGTTGAATTGGAATCCTTGTGCTAACAAATCATCAATGTCGCTCCGTACAATCTCGTAAGAAGTAATCACCACGTCAATGTAACCGCTAGCGTGAGAGCCATCGTCTTTGCTACTGCTATTTTTGGCCAAATCTTGTTTTGCTTTCAGCACGTCCTTGGCCAATATCTGCCGCAACCGACCTCGCTCAGCCTTGTCCCCAGTATACATGAACGATTTCAAGAACGGTGCATATTTCTTGATCTCAAAAAACCAATGTCCAGTCAGAGACACAGGACAAACAATCAGCGACGGACAATGTGCTACATCCGGTGATTTCGCCAATTTAAACTTTTCTGCTCGATGATGATGATCGGCTGCAATCATACAGATAGATTGCAGCGTTTTTCCCAGCCCCATATCATCGCAAAGAATACCGTGAAGACCATATCGGTTCAAAAATGCCAACCAACTGACTCCCTCCTTTTGATACTCTCGCAGTTCGGCAAGAATATTAACGGGAAGATCAAAGTCGGCCACTTTTTCTGTACCAATCAACTGTCCAATAAATTTACGCTCTACAAGTTTGTTTCGAGTCATTTCGGGTGTAAAGCCCTCTGTGTCTGGAACTCCACTTTCCAGCGGTGCAAGTTTTACCAATTGCGCAAATACATTTGTGGAGATGAACCGGACGGGTTCGGATGGATCTGACATGCGACCAAGTAGTGGGACAATCAAAAACACAAGATATGGAAGAACATGATCTTGCATGTTATACACAACATGGTGAATACACTCTACAGCCCCTTGACGATTCAATTCGTTTGTCAAGTCGTTTGAAAAAGGAAGAACTTTATCCAAAAGCACCTTGATAGCCTCCACGCCAATTACACGACACAGTGAAGCAATACATTTGGCAGCCAGATATCGACAGAGTGAAAGCGAAGCACGCAAACAGTGACTAACAGGTATTGCCAATTTCAGCAATTGTTGATTTACTGCTACATGAGTGTACTTGACAATCACAGACAAAATATGCATGCTATCAAGCAGCGGCTGTGTTTGTGGATCGTCCGGATCAAGTTCAAATGTAGCCACTTGGGCAGTATGGGGATGAGATTGCGTAAATGTTAACGAAACAGAAACAAACTCCCACAACTTTGGCAAAGCAGTTAACACATCTGCGCCAAAACATTTGCAAAGACCCTCCAGAGCAGCCTCGGCACCGCGACACACAACCATTCTAGAATGACGCTGAGCAGCATCTTCTGTAGCTTTTGCAGCCTCAGCAATAGCAGATGCAGCGGCAATGTCCATGGTCTCGCTGGTTTCAGTCGATGCACCACCAGCAAGCTTCTTTTTTCTTCCACGTCCTGGACCAGCCGTAGACTTGCCAATATTTCCACTAGATTCACCATCTTTGTTTCCGTATTGTCGAACAAGTGATAAAATGCCATCACGATCGCGTAGCACCTTTGACTCGCCTACTGTATCTGGATCTGAGCATAAAAACACGCACAAATTCTTGACAATTTTGTCTACAATCCCGGAACTTTTGCCTTGTTCACTGCCAGTTCCAGACGCAATGATATTCAATTGGATCATTTTTGCCACTGACTCGGCGCCGCGTCTTTGCATTTGCACATTTTCCTCCATCTTGACGGAATTCATCAATGCTCGAATAATAGGATTAAGTTTTGGAGGAAGTTGTCCAAGTGACACTACGGCAGAAGCCATGGCAGCTAGTACCTGCGTCTCGTGTTTGGTTTGGGCACCTTTGAATAGACCCAATGCATTTTGTATATGCATATGACGCTCCACTAACGGCGCCGTATCCGTTACTGACTGAATAAACATAGGGTACAACGTCTGCAGAATGTAATCGCACACTTGTAGAGTGAAAACTGGTCCTAGAGGACCATTGGCTTGAATGTACTGTTGCTGCTGCCCGGTATAGCTATTATTGGTGTTTGAAGGTAGTGGTGGTAAAGGTGGAACGATTCCCAGCCCAGAATCTCTTGCAATCCGAAACAGAATTAAGCACTCTTGCCATACAACACTTAGCGATGGAATCAACTCCAGATATAGCAATGACGTGCCACTATTGGCATCAATCAATTGCTTGTTTAGCATTTCGCATAAGCGAACTGCAAGAGGTTGAGAAGCAAGTGGTGACAGATCAGTGGGATTTTGAAGCCGCCATTCTCCTGCCCATTCTTGAACAACAATACTTCCAAAAATACGATGAGCTGCCCACGCGCTACCAATATATCCAGTAAGCAACTCATCACATTTAGCATGTATATTTGGCAGTGAAACCTTACACAAAGTATGCAGCATGGCCCCAATAGCAGTTGCACCAGCAATGCGACCATACAAAATTGCGTCTGAGGAAACTACAGTAACATCCTGCTGCAGCATGGAACGATCGTGTAATGAAATATTTGGAGCATTTGCCCGACTTGCGCTTAGTTGCTGTGATGCAGCTTGCTCTGCAGCATTTACTTTGTGGTTTTTTTTATTCTTTACTGATGCACCTTTGCTAGCAACAGTAGTTGCAGATTCAGACGGCATTCTTTTTTGATTATTGGATGACGTGAATTGAACAAACAGCTGCTGATCCAGGGGAGTTCCAATGGGTGTCATTAAAAGAGCAAACAGGTTTGGTAGCACACCTACAACACCCATAACCAGTTCAACCGATGCAGCGTCACCATTGAATTGTCTTAGTATCAACCGTGCCATACGAATCCACAGTGCTAAAGACATGTCCACGCATTTTGTATTTTCTTCCAAAACAAAGTTTTGATACACAAGTTGGAGTAAGTCAGTCGAGATCCAGTTGATGGACGATGACAATGTGTCTTGCTCAGATAACTCAACCAAGGTGGTAAAAGTTCGCAGCACGGCTAGTCGAACAGATGTAATGGCGTGACGGAAAAAGGGAAATAGTTGAGGAACCAAACTTTGAAAAAAGTTGCCTGCTTCTTTGCGCATGATGGCAGCAATTTGTGGCTTGGATACCAAATTGGACAAAAGATCCATCACATGTGATGTAGCAGATGTCAAGTCATCCAGCTCATGCAAAGAATCCCAAAGCGACATGACCAAAGTGTGAAAAACAGTTTCAATAGGCAAAAGAGATACCACAAGATCTGAAACAGGAATAAGAGCAGATGATGCTACTGCACGTACTTCGTCATTGTGATCCTTGAGTCCATTTAAAATTGCTGCATAAACAGGCGACAGCTCTGTTTCACGATTAGCCGAGACAAGGACTTTATCCAACAGATCTTTGCGTACAGCCATCCAAAATTTAAGTCCAATTAGTGCTGAATGACGAACCTCCCATTGGCCATTTGAAATGGATGTCAAAGCAGTATTTGAATCGTCCATACGAACAAACGACTCGCCAATCAAAGGCACAAACCCTTTGTTGACAACTAACAAACACAAGTCAGAATCTGCATACTGCATTAGCGCACCAAGCGTTTGAGCACATGTTTCACGCACAGGTAAAACTGCTTGATCGCCAACAAAATCTGCAAACCGATCGAGAGCAAGTACACACAAGAGACGAATAGCAAGATCTTCGGTCCAAGAACGATGTCTAGCAGCATTTGCAGCACGAGATAAACCAGCTATACGACCTAATCCCATTCCATGTGCTTTGAGTAGCTCACGAAGACCAATGGCTGCTCCGTGACGAAATTCCCATACGGGGGAAAATAGATCAAGAGAAAGCTGTTCACAAAGACCTTCAAAAGGCCATTCATCTCCAAAACTATGTACTCCAAGAGTGGCAGCATCGACTCCCTTGTGCTCCACAATTACCTTTCCTGTTGTGTCTGTCTGTGCATTAGTAGTGGTGGATAAGTCTGGCGCGTCTTGAAAGGTGGACGAGCCAAGGCCGCTATCCTCTTCCATTTTGACACTGGGGCCGCTATCGCCTATCCGTCTTTTTTTAAGCAAAGATGATGATATATCCATCATTTGTGAACTATATCAGGGTTGTAAAATAAAGCAAATGTTGGTATAATATAGTGCATATACTATCTGATACACAAGGTCCTATATATACATACCTATCCTTTCCGCCAGATTTAGCAACCATTTTGGCTTTGCGCTTCAGCCGATTTCGTTCACGAGCACTCAAGCCGGCATACGGATCTGATGCCTGTGTGTCATCTGGATTCTGCCTATAGATTTTGAAATCAAACCAAATATAAATGAATAAAGTATATCGCTTGGAAATGCCATCATAATGCATGGTACTATATACTTGATTTTAGTTGACGCCTCCACAACCTGTGTAATTGACAGTTTGGTTTCAGTCTGAGCAGTAGAATGAGATTGTCCACCCAAGTCTGTTTCTTCAACAAAACTGACTATTGGATCAAAAATCGCAAACGTAAATAAAACCAGAAATAGTTAGTATATATTCAAAAACGTCGCAGTCACATAAAAGCTAGTTTACCATCCATAAATTGGGTGGCCAGACCCAATCGTTCACGTAATTGTTTTTTTTGAAACACCAGTCGCTCTTTTGGATCCATTCCACTTAGATCGACATCAAACTCTCCACCTGAACTAGCTACTAGAACAGCCCCTCGATCAACAACGGTTGTAATGTCAAAATTATTGAATCCTAGTAAAAGTTCTTCAAGATCAGTTGCAGCAACAGCGGATTCAGCTGATGCTTCAGAGGTAGAGTGAGCGGTTGGTGATGGTGGATCCCATTGAGGTACTGCCGAAGCTACAGCATTTATGGCATCACCCGCGGCCACTCGGGTTTCCCATGACTTGCTGCGGAGGTAAACGAGGATGCGCGAGAGAAGATAGTAGAGATCATCAGGATGCTGCTTTTGCACTTGGCCAAGTTGTTTTGCAGCTGTAGACCTGACTGAAGCGGTCGAGCCTGTATCTAGCAAAAGAACCAGCCGATCAAGTCTACATTAAGCATATTAGTATATTTTAAGGAATAGTTTATAGTGTATATTTTGGGAATTGAACCAGATCAGATAAATGGAATGCGAATTCACAAGGTTGGCAAATTCAACCCAATGCTATTGCTGGGTTGAATCTACGTTGAATCTGCTTGTAAACTGGCTCATTAGAACGACCAATTATTGGAATTGATGTTTCGCTCCAATCGAAACTGCAGCAAAACCACCATTGCCATACAAGTATCCGCATTTAAAAGTCTGGCAAGATAATTGGACTGTAGAGAATATCAGCCAGTTTATACGGTTTTTAGCAGCATATCTTCCTTCTAAACTTTCCGAGTAGATGGCAAAAACAACCTAGACTCGTATGATCTAAACATTGCAAATTCAAGAGTATAACGAGGATATATCCAAGCACAAGCAAGGCCATTGACCCTTAATGTGTGGTTTCAAGAGTGTTAATTGTGCAAGATGAGCATTACCTGGTAGCCATAAGCTGATGATTGTAGTCGGCAAGAACTGCTTCAGCCATTTAGAAAATTGCAACTTTTATTTGATCGCGTTCGATCATTGCTTGATTCTCACCAGCAAAAATGCATTGAAATTCTGTATAGAATAAATCAAAAAGTATAAATTGAATACAATTAAAATGTATTGTAAAAGGTGTGTTGCTTTTGAGCAGATATATATGCAAAGACTATCTAGATTCATTCAACAATTTCCCATGGCCCCACAAGATGCACTGGCTTCCATCGAAACTTCTGCTGCTACACTTGATGCCTGTTCCATAATACGTTCAATATCTCCATCTACTCCCAACTCTTTAGATTGGCGTTCAAGCTCGCTTTTCAAAGCATCCACCTGTGCTTTTAACTCTCGAATATAATCTGCTGATTTGAACAGTATGGCACTTTTGCTGTGGCATCCACCTGTATTACCAGGTCCAGTTGAGACAGGCGGTGTGTTGGCAAGAAATGGCGTTAGATCCACAAGAGTCTGGAATCCAATCCGTATTAAATTACGTCTTTTTTGCTCAGATACAACATGATTGAATCTCTTTTCGTCTTCAGTGAGAAGATCTCGTTTGATTTGCTTGCGCTTAGAAACTGATGTGACGGGTTGTTCTGGATCGGGTTGTGTTGCTAGTGAATTTTGATTCATTGTATTTTTAAAAGGTTGTGTTGTACCTTGCGATGTATCCTCCTCATCAAATGATGCTGCTTTTGACAAGTTGGTTTTGATTTTGGATGTTTCTGATACGTTTTTGAATGATCGTGATGCCTTTCTAGTAGCTGGTATAGATGTAGGTAAAGCATGCACATTACCTGTGTTCGCTGCAGCTACAATAGTAGTTTCAATGATGTGATCAGATGCCATCAGATCTGGAATTTGTGGTGGATCTGTCGCCATAGCTGCAGATTTTGCCAAAGAAGAGCGACGTGCTCTACCCTTTGATCGTGTAATAGCTGGCATAGTGCAAGATGCTGTTGTTTTTGAAGGTAATAAAGCAGATGCAAGACTAGTGCTTGGCAAGACTACTGGTGTTAAACTCTGTGGTAAAGCAGTCGAAGTCACTGTATTGAGTTGCAAACTAGCCGTAGGCTCTGACTCGCTTGCTGGATACCCTTGACTATCCATTCGATCATTGCCACTCGATGCAGTAAACAGCGGCCGTTTTTTGCTTACTAGCAATGGACCGAGCATTTGGTCATCGGACTTTCCAGAGATATCAGGAGTGGGTATCAATGACCCGACTTGTCCAATAGGTGATACAGATGCAGAGGTTTTGCTGGATGAAGACTGAAGCATATATGGAGTTTCTGTTCCAGAATGTGCAAACAATCTATTCACGGCAATTGACGCAGAGTCATTGTGAAAGCTAGACATGAGCCCCGTTGGATGGTTACCAAATGAATGAGCATTACTATTATTAACGGGAGCCAGGCCGTCATTATACAAGGCAGAGTGATTGCTGCTGGTAATATTGCAGTTTCCATTGTACAACATGTTTTTACCCTGTTCAGTGGAGCTGTTGAAAGACATATTAGCAGAAGGATTATTGCAGGAAGCATTGAATTGATTAAAAGTTGAGTACGACGACTGTGGAAGGAGTTGCGGACTAGTATTGTTACTATGTGCAGTAGGGACTGCAGAAACAGGTCGAGTATGACTCCCATATGTAATCTCAGTGCTTGCCGAGGAAGGAGCAGTCATGTCCAAAAAGCCATTGTCGAGATCACTACCACTATTACTCACCAGACCATTCAGAAACTCATTGAAAAACTTTTGTTCGGAAGCATCCAAAAGACCGTTACCCAAGTCAACCCCAAACAGACCTTGAGTAGCAGCAAATGGGTCATTGTCGACGATGCTGCCAAACATAGCATGATTATGGTGGCTGGTCGAGTCGAGAGTATTGAAGGAATGCAAGTCATGGTCTATGGAAAACGACTGTGCAGGCAATAGATTGGATGAGGACGATTGCCATGAAGCACTGCAATCAGAGAGTGAATTGGCTGCAGCAATGGAGTTCATGTGCCGGACGGGACCATTAGAAAGTGGAATGACCGGCTGTGATGGAATGTAGGCCAAAGCAGCTGCAGTGGTGCTCACTGGATGAGAAAAGGCGAGCTTTGATTGCATGATTAATAGACTAGAAAGGGTCTGTTGATGGTCTCAAGTAGAAGGTATGAGTAGCTGCTGTCAATCTGGTAGTTGCAGACAATCCAGCGAGCTCAACACAAATGATTTTACAGCAAGACTGGCTGTGAACTAGCAGAATGCTGTATTAAAATAGATGGCAGTAGCAACTGTCCTGAATGCAAAGTGAGAATCAACTAGTTCAAGTGGCTAGGCTTGCTGAGTGCATTCAACAAGAAATAGCTAAACGACCAAACTGCAAGTTTATGCAACTTTGTTTTTGCTCAACTTGATATTCTATTCAAAACACTGGATAGTCCACAGCACTGTCCTCACCCACCGCTAATAGCTGTGGATGCTTTATAGTAAGTTGACTCTCGAAACTTGCCGTGGCCAGTGCTGTTTGTGTATACTCTACTTGGGACGCTGTGCAATCAAGGCTTTTATCCTCCGCATTCAACTGGCTATTGTCATCCTCAACACTGGTGGCTGGGCATACTCCCCTCGAATCATTCCATTTGGCTGTTAAATCAGTCGTTGTATAGACTAAGGGCTGTATCCCTTAATATATATTTACTGACTAATCTCACTGAACTCTGCCCAGGCAATCTGTAGAATTTATTTACTGTTGCATTCATCTAAACCTAAATAGGCCACTATTTTGCAGCAATTGCTTTGGAATAAACACGGCTAGATATTCCTTGCACTTTCTATTCAAGTCGATTGCTTCTTCAATGCAAATTATTCCTTCTTCTCATTTGGCATAATCATACATTGTACAATCACTAAACTCATTGTAATCCACATGTATAATCGACTGTTGTCAAACTCCTGTATTCTAAAAGCTCATATACGCTCTAATTCAAGAGAACAAAGATTGCAAGTTTCGGGAATCCAGCAACTATACATGCCAATCATCAGGAGATTAATCAATTGGAGTTCATGTCGTCCAGTAATTGGTGTTAATTGTTTGAGATGATCTGTTCATTGTATATTTCGATATTCTTGCGTTTCGTTTTACGTGAATGTGGCAGTGATGAGCGAATTTGACAGATTCTTGTTTAAGCCAAACAGCAGTGCTCCTTGTATACTACAAATACTATATTGCTCATAATCATTTGACTACCATTGGCCCAACCAACAACTGGTATTATACTCTGCTGCTACCTATATGCATCTAGTCTTTTACCTGTAAAGAAATAAACGCCAAAATATCTAGTCTTGCTACAATTTGAACCAACTATGAACATTAAAATATGTAGTTCATCTGCTTTCTAGCTCGACTCTATTCGTATAAAACATGTATTGTCGCATGGATAGCTATGCTCTGCCTCATCATACCCATCGTGTTTGCTTACAAGCAAAAGATAGGAGATTGGCCATCTTGAAAACGACAACTGACATTGTAGATTTAGTCCACTTGGATACATGATTGCCAATAGCTGTGTTTTGCTGGAATATCTCGGAACATTCGAGGAGGATCAGGAAAGCAAGCCTTGGAATATGAAAAACAAAAACCGAACCAATATTGGAATCTGATGTGTCGGATGAGTTTAGTGTTGCTGAGCAGATAAAATAGCCTTCAATGACTACCGCAAACACATGCACCTGAATGCCGCCGACTTTGCTGACTAACCGTTTAGATGGCACTCTAAATGGGTTATGTCAAGACTCGACACTTTATTGCAAGAAACTGACTCGGTCGAGTCATTTGAATATAGCATATCATCAAACGTGTGTTTCAAATACGAGCAGCTTGAGCATCGCGGGTCGCATTTGCTACCCTTTATTACTCGTGGACAGTTCATAATCGTACTCAAATGGCTATAAAAACACTCCCAATAGCCCAAAATATTCCGATTCTTCCACTCAATATACATTTTTATATACATACACTGATATCTGTTTAAACACTACAATGTTAAACATTATTGCATCCGTGGCAGTACCTGTTGTATTTGCCATGGTGATTATCCCATTATATCTGCGCTTTACTCTGGTGATAGCCAGTCATCGGGCTGGCTATATGTCGCTACCAACTGCAAGCACTATATCTGAAGCGAATGTTGTCTCGTCTTCCACCACTGCCACGCAGTCTCGACCTAACCATTCCGCGAGTCTGCAGGATTCGGAAACTACTCCATTGCTACCCCGTACATCTCTCAATGAGTCTGCTAGCGATCTCTCATCCCAGGAAACTATTTGGACTGTCGGAGTTTATCTTTCTCGGACTGTTGCAGTACTTTGTTTGCTCGTTGCAGCTGTAGAGTGCGTGCTTCTGTGGTTTCTGTTGTGCACCAGCCAAACAGACCCGTGGAATCTGCTTGCTGTTTCTGGCACTGCCGCCAATATACTTGTTTGGGTAGCGTAATTCAACTTGATTGCTAGCTCGTTTTGTAAAGTGTTGTATGGTGTGACTTATCCAGTTTATATTTTTCGATTAAATATTGTGTATTTTGAATTTAGATATTCGTGGCAAGTGCAATACTGCGATTCTCTTTTGGACTCAATCTAGTTTCTTGGAACTCTGAATGGCGGATGCCTCTTCTTGCACCTTATCTTGCTCTTTTGGTTCTTGCAAGCAGTGCTGTTCATGCATTTCATGCTCTGACAGATTTTCCTGCCACATCTACTGCATTGCGGTGGAGAATCTTGCATATATCCTCGGTCGCATCAAGTATGTTACTTTTTATCATTGAGGTATTCCGTTCAGTTAAAATTAGCGCCAAATGCGAAGATGCTCGCATTCAACGTCTTATAGCACAAACCGATGTCAACGGGAATCCTATTCCCGTTCCTTGTACTGAAGAATCTGCTTCGATTTTCAGTATCATCTACTTTTCGTGGGTCAGCCCCTTGATACGACTGAGTTCCCGTATGTTCCTCGAACATAAAGATATTTGGGCACTCAACCCGATCGACTGTTCCAGCTCCATTATCGATCGATACAGCCGCATCCGCACTCGTTTTAAATCCCTTGGTTTCAAGCTCATGCTTTTGATTTGGCAGAGATTTGCCATGACAACACTATTTTGTCTAATAGGTGCTATTCTTGCGCTGGCTCCACCGTTTTTCCTAAACAGGATTGTGGATTTCATCGAGCATCCAAATGATTCACCACTATACATGGGATTCGTGTTTGCTTTGGGACTTTTTGGCTGTTCCATGCTCAGGTCGTGGTGTGATAATCAGTACTTCAATAACGGCAGAAGAACTGGTATGCATCTTCGTTCGGTTCTCATTTCTGAAATATATAAAAAATCCCTGCGTCGATGTATTGCCACTACTCACAACAAGGGTGAAGACGACCAGTCGAATGACAAGAATGGCAAAGATCCCAAAAGTGCTGGAAAAGACACCAAAGCCTCGTCCGAGGACAGTGAATCATCTCTTGGCAAGATTGTCACACTTATGTCAGTGGACACCCGTCGTATCCGTGAAATCATTGCGTATATTCCTTGGGTGTTTACCACTCCCTTGCAGATTATTGCCTGTGTGGTTGCTCTATTCGGCGTTCTTGGATATTCTGCTATTGCTGGTGTCGCTGTGATGGTTATTACTATGCCAATAGTCAGTGTTGTCAGCAAATTTCAATACAAGGTCGGTGATATGTACATGGCCAAAATGGATGCTCGTGTTGGTGTTGTCAACGAAATGCTCCAAGGTATCCGCGTCATCAAATATTTTGGCTGGGAGTCAGAGTTCTTCAACAAGGTGAACAAGGCACGTCAAGGCGAGCTAAATAGTTTAATTTGGTGCTTCATCAGCAATTCGCTCAGTAATATATCATGGGAGTCCATTCCTGTTTTGGTGTCGTTTGTTACCTTTATGACCTACACACTGATTGCTGGACAGCAGCTAACTGCCACCACTGCGTTCACCTCGTTGTCATTGTTTATGACATTAAGATTTCCACTTATGCTGTTTCCTAATCTGCTTATGGATGTCATCCAAGGTATGGTGTCACTTCGTCGTATTGAAACTTTTTTGGCTCAGCCGGAGCTTGACAAGTATAGCAGCACCAACGATCATCTGTTTGAACAAAATTGGGAAACTGTCAAAACTCAGCCTGGATTTGACCATGCATCATTCACTTGGAATATTCAGGGTCAATCTACTGAGCCCAATCTGGATGCTGTAGATCAAACCGATACACCCCGTGAATCTGTCACGAATCGTTCAAGTACAACTCAGCATCATCACTTTGTGCTTTCAGATATTCACGTCAAATTCCCTGTTGGTCAACTGACTGCCATCGTAGGTCTAACCGGTGCAGGAAAAAGCAGCATTATTAATGCTTTGTTGGGTGAGATGAAGACTCTTCGAGGCCGTACCATTTTCCCTTCAGTTTATTCAAGATCTGCACCAGATATCAACTCTCGTGACGTCGGCGTTGCATATGTATCCCAGACTGCCTGGCTGCAAAATGCAACTGTGAGGGACAATATTTTGTTTGGGTCACTGTACGATGCTGATAGGTATGCCAAGGTGATTGAAGCATGTGCATTAGTTAGAGATCTTGAAACATTTCCTGCTGGTGATCAAACCGAGATTGGTGAAAAGGGAATCAACATGTCTGGGGGTCAAAAACAGAGAATCTCACTTGCTCGTGCTTGCTACTCTACCGCCCAATCAGTGATTCTTGATGACCCATTGAGTGCCGTCGATGCTCCTACAGCGCTGCATCTATTTGAAAAGTGTATTCGCGGACTGCTTGCAAGTCGCACAGTAATTCTTGTTACACATGCTACTGGTCTTGTCTTGCCGTTTTCCGATTATATTGTCTATTTCAAAGATGGTCGTATTGCTGCTCAAGGCTTGCCCGCAGCCGTTCAAGCACATTTTGAAACAACCGATTGTAGCGATAGTTTTGGTAACCATTTACTTCACGCGATCAAAGGTGACAAGATTGAGAGCGATGTAACTTCAAAAGTCGAAAACAATGCAGCCAATGAGTCGAGTGAAGGTGCCAAAACCAAGGGCAAGCTTGTTGAAGATGAAACCAAACAGTCCGGATCAGTGAAACTCGCCATCTATAAACATTACATAGGTGCGGTTGGCGGTTGGTGGTTTCTTGTCGCCTATCTACTTATTTCTACTAGCGCACGCGCAGTTCAGGGTTTGGACGACTTATGGCTCAAGGTGTGGGCTGATTCATACAAGCATACGGATATCAACTCGACAGCTTTGTTCATGCCAGATGTCTTTTTAATGCAGTCCGTTTCACACCCACCAGTCGTACCTTTAGCTACTCCTGTTCGTGATCCAAGCTTTTACATTTGGGTTTACGGCGGTCTTGGACTTGGTGTCGTGTTTTTTGAACAACTTTTGTTGACTATTCAATATGCTGGATCCTACAATGCTTCAAAGAAACTGCATTCATCCATGTTGAATAGGGTTCTAAACGCACCCATGAGATTCTTTGATACTACTCCTATTGGTCGCATTTTGAACCGATTCTCAAAAGATATTGAATGTATTGACATGGAAGTGAGCAATGGCGTTTCTGGATTTCTTGGGAGTGCGCTTCGAGCTTTTACCGTGCTAATGATTGTTACCATGGTAGCCCCATTATTGCTCCTGTTGTTTATTCCTATTGTTATTATGTTTTATAACATCTCCAAATCATACCTTCTTGCTTCGCGTGAACTTCGTCGTCTCGAGTCTGTATCCCAAAGTCCCATCTATGCCAAATTTTCCGAAACTCTTCAAGGCGCAGCTACGATTCGTGCCTTTGGAGTCGAGGAGCAATTTATAAACGACAATATGAATCTCGTAGATAAAAACCAACAAGCACACTTTTACCTGTGGGCTTGCAATCGATGGCTTTCGGCTCGATGTGATCTGGTTTCTGGGTCGATCGTTTTCATAACAACAATATCGCTTGTATTGGCAAGGGATACACTGGATGCTGGAATAGCTGGCTTGTGTCTTGCGTATGCGACCGAACTTGTTTTCGATTTGGTATGGGTGACCCGGTCCCATGCTATGATGGAAATGAGTATGAATTCTGTCGAGAGAATAGATGAATACTTGCAGATTGAGCAAGATGCTGCTGCAATTGTTGATGACTACCGTCCTGCAGAGAATTGGCCACATCATGGCTGTATCGATGTAAAGGATTTGTCCATTCGCTATTCTGCTGATCAACCCCTAGTTCTGGATAAGATATCTTTCCATGTTGGCACGTTTGAAAAAATAGGCATTGTCGGACGTACTGGTGCAGGAAAGTCTACACTTTCTTTAGCCATGTTTCGCATTGTTCCTCATGACTCGGGTCACGTTCTGATTGATGGGATGGATATTGGAAAGATGGGATTATGGGACTTGCGATCAAGACTAACGATTATCCCACAAGATCCTGTGCTGTTTTCAGGTACTGTTAGAACCAATCTTGATCCATTTGATAAGCACGATGATGCAGCTCTATGGGCTGCGTTGAAACGTGTTCATTTCCTTGAAAGCATGCAAACCAGACCTGGTCATGATGATGCAAATGGACCCAGAGGCTCTATCGAATCCAAATCCGAATCCAGCGCAACATTAAATTCCAATATACCGCATAGTACCGACAAGATTGATGATGCTACTGAGCCATTGTGTGGACCCTCTAGCAATGAGGCAAGTGCTGTCAGCAAGGGTTTTGATCTTGAATCCCCTGTTCAAGAAAACGGTACAAATTTCTCTCAAGGACAACGACAACTGCTATGTTTAGCTCGTGCACTCCTTCAAGCTTCGCGTATCATCATTATGGACGAAGCTACTGCTAGTGTTGACCATTCCACTGACGCTAGAATCCAAAACACAATCAGAACAGAATTCTCCAATGCAACCGTGCTGACTATTGCTCATCGTCTCAGTACAGTGATGGATTATGACAAGATTCTTGTGTTGGATAGGGGTCAGGTATCGCAATATGGTAGACCCCACGAGTTACTTGAGGACAAATCGGGCTTACTTTACCAAATGTGTATGGAGAGCGGTGAGATGGATTTGCTGGTCGATATTGCAGCCAAAAAGGCAAGTTTAAATTCTCAATAAATCAATTTTTGTGGACATGAAATGTCGAGCATTTATAATAGAATAGTAAAAACAATGATAAACTCTTTATGTAATACGACGCATTCATTGTAAAGTTAAAACAATTTCTGAACTGCTTTTTTCCATCCGGCCAGTTGCTCCTCACGATCACTAGAACTAGTGGCTGGCTTAAAAATGTCAGACTGATTAACATGAGAAAAGTCATCGAGTGATTTCCACACTCCAACAGCAAGACCAGCAGCCAACGCAGCCCCTAATGCAGTGGTTTCACGCATCAATGGACGATCGACGCCAACACCAGCAATGTCAGCTTGAATTTGCATGCATATATCTGAATTAGTCAGACCACCATCTACGCGTAGGAGCTGAATAGCCTGACCACTATCAGAGTTCATGGCATCCAAAATCTGCAAGTAAAAACAGGGAAATGGTCAATTCTACATCAATAATGCCACTTCAACCAAAAACAAACCTCGCGTGTTTGAAATGCAGTAGCCTCAAGTGCAGCACGACAGATATGATATTTGTTGGTGTATTGGGTCATACCGACAATACATCCACGAACATCGTCACGCCAATAGGGAGCAAACAGACCGGAAAATGCTGGGATAAAATAAATTCCAGCGGTATCAGGCACTTTGGCAGCAAACTCGCTTACTTGCGATGCTTCTGAAATTATACCTAAATTGTCACGAAGCCATTTGACGGCAGCACCAGCAATTGCTATCGAACCCTATTTATCAAAGGCTGATCAGTATTGGCACAACTGGTGTGAATCAACAAGATACCTACTTCGAGGGCATATGCAGCAGGAGCATCATTTCCAAGTTTGTAGCCAACAGTCGTAAGCAGCCCATGTTTAGAAAATGTGGGGGTT